TTCCTCTTGTCAGAACTCAAAACATTACCATCTTTTTTTTACTTATGAAAATCTCAGTTGTTCTTCAAGACCCCATTCACATGTTACATGGTATATGATCCCCGAGTTAATGACCTTAGCCAAGAATATGTCTTTCTCATTGCAACTGCTATAGTATTTATTGTCAGAAACATTTTTTTTTTTTTAGCTCAGGTACTCTTTCTTATACTAGACATTTTTGTGTCTTCCATGGTACCTACCTTAAGGCACATGAATGTTATATAAAGATATGCTGAATTATGGGCCTCCCCGGTGGCGCAGCGGTTGAGCGCTGGGTTGCGAAGCTGCCTGCAGACTCTGCAGCACCGGTTTGATCCCTGGCTGCTCCCCGGCCACGGGAGGAGTGTCCCACATGGCGCGCAGACCTCTCCTGCCGCCCGCTGCGCCCCTCAGCAGTGTACTTCGGTCCTTCTGCCTGCTCTGCTCCCCGCTCTGGCTCTGGTGAATTCTCTCACCCTCCCGCGCTTCTGACTGTACCTAGTGCTTGTATAAATAAATAAATAAGTCTTTTAAAAAAATGCTGAATTTAAAAAAATGAGCAAATGACTATATGAAAGGTCTTCAGATTCCAAGTCTCCTGCTCTTCCCTTTTAAAAATTTTACCTCTGTTTTTGGTATGATTTGATGTGTGTCACCTACTCAGGCTGAATGAGCTCCATTCCAAGCACTATGCCTAGAAATACATTGCCTAGTTTGTATAGAATTAGAGAAATTTCTGACTTTGAGGATACTCAGCAATCAGGAAAATTCATCTATAGGAGGTCCCTTATGATGGTAGGAACCAACATTTCATCATAAAGTAAAGAAGCATAAGATCTGTGAATTCAAGTATTTCTTTAAATCTTTATTGCCATCTCTCCTGCTGAAACGTTTATCTCTGATGAACTAGCTTTTAGACATTTTTTTACTTGTAAAATAAAATCATAATTTAGTTTGTGAAAATGAAGCCCGTGCCATTCTCATTCATACTGAGCCAGGTTCTACAGTTTTTCATTAGAATTCTCTCTTAGTAGGGAAAAATAGTTGTTTGCTACTAGTTTTTGTTCTATTCTTATGAGGGACTTAAATATGTTATTTTTTTCTCAACACCTTAGCAAAATAAGTAAATATCATTAGCCCTATTAAGTCTAGAGTTGGGGCTAAATTCCTTGTTTTAATATATTGTGAGCTAAATACTACTCTAGCTCAGTGCTCTAGAAAAAAGAATTGGATAATGCCAAATTTTGGCAGATGTACTGTACTCACGCAAAACAAGTTTTCCTTGAGACAATGAAGGTCTATTTTATATTGAGAAGAATAGATTGTGCTAGGGCATTTCATATTCAGTTTAATAGATTAACATTTAAAAATTTTTTTACTTGGCTCCTGTATTTTTCTCAAGTCTTACAAAACATAAACTCATATCTGGTTTCCTTAGAATGTTCCTTTAGTACTTGGCTCACATTGAGGCTTTAAAAATACTTACTCACTGAAGGACTAGAGGGAAATATTTGCCACATACATTTTATCACTGGGTATTCAAAGAGGAGGATAATTCCAGGTATGAAAATGAGGAACGTGTGAAAATCAGCATTTTAGATGTATAATGAAAGTGACTTTTACTAAGGAAGTCTGCCAATCTTGCTTCAAAATAATTAACATGCAAATTGGAATTCATATTTCTTGCCAAATGGTTGTATAGATGATTATTAGTGTGTAGGTGGTGTTTATGTGGATGCACAGATGTGTTCAGAAACCTCTGATCTATGTGAACGTCTGAACAACCCAGCCTATATTCACAGATGAATCACATTTCACTCCCCCATTATCCTGTGCCACAAATGCATCCTGCATATATAAACGGGTGTACCAAGTTATCCAGAAAGAATTACATTTTTGAAAAAAAAAAAGAGCTTAATGAATTACTTTGCATTTGCAATAAGTAACTTTAATGAACTATCTACACAAATGATATAGGTTTCCTGGCTAGCCCTATAAAATTTCTCATGGTGATTAGGTTTGAATTATTTTTGAGAATCAAAATATCAGACACAGCCTCCCTGGTGGCACAAGGGGTTAAGACACAACCTATGAAGCTGTCTACAGCCGCTGCAACACGAGTTCAATCCCCAGCCCTGGAGCTACCCACATGGTGCAGCAGACCTCTCCTGCCTTGCTCGGTGCTCCCCTCAGCAGCGTATTTCAGACAATCTGCCTGGTCTGCTCCCCATTCTGTCTCTGGTGAATCCTCTCAACCCCCACACCTCTGGCCTGTAACCCAGCTCTTGTATGCATAAATAAATCAATCTTTTTTTTTAAAAGATTTATTTATTTATTTATACAAGAACAAGGTTACAGGCCAGATGCGCAGGAGGGTGAGAGGATTCACCAGAGACAGAGCAGGGAACAGAACAGGCAGACTGAAGAAACACACTGCTAAGGGGAGCAGCAGGTGAGACAAGAGAGGTCTGCCACGCCATGTGGGACACTCGCCTGCTGGCTGGGATTGAACCGGCACTGCAGAGGCTACAGACAGCTTCATAGCGCTGCGCTCAACTGCCAGTGCCACCAGGGGAGGCCCAATAAATAAATCTTTAAAAAAAAATATCAGACACATACAATGCATGTCCACTTTGAGTTATCAACTCACAAAGGACTCAGTGAACAAAATTATATGAGTGTTCCCTTTTATTTTCATTGTTTCAGAGGACAGAGACATCTTTTCCTATTCTGATAAAATTTTTATCTGTTTATTGAGAAAAAAGAATTATAATTCTCTTTCCATCTGATATTTTACTATGCACATAAATATAAAACTGCATATTGAAATAGCTATCAGATTTTGGAGGAATATTAGTAATTTTGCTTCTGGATATATTTCTGTAACAAGCATGAAAATAGGGAACGGTTTAAATTCTTACAAAAGTTTCCTAGTCTAGTTCTGATGTTTTCTAGCAGATGCTGAAAAAGCATAGACATTCATGATCTGCAAATAGGATGTATTTTTTTTTTTTTGAGGTAATGTTGGTTTACATCAATATTTATATTTTGGAAGTATAGATACTCCCATTCAAGTGTCAAACAGGGTGTGTTTTGGGAGGAGCCTGCCTAGGGTGGTAAAAAGACCTTATTTTAGAGTTAGGCACATCTGGAATGCTAGCTCTGCCCTTTACTGTGTGACCTATGACAAATGGCTTAACATCTCTGCTCCACTTACCCATGTATGAACTTCAAAGAGTTGTTTGAGACATGGTCATGTATTTGGTATCATTAAGGAAAAACTGTTTCATTCCTTTTCTATCTCCCTTTTAAAATTTCTACTGCAATTTAGAACAAAATAAATTAAAATCCTTCTTAAACCAACAAGAACTCTACAATCAAACAGTTTGATTAAAGTTATTTCCTTAACTGCAAAACAAAGTATGGTTTGGTAAGCAGTTCTTTTATAGGATGTCAGTTTACCATTGAATAATTGACACCAGAGTCTACAGATCAGCACAATTTTCACACAATTTATAGATAACTTCCCTTTTTAAAATGTCTTGATGTAGCTGTTCACATTCTTTTCATCCCACTGAACTCATTTTCCCAGATGCCTATGTTTTCTGGAGAAAAGGAATAGATGGATTGAGAGAAATAAGGACGATGGAGAAGGAGAACACCAGGACAGTTAGCATCATATGAGAAATGGTGTCAATGCAGGGATGTAGACATTTAATATCTTATTTTCGCTGTTTTATAATGTGGATAGCTTCCTTTTGTCTAACTTTCCCTTTCTTTATGGGTAGAAGAGAGGGACTTCAGGCGCTCCAATTTTGATCTCTTATATTGATCCCTCAGCTCTGACTGTTTCTCTACCATTAGAAAAATCTATCTAACTTAACTTGAGATCCATCACATCTAGAGTCCATTTGGCTGGTGGGATTCAGTGAAAATCACTATTGGCTGAGAGAAAAGAGGTAATATTGGGAATCTGAATACTTAGATAGATATTTGCATAATGCCAGGAGGGTCACTTGACCAAGAAATATGGATTTATTTGAAATGCCTAGCAAGGAACTTCCTCAATTAAAGAGACTTGTCATGGTGCAGGGTGGCAGGTATCTTGGGGGGTATACAATTTTTTTTTTTAACCTATTGCCTGAGGATTTCAGATTCAGATTTGGCAACTCTTTCCTTGGTTAATTTCCTTCCAGTTTCCCTCTTCTTTTTCTCCTAGCACCTGCTAAAATATAAGAAGTTGAGAGAATGCATTTGAATTTCAAATGTCTAGAAAATGTATATTTCTTCAGCCTATGAGTAAGATTATTCAAATTTAAATATCTTTTATTATTTTTTTCTTGTCTCCTAAGTCCTAGATTTCCCTTTCATTCTCTCCACTTCTAATCTGTCCTATCCATTTTAAGCTATGTCACTACAAAGAGTATGTCCTCGCTAGTGTTCAAATTTCTTCCAGGACCAGATTTTCTTTCATCTACTCTCCGCCTGCATGCCACCTTTTTGACTGCATTTGCCTCTGTTTTCTTCCATGTAAACTCAGTGCGTATGTTCTTTGTGGAGAACAGGCTTATCCAATACGCCTGGATTCCACTTCAGACTTTGACACTTATTAGGTTGTGATTTATAGGGTTCTTTGTTCTCTCTACGTTTCATTTTAATAGAATCTACCTCTGGAGGTTGTGTTGAGGACAGAAATAAAAGTCAGCGCTAGTGGTTTGTTTAGTGCCAATGACTGTGCTAGAGAAATGCAGAGCTACAGACACCCACATTCAAAGATCAAGAGAAATTGGGAAGGATGCCAGTCAATTGCCAGTAGAAAATGTGTTTTCAAGTAACAAGAGTTAGACTCCACTGAGATCAACCAGTTCAAGTTGGTCACCAGTCACTTAGCAATTAAGCCACACTTAGAGACTCCTCTCTCTCTTAAATGACCTACTTCTTGTCTTTCAAACTAACCTGAACATTCCCTTGTCTTTCTCAAGTTTGAGCTTCAGTGGATGCTGATCCATTGTGACCCTCTGCGACCCAGGAGAGAAACTTGCCATGAACTGCCAGCCAGGATAACGGTAAGTCCCTTGATCACTTGCAAAGGCCAGTACCACCCAGCTTAGCTCTATCCTTCTCCATCCACCAACTTCTACCTCCCCACTCTCTATAGAGTCCAGGCTCTGAAGGACAAGGAAGGAATAGCTGCATGATCTCAGGGGTCTGATTCAATCTTCAAGACACTCCCTCCTCTCCTGACAAACATTCCTCCAGGACACAGGGTGGGGTCTAATCCCCAGCTGCTCTCTGTAGCATCCTGGTTGCCAGAGGCGGCCCAAGGCACAGCCTGAGTCACCCTGGGACTGGAATGATGGAGGCAAAGCCGCACTTTCAGGCCTAGCTTATGCAGCTGCAGGGAAAGGGTTAAGAGGGACTGTTGTCATTCTATCCGGGCTCCCGGCCCCGCAAGCTCTCCTCCAATCCCCAGGACCCTCTCCAGGGCCATCCATAAATAGGAGAAACTTAACGCCTCCCTAGCCCTGGTGCTATTACAATTACCACTCCCGGGGGCGCTTTTTGCTTTTTTTGCGGGTGACGGTTCAGGAAGCCTGCTGGGGCAGCAAGAGACTGGGTCCCGCCGGGGAATTAGCTGAGGGCGGCTGGTATGGCCTGGACCGTGCGGGACCCCAGAGCCCTAGGGTTGCAACTGCTACTGTCAGGGCTTTGCTTGTGCGCTGCTCAAGTAAGTTGTGCGCGAATTTGAGGGGGAGGTACGGGCGCCTTCTAACTTTCTTCCCATCTTTTCTTCTCCAGCCCAGCCAGACTACCGACGAGGTAAGCTGGGAGGAAAGAAAGTGTTTGCATCTTTCAAGAGCACGCAGGGCGCCCAGCCGTTGGGGAAGCGGTGGGGAAGGGGCCCAGTGTGCAGTACTGCTCCATCCTTGGGCACCTGCAGCGGGTGCGGCCCAAGTCAGGGGCCCCGGTGACTCCTGGGTCTCCCACCTGAGCCCTAACGCTGCAGGCTCAGGCGCTGCAGGCTGTCTGTGGCTCGGGTTTAATTTTTCAGTCTGGTTCTTTCTTACCTCCCCAAAGACTCATTGGTCTGAGTCTAAAGCGGGCCTTTCGGGAGCAGGCGGGAATTCCGGTGAGCGGCACTAACACGCGCTTTCTGCTCCTCCAGCCTGCGGTGGCTGCACTGACCCCTGAGTCCTGCCAGCCTTGCGGGGCGCCTGGGGGTTTGGCACCGCGCGGCTCTGGCTCGTGTCAAAATTTCAGCAACTTCCCGACGGCTCTGGCGTCTTCTCCCTCCCGCGCCTGGGAGGGGGTTGGGGGGAAAGCGGGTGAGCCCCGAGGTTTGAGGTTTCACTTACAAAGATCCCATTGTAACCTGTCTGGTCCCTGGAGTGTAGAAAAAACAAAGTTTTGCTTTATGAAAGAAGCTTTCTTTGTTTTTTAATTCAGAAGGGAGACAAGAACCCCTCACAATTCCCTAAGCAGCATTTTATACTTTCCCAGACGCCAGCATTCCTGCTAGCTCCATCAAAGCTTAACTGTTCGAAAGCGATCAGAGGGGTCACACTCTAGGGTCACTCTGAAATTTGGTGTAGTTTTGAAGCCAGGTGTAAAGACCTCATACAAGGGAGAGTCACTGCAGGTAAATACGAAATGAGGCCAGGTGCTGGCTGGGTTTTGAGATTCTACTGCCCCCCCCTTCACCCCTCAATCTTTCCATCAAGAGGATGCCCTATTTCTACTGGACATAGAAAGATTGACCAAAACGATAGGGTAATTGATCTGCTGTGCAGCATTTCCATTCTTAGCTGTTCCAGTTTGACCTCAACACTGACCTGCAATTACTGATTAGATCTTGGCATCGAATGACCTCTATTTTCATTATTGAATTCCTTTAAAAGAGGCCCTTCCTTCTTCACAATTCTCCTCTGGTTTAATGCATTCTGCAGAGGTGAAACACCCTGACTTCTCTCCCCACCTTTGGGGCCTAGAACCTGCTCAGTCCCAGTGTTCAGCCTCATTTAGAATATGGCCTAGACCAAGGAACCTGAGTTCTCTTTGGAAGTTTGCTTTTCGAAAATTTGACATCCACAGGGAGAAAACTTTTTGGGTCTGAGAGGTGGCGGAGGGCTCTGGAATTGGGCCTAGTTTCTCTCTGTTCCCCACCTCGCTCCACTAACTCTCATGTACTTTATTTTTGTCAGAGAGGCCCTCCTGGGGAGCAGGGTCCTCCTGGGCCCCCAGGTCCTCCAGGAGTTCCAGGCATTGATGGCATCGATGTAAGTTTCTATATCCAGGTCACTGTTTCTTCAGTCCTGTCTCTTCCTACTCTAGCAGCTCTGGTGTTTATGGTTTTTTTTTTTTTTTTTTTGAGAGGGCCCCACATGTCTGCCACCCAAAGGTGGGATTGGACATCGGTGAGAGTTGGGTGTTATATCTTTGAAGCCTGGGGAAGAGGGAAGTAAACTTGTCCTGTTGTTTCCGTTGATTATGAACCTCCACCCTTCTTCAGCAATTACCCTAACCCCACCTGTGCGATGAACATGACCATGAGTGGGATTCTCTCAGTGGGGTCCCAAGTGCCTCAGGCTCATGGACTGCTTTTACTTTTTCTCCTACCCCTCCAGGGTGACCGAGGTCCAAAGGGTCCCCCAGGCCCCCTGGTAAGTTAATCAGTTTGCTCACTCTTCACTTCCTTCATTTAGGGCAATTGTGTGGCCCTGAGTTTCAACTTTGCACCTTTTCTTTCCCTGCCTCACCCTCTACCTGCTCAGGGTCCTCCAGGGGAATCAGGAAAACCAGGAGCTCCAGGCAAGCCCGGCACACCAGGATCCGATGTGAGTAGAGGCAGTGCTGTGGAAGGTTGAGATAAGGGGGTGTGTGAGGGGGGAAGAAGAGAGAGAGAGAGACAGACAGACAGACAGAGACAGAGAGAGACTGACTGTAGGGTGTGGGCAGCTCTGGGAAGGGCAGAACACCTCCAGCCCCCTGCAGAGAGCACACACAAGCATTCATTCTTCCCAGAAAACAGCAGTGGGTACTTGGTTCTTGCCTCTAATAATCCATCCCCAGCACACCAGGTCAACTTTCAGCTCCACCGCAGGCACAGGGGGTCAGGGGAGGATGAATCCCTGAGGCCTCTGCTGGGGTTTCACAGCACGTACTTTTAGTTCAGGCTCTTTCACTGGAATGCTCTAGATTATTTTAGAGAAAGAATCTGCAGAGGAGCATGATTGAGGGGAGAGCCTGAGGTGAATGGGAATGTGTGCAGAGGGGCAGGGAAGTGGTCAGCACACATCCAAAAGGAAATCAATACTGGTGTCCCCTCTTGCCACTGTATTTTCTTGGCTGCCATCACTGAACAGAAATTAGCTGGCTACCTTTCCCCAGTTCACCCACCTCCACACTCCCAAGCCCCTTCTGAGGGAAGCTGTTAGATGGTAAATCTAATTCTAAATAATATTTCTTCAGAGGAAAATGACTTCAGGACTCTCAGCTTCTCTTTCTCATGAATTTGACTAATACTTATAAAAATCCTGCTCCAGGTCAGTCCAGGACTTAGTCACTGGAATTGAAGATGGCATCTGGGTCCTCATGTTGTCCTTGAAGTTACCACTTTATGTGGTTTCCAAAAACTGTAGAAGCCAATGATTGTAATGTCCAAGAATTCTGAATTATGTTTTAAGGCAGATTCTTCATTTTAGGAGAAATAAAAGTGGCTGGATTTTAGCAGTTACTACTATTTAGTGCCTTAGGAAGTGCATTTGTTATCCTTTTCAGAGCCCCTACTTTGAACTTTCTGTTTGTAAAGTGTCAATATGTGAGAACTAAGGACTAATATTTGGACAATACAAACTGAATATCAAACTAATATGTGTATAATACAAACTGAAATTATATAACTTGTTGGTTAATAAGCTCTTCTTTGAAACACTATCAACTACTTGAAACTGTCATAATAAAAGGTTTGATAAATGAAGGTCACTAAATAAATGAGTAGCCCAGTATAGGTTGGATTTATGTCTATATTCCTTTGAAGTTCGGACTAGCTTTTTGTTTTGGGTGAAAAGTTAATATAAATTGTTATTTTTATTATTGTCATCATTCTTTATTTGATGGTTCAAGCATAAACCAATTAACCCGAAGTCTTAAATCACTATTGAGATGCAATAATTTCAAACAGACCTAGATTATCTGTGCCTCAGTTTAAAGATGCTTTTGTAGCATGCTCAACAAATACCTTTTACCATTAAGTTATAAAGACAAGGACTGGTTTTGCTTTATAATTTCTCCACTTAAACACAAGTATTGGATAAACAAATTAAAGTGCTTCAAAATTATTAAAAGCACAATGCAAATTACAATCACACATGATTTTTTGTTCTGTAGTTGCAGTACCACAATCTGCAGAACAAATCAGATTTCCAGAGTTAAAACATGTAAGAGAGTAAAACTACATGCTAGAAATTTGACCCTAAAAGGTTACTAAGGGAAATACTGATGAGTGTATTGAATCATTCTCCTAGGATTATGAAGGAAACCAAGAGAAAAAAAAAAAAAAAGGAGAGAAATGTAAAAAAATGCATCCATATGCCAGTATCTTAGGTATTTTCTAGAACTAAGTAAAACAATGTACTATACTAGTTTACAATTAAGTAGAACTTTTTTGTCAAGTACAGTCAGAGGGCCTCCCTGGTGGCTCAAGGGGTTAAGCACCGCACTATGAAGCTATCTGCAGCCTCTGCAACACGAGTTCGATCCCCACCTGGCCAGGGAGCAACCCACATGGGAGGCAGACCTCGCCTATCTTGCCTGCTGCTCCCCTCGGCAGTGTATTACGCTCAGTCTGCCTGTTCTGTTCCCCACTCTGTCTTTGGTGAATCCGCTCGTCCCCCCCATCTCTGGCCTGTGCCCCAGCTCTTGTATGCATAAATGAATAAATCTTTAAAAAAAAAAGTACAGTCATAAAAACATTATTTCCTTTAAACTTACTGCAACTTCATAGAATGTTTGACTTTTAAAAATGTTTAGAAACTGAATAATTATGAGAGCAAGTAATTTTCTCAGAGTTATTTAGTATCTAAAGTAGCAAAAGAAGCCACATCTCTTGATTTAGACTCACTTCCCAGATAGTTTTGCCTCATGTACATACCAATGAGGTTCTTGAATTCTTGGAGTGAATTAGAGAAAATAAGTGATAGTGAATTTTCAATATCCAAATTAACAACCAAGAAAAATGATACAGATAATTGAATGGATAATAAAAATAATTTAGAATTAATTTCTATAACTATTTGTAAATATTAGTATGGTTCAAGTTCACCAAATTTTGAATTCGATCCATAGGGACTTAAAGGTTTTGAACTCACTAGAATTATATTACTTTACTCTTTGGCTCATTTGAAATTTTAAACAAAGCTTTTGATACCTGGCAATAAGAGGACTAAAACTACTATTTTAAATTCAGCAACAGACATTAAAAATAATGAAATTGTAGCTATTAGATCAGAGTGTGCTGTTTGTTTGTCCTGGAACACAGGAGGACTCAGTAAGTAGGAAGACTCAACAGCCTTTTCTTGATGGCACCTTAAAACTCCAACTTCTTTTCTTCTGTTTTTTGGTTTATTGTAATGCTATATCTTTTGGTAATGCTAAATGATTAATCAGATGATGTTTGGCAGAATCTGAAGGAACAAAGCTTAATGGTAATTATGCTAGTTAGATTTTTGACAGAAGAGGTAAAAGAGCCCTGGCAGCTATGCTTGTAGAATTAAGCCTTGCCTGTCACAGGCTGAGTTGTTGGAATGCTGGAAGGAAATTGCTCTTGAGGGCTGATATTCTCTGCCAAGCAGCACAAGAAAGTTCAGAACACAGTCAGCTTCAATATCATCCTGAATAGACCTTTATCTTCATAAACATTCCTATGAAAGTAATTATTTCTGCCACTGGTAATATTTTCCTGTCTTTTCTTTGACAAATAATAATTATTGCAAACTGGATTTGTGTGATATGTGAATGTGGGAGATTATATCTGTAATATAAATACATTACTATGTTTATATTTTATAATATAAAATAGATATAATTTATGTTTATGACTATAAATTACACAAGTAATGTAATAGTCCTTTCAATATACTTTATATTTCTATTATTAATATAAGTGGAAATTTATATTACAAATGCAACATCATAATATTATATCTAATCATATGTTATAACAAGGTGTATCATTTCAATTATATTTTATTATTTAAAATTATTATGATATTAATATCTATAAAATCTCTCCTTTCTTGCTCATTAGTTTAAATTGATTCTTTTTCCTTACAGACATATAAAATTAAAGAAATCAGAGCTTGGTTAGAATTTTGCATCCACAGGATGCCATTATCATCCATGCTAGCAATACTCTTACAGGTGCTATTTGTGTGACATGCTAAGAGCTCTCTATAAAATGGTATTTTATTCATTCTTAGAGCATCCATCTGAGATAGGCAGAGAGGAATTAGAATTAATTATAAGAATTACCATTAAACCATGCCTCTTTTATAGGAAATGGGTTAGGTGTTTTATAGTCTTTGAATATATACAACTATTATCCTTGGAAGATGTCAGATGATTAAAATAGTGAGTTATTAAGAAATTCTTCAGAAAGGTCAGTGTAAGTGGAAATTGTCAGGCATCAAAGAAATGTGAGTTGGCTATGAAATACGTGACCGTGGTTAAGATGTACTTTTTTGCTTATTTATATGAAGAATGCTTTCTCTTTGGAATGTTAAATTTCCAGCACAGTAAACATGTCTTACATGTTTTTCTTGTGAACTCTTCACAGCATCATCAACAGTACTCACCAGAATGATAATGATGATGATATTAATAATAATAGTAAATTCATTTACAATCCACCCTGACAGGCACTGTAATAAGCACTTTGCTTCTAATAACCCATTTAGTCTTCAAAATCACCATTTGGGGATAGATTTTTTTATTATTTTTTAATATTTTATTTTATATAATTCATACATCATTTTTCATCTTTGCACAATGTATGCATTTTCATTTTGGTTATATTCCCCATACAATTGCAACCCCCCTTATTTTGACTCTAGTTCTTCCTCTCCCCACTCCTTCCTTCCCCACCCCCCTCAGTGTGTCTCTGGTTTATAGTTGCTTATTGATTTTGATTTTTACTTTGCATTGGTTAGTCTTTTTCCTGGTCTCTTATTTAGGTTTTCTAGATTCCTGCTATGAGTGAGACCATCCAGTATTTTTCTTTTTCTTTCTGGCTTATTTTGCTGAGCATGATCCCTTCTAGCTCCATCCATGTTGCTGCAAACTGCATGTGTTTATCTTTTTTGATTGCCAAGTAACATTCCATTGTGTATATGTACTACACCTTCTTGATCCAGTCATCTATTTTTGGGCATTTGGGTTGTTTCCATAGCTTAGCTATTGTAAATAGTGCTGCTATAAATATAGGCGTGCAGGTGTCCTTTGGAATTACTGTTTCTGTGTCATTTGGGTAAATACCTATACCTAGGAGTGGAATTGCTGGATCATATGGAAGCTCTATGTTTAGTAGGTCAAGAAATCTCCACCACAGCTCTCCACAGTGGTTGGACCAGTTAGCACTCCCACCAGCAGTGCAGGAGAGTTCCTTTTTCTCCACAACCTCGCCAACATTTGTTGTTGCTAGTTTTTTTAATACGTGCCATTCTCACTGGTGTAAGATGGTATTTCATTGTAGTTTTGATTTGCATTTCCCTGATTACAAGTGGTGTTGAACATTTTTTCATATGCCTGTTGGCCATTTGCATTTCCTCTTCAGAGAAGTTTCTTTTTAGTTCTTCTGCCCATTTTTTGACTGGATTATTTTCTTTGGATAGATATTAATGTTACACTTACTTTTATAGATTAGCAAACTGAGGCACTATATAGTTAAGCAACCTGAACAGCTAAGTGGCAGATGTGAGATTGAACCAAAAATTAAGATGAGGTGCAGTGACAAGTGAATGTATTCCTCCATCTAGCAGAATAATTTTGTTCATTAGTTATATATGGAATGTGTGTTAGATGCCAGGGTCAGTGTGCTGGGATTGTAATGGACACCAACCTTGTCCTTATGACAAGGAGCTATGACACTAGAATCTATCTGTTGTTTAATTCAAAGAATTTCCAGTAATAGACATAGTTTTTCATATCTTATGAAAAATACTTTAAATAAAAGTGACCTGGAAGCAGTCTTCAGATTACACAGTCATTTACTTGGTTCTGCTTTATTATAATTCAGCTGAGATTTTACCAAATAAAGCAGTTACTATCCTCCATCTGGTCAGTTATTCCAGTCACAGATAGAAGATGGCTAGTTGCCTGTGTGTGTGGGTAATGGACGAGATAATTCTTGGATGGTATGTGTATGAAATTGGGAGTTAGAGCTGAAGTTAATAAAATCTCTATGCTCTATGTGATCCGGGACATATATGGAACCACATATGTATGGTTTGTTTGGTGAAATACCAATCCAGTGTTCCATTACCTTATGTGCTCAGCAACTAATATGTAGGGTTTTATTCCCAAATTACAATGTTGTAATGAGACCAGGGCCATTGAAAATCAGACAGTCTGTCAAAAATTCTTTTGTGTATGTTTAATAATTTTCTTATTTAGTAAAATTCCAGTAATTAATATTTTCAACTCATTTTTCTATTTCCTTTGATTTACACTTTGAAGTTATTAGAAAAATTAATTCATGTAGAGAAATATTAAAATGGTGGCCAACTAGTTTTCTCTATAAATTACATGAAAATATTTCACTGATATTTATGCAACTATGACAGATTAAATATGGCTTTTAGTGATAATTTCAAGATACTCATGCCTCAATTATTATCATTTGAGTCTTTTCCAAAATCTTGATAATAGGTAGGCCTTAGTCTGGTTTCCTTGCCCCTCCCTGGCCTGGTTCCTCTGGCCTGGGAGTCCCAATTTATTTCTGTTCCTTTTCTCCTTAATAAACTTTTTCTTTCTCTAACCAAAAAAAAAAAAAAAAGGGTCTTAGATGTAAAACCTTTTTTAGATTATCAAAATATAGATAGGATATTTACAAGTTTGCATGCATTATTTATAGTTACATAATATATATCTTTCTGTCTATTATCTATCTGTCTATCAACACACATATACATCTATTATCGATGACTTCATGCCTCCCATTTCCACAGTGGAAACTGGTTCAAAATACTATGTACAGTAAATTATTTTGAGATACCACATTTACATAGCTTTTATTATAATATATTGATATAATTGTTCCATTTAGTTATTAGTTATCATTGTTAATCTTCTATTACATCTGATATATAAATTAAACCTTATCATAGGTATTTTTATATAAGAAAAAACATAGTACATGTAGGGTTCAGTATTACTTATAGTATCAAATATCACTGGTTGGAAAGTATCTTTGATAGGTAAGGGGGACAACCGTGCATATATTTATCTTTAGCATGGAATTGTAAGATTGCATTATAAATGACTATACTGAAAAGTGTTAAAGGGTAAAGAAAAAATTTTTAATTCATCTTCACTAAATATGGAAAATCAGATGTACATGCAGTATTATAATGCTTTGAGATTTATTTTATAAAAAATATGATGGTAAAGTATGTGCTGGTAGGAAAAATTAGAATGTTAAAACTTTAATAAATGTCTTAGTATTAAACATGATAGTTATAATGTGTCTCATAATAGTGGAGTTGCATACTGCATATTGTAAATATATTGTTAATATATATAGGTATTTTTACCAAGGAGGATAATGTAGAAACTTATGTGCTCTCAAATACTTAACATTAAAAGTTAATGTTCTTCAATAAGCAATTGTCATTGCTAGAAGCTGGCTAGAGGTCTTTAGTTGTCTCTAACACAGTCATGAGATTACTTTTATTTCTTATTGAAGAAATGTTTTATAATTGTCAAGACATCAGTATTACAGAGACATATAGTATTTTTATTTTACAAATGAAGTAAAGCAAGTAGCAATATATGAACATGGGTTAATGGCAGAGCCAAGAACTGTTGTCCCATCAGATTTGGCTATTTGAACACTGTAACACTGTATTTGCCATATTACATGTTTTCAAAGTACAGGCCTAAAGCACTAAATTATTGAATCCTGTGGTAAATAAAGGAGTTAGCAGGAAGTTAGGAATAAGATAAAATTTATCAATAGAAACTAATATATTCATGTAGAAAGGTATTTCTTTATAAATATTTGCATCATATATAAGTAACTATCCTGCAGATAATTAATAAAAAAATGGAATTAATCGCCTAGTGGTTTGTCTAAGGATGCTAAATGGAATTATCCATTTAAAGATTTGCCTAAAGTTGCTATAATAATTCTATCATCATTATCTTGCTTTGATAGGGATTAACTGGACCTGATGGGTCCCCTGGTTCTATTGGGCCAAGAGGACAAAAGGTAAGTTAGTCACATGCTATTAGTTGCTGGTATTAATTAAAAGCTGAAGTATAATTTTATTATAGAATAGTGTTTTGCAAATCTACTAATAGGTTAAATTGTGAAGCAGCTGAAATATGCTTCTTCAACTAAAATGTTTAGCTGAATTAAATTAAAAACATTAAGATAGAGTGTTTTAGGGATTTCAATATGTATGCAGTTACTTATTTACATATTCATGCTACTAAAGCTAAGTGTAATGAAACTATTTTTATTTTTAGGGAGAGCCTGGTGTGCCAGGATCGCGTGGTTTTCCAGTAAGTAAATGTAAGGTGACAGAACTGAAAAATATCCCCTATCTTTAGGTAAAATTCTGCCACTGAAATTCTTAAAAGTCATTTGCTACATAATGTGCATCACAAAAGTATTTATGACTTATATGGCAAGGTAAGCAGGCTAACTGTGAGAAAAATTTGAATGTACAACATAAAATGTATATGTCTGTTTGCGGGTATTTCCCTACAGGTAATTCTCCCTCCATCCCCACCAAAGGAAAACATTTCTTGCGTAATAACAGCAAATCCAAATATTTTGACCATGAGCTCACACCTCTTTCATTACATTGTTAATGAAATATCAACACTCCGATATTATCACCCACCTGATTCCTTGGCTAGTCTTTTCCTACATTGCCCAATCCAACAGATTTGTTATTGCTAATGTTAAAAGGAGTAGGTTTTGGCTGATTTCCCTTTCTATATTGCCCTTTATTCCTCTTTTGTTTTCATCATTAACCTTTATATTTCTCTCCATGTCTTCTATTTGAACTGTTTTCTTTGCCATATTTCAGCCTCTGTCAACTTTTCCATTATAATCCTATTTTCAGAAGTGACTAGCTTGCTGGCATTTCTCCCATACTTTTCAACTCAGAGCTCAATATCTTACACATATGCCTTTTTTATTTATTGAAACTTATCAAACACATAGGCCTAATAATGAAGTAGCTTATTAATTACTTTGCCTAACCTAATCTTTATTTCCAAAACTGATCCACATATTAAAATGTTCAATTAGGAATAGTTTCTCAAAGAGTGTCTTGAAACAGGCCCCCTTAGCTTTAAAGCAGATTGCTTTAAAGCATATTGCTTTAAAGGAAAGTCTTGCTTTTTTTGGGCTGCCTAAAAAAATTAAAAATAATAATATTATCATAGGGTGCACATTGAATCTACTGAATGCTTCAGATACAGATATTTGAGAAAAGAAAGTTTGAATGAAAAGCTAATATAAACATCGTGTCACAGCTGTGAATAAAAGCTATTCAAGCCAGTGTAGGAGGAGAGAAAAGAGTAATGATGAATCCCATGGGAGAAAAATTGAACATGGAAAACAGAGAAGCAACTGATAATCAGTTTTATGAAGTTCAACTAACATATAGTTAGGGTTTGTTATAAACTAGGCACTGTCTTGGGAATTGAAGCTAAGAAGAAAATGTGGTTTCATTTTTTGATTATATGCAGTTCGGTATTGGGAAAGAGCTATTAAGTAGGAAACAGAATGGCTAGATTTATAATCAAAGTCACTTTAAACTAAGCTCCTATCACAGGATGTTTCAGGAATGATGACGTTTTATTTTCAATATCTATTAGATTTGTGTCTGCAAAATCAGCCTACCCTACTATTAAAGGGGGTATCTTTCTGTGATGAATATTTGTTTGGGGAACTTTAAAACACCACATTTAAATTTTAAAGCAGTGCATTGTATTGTTTTTTAATGTAGGTGTCTATAAAATATGGACAAATGAAAAAAAATCTCTAAAACTGTCAGATTGTGACAAACCTCATTGTGAGTGATGGTAAATTTCTCCTGAGGGAGACTTTACTTTGATTTCATTTTTAAAAGCTTGGAAAAAAATAAGTTAGCTTAGAGCTCAAAGGAGTGTTTGAAGAGCTGAAACATGTTTCCTTTAAGGGACAGTCATGTTTGCTTTTCTTTATACAGTGCTTTTTTTAGAATGAGCATCATATATTTATCTAGTGATTATTTTTGAAGTGAGTTATGTCTGCATTCATACTAATTCCAAATATAAGTCACATACCATAACAGTTCTTTTTAATCTTTTAGGGTCGTGGTATTCCTGGACCTCCTGTAAGTAGCATCTCTGTTTATTTTACATGGTCTATAAAAATGGCCTGTTTCTCAGATACCATCTTTTCTTTCCAACTAATACTCTAGCCAGTGATGTTTATAGGGTTCTACTTATATTATCTTTAGGCAGTTCAAGGACAGCATCCCTATTCTGCCAAAGAAAATATTTTATTAGTTGAAGAAATTTCTCTTCCATTTTATTTTACTATTTTAATTATAGTAACAATGGTTTACAACATTGCATCTGATTTAGGGTTATAGTTTTATACTTCGTCAGAAGTTTGTTATAATATCATGCCCAATCTTTTCTATTTTACATAATTAAAATTTGTTCAAATGAGTGATTATCTCATTGGAAACAAAAGCTAGCACAGATGCATGATGCTAAGTTGCTTGTTTCTCATATTTGATATCATTTATGCTAAGTATTGAAAGCTTTCACAAATCACCATGTCCCTTTGATTTGTTGACTTCAGGGTCCACCTGGGGCAGCAGGACTCCCTGGAGAACTTGGCCGTGTTGGACCAATTGTGAGTACCATAGGTACTTAGTTCGACACATCATGATATAGTAGAAGGTGTTACTAAGGAGGGAAAATTGCCCTAACTGTATGTTTTTCCCTGAAAATCCAAGAAATGGCAGATGAATATTATTCTTGTTCATGGTAATGCTGGGAACCAGGGATAATAATACTACTTCATTTTTAGAGAGTGATTTTAATTTTTTCCTCAAAGTTTTCAGCTAAATTATTCTAATTTCTGGAATAAATTATAAAGTCAGGGAGTGTCACCTTCATATTATAGACTCTCAGCCAGGATGAGGGTCCAGTGAATTTTGTATTAGATTTTCTGTATGAAATGAAAATAATCTAAAATTATTACCATGTAGATTTATGTTAGGGTCATTAAATTATAATTGAACCAATAGAACTTAACTCTAGGCAATGGAGAGTTGAACTTGATAGAAGAAATTGCTGGTAAAAAGTGCTTGATGTTGATATTCAACAAATGCTTCAAAAATGTTGAAGCAGCAATATCATGAGAAGGTAAATAACTATGAACTCATTGAGAGAAGAAGTCATATGTTACATGCTGTAGTCTCTATCTGACTGTTTGACATGTTTATTCACTGAATATATGAATGAATATGAATTGATTGTAAAGTTAAATTAATTTAAGATGCTTTTGACTTTTTATGGTAGAACATTAAGAAGGAAAATATATCAGGAGTAAGCTCTGAATATTAAGAATAATTGGAACTTATTTCCATCTGAATAACTTGTTTGAATTTAGCCAGCTTTGATTTTCTGTTCCATTTGCAAGAGTGTAGTGATAGACCAAATGAAAGCTTGTGGGCAGACAGTTCTAAGGAGAGTCAGTCACTGCAGAAATTGACCTTGTATTTCACAAGCTTCAGGCTATGATTGACTGGATGGCACTAACAGGCTTTTCCAATTCTATACATTAACTAGCAAAATATCTAGTGTTTCCAGAGTTGATAAAGCAATCATTCTATAGAGAAGAATTGACTTTACTATCCCCTTCCTCCCTTTGCTAACTGGTTTTGTTACCTTGGTGTGATTGGAACTCCTTTTTACTTCAGGGTTTATGGACCTACTTGGATTATGGGCCACCCATTGATTTAGGTGGCAGATCTGTGCATGCCTGCGCTCTGTAGGGCTTTCTACTAATATCCTTCTTTTATGCCAATACCAGTTTTAGGTACTGTATTTTGACGTGTATATAACCACAGTGTCACAATTTTCAAATTATTTAGGGTGACCCTGGGAGAAGAGGACCACCTGGCCCCCCTGGCCCTCCAGGACCCAGTGTAAGTTATTTGCAACTTGGATTTCTCTGCCTTTGAAAGTTGAGATTAAAGAAACCTAGGAACCCAAAATGAACGTGCCTGTTAGGTCATATGATCCTAAAATTCCAAAATGGCTGGCATTTTTTTTTCCAATTCATCTAGAGCATTGGTCTTTCTTTTCAGGCCAGGAAAACAGAGGAATCACAATGATTGAAAAGGCAGACTTCATAGAGAACAGTCTACTCATTATATATGAAGTCCTTTGATATTTGAGATTTCTTAAATGCTTAAAACTTACACTTATAAAAGGAACATTTTCAAATGAACTAGTTTTTACAAAGAATTTACACAGCTATAAATTTTTAGAAGTGGTAATTTTAAGTAGGAGATTTTTAATTTGTGATTCAGAGTTTCCTATATTTTCTATTCTTTCATTTCTTTTCCCTCCAATTTCCTGAAAGAATTTACTACAATTTAAGAACATCCAAAAGGAATATGCCATGATTGAGTTTTTAGACCTTCAGCTTAATATTTGCTGATATTCACTCTTTATATTTCTTGAGCAATTATATCTATTACATTTTTATCCATCAGACTTTCTATTATTTGTAGGTTTATAAATTAATTATTTAATTATATCCTTAACTTTATTTTCTTTACTTTAGGGAACAATTGGCTTTCATGATGGAGATCCGTTGGTAAGATGCTTTCAGCAAAATACAGTTTTAAGTCAAAGACCATAATCTTCAGATGAATTCTCCTTAAAATTATCTCTGCAGTATGCTGTATTTCTGCATTTTACTTATACTCAGATAGCAGTGCCACTCGTAGCACCAGCGGGGTTGCGTAATCTCAGACTATAAGTGGTTTTCATCATGGAAGTTTCTGTGTTTTAAGCTAAAAAGATCATGGAAATGGAGGGAAGTGGATCAGGCTATGGTTCAATGTGCCATCTGCAAATAATTTATTTAGTACTGTAAATCTGAAATAAATATGATAAATATTAATATGTATTAATTTTGGATAGTGGCTTTTGCTTTATTCTCTACTTTTCTGTAAACTAAGAATACTTCCAAGTTTAAAAATAAAATGTAAAAACAATAAAAGTGTATTCCAGATATTTAATGAATATAATTGCATTATATTCCATAGCTGGAATCCTTAAAAAAACCATTTTATTTACTCCAGTTTGTTTACTCTCTCTCTCCTCTCTTATGTGTCTTCCTTGTAGTGTCCCAATTCCTGCCCACCAGGTCACTCAGGATATCCAGGCCTACCAGGCATGCGGGTAAGAGAATCATTTCAATATTTTATTTTCAACAATATTTTCCAAGATATCCCACTTTGATGGATTAGGCACATCTGTGCTTGCTTATTCTGTGGTCCCTATTTAGTTCTAGAAATTCCATGGGTAGGTATTCCTACTGGGACAGTGTTTGATTGTACAGTAATTCTTTTGTTCAGGGAAGAAATACCAATAAAATGCATTGAATTGCAACTCTAGACATCAAATCAAGGTTTAGAAATTTGTCTCCTATTGGAGAGATGTGAAGGGCACTAGACTGTACACACATTATGTGTACGTATGTATTTGAGACTTTTTAGTTTAATTGGAAAAATCACAAAATAACCAAGAAAAGAGACTTTCCAAAGTGTTTTTCTCTCAATCTGCCTTCATAATTACTTCAACATTTTCCATATAAATGAAACACAAATACCAAATATTGGACATAAGCGACTTTCTCAGTCTAATCTATGAATCTAAAGTGATTTTGAAAAATTCCAGACCAATGGAGTTGTGTTATGATCTGAAAGGCTTTAAAGGTTAGTTTTCCTGGGTATCCATAGCTTGGAAATCCAGAGCCTGGATTGTCCCACAAATATTTGCATTACTGGAACAAGAAAGGCTTTGAGGGTGAAAGCTTTGATAGATTTAATTTTGGAATGTTCATTTCACATTGTCTCAGGTAACTGCCCAGAGCACATATATACTTAGAACAGGAGTCCTCACAAGAGAATGAAATCTTCTCTTCAATTTGTGCAACCTCGAGTACATTGTGTAGTTTTCCCTTTGCTTTTGAAATCCTGTTCAAGATAAGGCACAGATTTGTATATCAAGGGAGGTCCATTTTTCATACCAGCCCTTCTTCATCTCCAGAAAGAAGATGGGTAGAGAGGAAGCAGAGGGTTTTAAGAGCAGCTTCCAGAAAGCCAGAGTGAAGGGGATAGCCAGTAGAGCTATATCAGGGCACTCACCTCTGGAAAGTAAGTTCCTGATGCTGGAGAAAAGAGTGCTTGTAATCCAATAGTGAGAGAAAACTGGGGTAAGAGAAATCTAGGGACTAGTAGGCAAGTATCAATGAATCACACCACTGAACTAGGTACTGGAACATTTTTAAGAATTCTAGAATAACGTTTTCCTATTAACTAAACCTGATGTGTATCATATATGGCTGTCATGCAATACTCAGGGTGTTTACAAGATCATTTTAAGTGGTTATTTTCTTTGTGACAAAATCTTTTTCTCAGCGGATTTAGGGAAGCAAGATCACTCTGTGAAATTTGTGACCTTCTGTGTCAAACCCAATGCCATATTAATTAATTAATTAATTAATTTTTGCATTTGTTAGGGTCAGAAAGGTGCTAAAGGAGAAATTGGGGAACCTGGAAGACAAGGTCACAAGGTAAGGAAAAGGAGTGGTCAGTGGGTAGATTGTGCTTAGGAGAGAGTAATCATTTTTTTTTACAATTTCTTAAAAAGGAATTACAAAGAATAACATAGTGTGTTAAATTTTACCTTTACTTTTCAAATGATTATTGACAAATTCTCAGTAGGTTCCTCAATATTCTGACTAAGCATAATATTCTAACGTTCAATTGCAAAACACAAAGTACCCTACATTTTCATTCTTTCCTGAGTTGCTACCCTGCCTTCCTTTTCAAATCAATCACACTCAACTTTTTCCTTGATGCTTTTGATAGTCAAACCTTATTCAGCTTGTTGTTCCATTCCACTAAACAAAATTTATGACAAGTTTTGCTAATACTAGTAGATGGACAACTTAGTAATTAGCTCATAGTTTCTCATCTTAAGATCTGAAATAATTTGTTTCTGATTTCATTTCCATATATTTTGGATTTTGAGGAATCTGTAAGTTAGAATAGGACTTACGTTACTATGTGCATAGAAACATGGAATCCACAACACCGCTTGTATTAGGGCTGGCATGTCCTGCAGAAAAATTAAGGCTGAAATTAAAAACATGGTGACCTCTTGCCTTTTTTTTTTTAATCCACTCAGGTAAATCACCCTTAAGTGTCTGTCTAGACATTTGGCTTCTGGTATAACAATTTTTTTCCCTTATTTCAATAATGCTTTACAAAGTCAAATTGTTCTTATTGATGCAGGTGTACTATACTTCAACTATTTGTTCCCACATCTTTAGTGTCCATTCCTCCATTGAATCTTATATTTTATAATTAAAAATTATAATTTAATTATTAAATTAAATTAAAAAATTATAATTAAAAAAATTCAGTAAATATTTATTCAGTACCAGCCATGTGCCAGGGTTTATTCTAAGTCTTAGGGATGAAAAAAAAATACATCCCATAACAGGGAACTGGCTAAATTAACTATGACATATTCATGTAGTAGAATATCATTTAACCACAGAAAACAGGTGTTAAGAATATTAAATCACACCAAAGGAATTCATGAAGTAATTCATGTAGTATTCATGAATTAATACATGTAGTAAAGCAAAGATAGTTGACATGTTATTTTTGATGCCATGTATAGGAATACATGGAAGAAGGACTTCCTTCTTCCATTTACCTTTTTTCCTTTGAGGAACTTCCATTTTCCATTCTATGAAATTTAGGGACAGAACTGTCAGAATATCTCTCTATGTTTCCCATCATACTTGCACAATCTAGTTATCTGGTCTCTCAAATTTGGTTTGGTCTTTAGTGAGGAATTTGCATATTTTTGTGGTATGTCAGAGAATTGGCTAAAATTTTCATTGGAAGTTGTTAAAATTCCTTTAGTTTACTGCACATGTTTATGCCAATTAAAACTTTCAGTGATGTTTTTGAAAACTGACATAAGAAGATAAGCTGTTAATAGCTCATTGAGGAATGAATCTTGTAAGGCTAATAGATGCACTCAACTATAAACTGAAAGAATGGTGGAGAATTTAGGCTAGTGTCTGAAGTTTGCTTCAGATTCACAATTCTGCTTTGAATTTACTCTACAAATTAGCTAATGAAAATTTAAAATTTTGTTTTATTTTATTTTATTTTTTTTAATTAATAAATTTTATTTTTATATTCCTCATACATTTGCAATCCCCCCATTCTGACCCCAATCCCACCCCTCCCGCCCCCCCACCCCCCAGAAAGTGTCTCTGGTTCATAGTTTTTGTTGATTTTGATTTTCACTTTCTTATAGTTATTCATTTTCCTGGTCCCTTATTTAAGTTTTCTAGATTCCTGCTATGAGTGAGACCATCCGGTATTTTTCTTTTTCTTTTTGGCTTATTTCACTGAGCATGATTTTGTTCCTGAATATAGGAATGAATAATCAAACGTCTTTCAGTAAAATGATAGTAAATTGCTATTCCTAAATTTGTCATTTAATTTTTGAGTTATTGATTATTTCATGCTATATACATGCTAGTGAAACATTTAAAATAAATATACTACTCCAAAATTTTTAAAGAATCTTTGAAAAAATATCCCAAATCCTGCTAAAGAAAACTTACAGTGGATATCTCAATCATTATTGTTTTTGTAGTTAGTTAGGAAAGCACAAGTAGCATTTAGTTATACACAGGTATTGATTATATACTCTATGAACTAGTAAATTCACTGACAATCCCTCTGGGATTGCCAATCATATGTTCTTACAGAATATAATCTGAATATAATGATGAAACTAAAACTATTACATAAGACTCTCATGTTTTATTCAATAATCAAGTAAAAATGATTTAGGCATAATCTAGTTCTTTGCATTATATGCCCAAATATTCTATATTACATGGCAATGTTTCATTTTCTATATTTCTTTGTGTATGTGTGTGTGTATATAACATTTAGTATGTGGAGCAAGAACATGAGTGAATTGAAACATGTAAGAAAGGAACAACAGAAGTGAAGCTTTTTCTAACATTTTATAACAATATTTAAAATAGTGACCACTCCTTATAATTAACTCCACAGCATAAAATCCCTATTATCATCAGAACTATAAAATTTTTTTAAAACCCATCTTGGAAAGAAAAAATGTTTTTACCCCCAGCGGTCATAAAATAATTATTCTGTATGAGACAGCAAATGGATTTCTTTCTTTTATTTGTGAGAATTTTTAAATTTTTATTTAGGTAACATTGGGTTTACATTGTTGTTTGCATTTTAGAGGTATAGGATCTCTTCCTTCATGTGTTGTTTCTATACCATACCCACCAGCAAAGCTCTCAGTCCATCCTCATAGTCTATTGTGCTTCCTCCCAACTTTCTTCTTGCCATTCCCTGTTCCTCTCTTCTTTTGTTGCTTTTCCAAAAATTCTTAAGTGCCTTCATTGATCTTTTGAGCTCCTGCATTTCTTTTATTTCCTTCTTTGGGGACTCAATTTCATTCTTCTTATCACTGACTATTTTTCTCATATCATTATTTTTCTTTTTGCTTTCTTTCAGATTTTTAATCATGGCGATTTTAAATTCTCTATCTGGCAGGCAGAGAAGTTCTTCCATGTCATTGTTGAGTTCTGGTGGCTGAATTTCTTTTTGTGGTGTGTCCTTCCCCTGAGGGCTTACTTTGCTATTTATGTTTTCCCTTCTCCCTGCTGATTGCTTTCTAATTAGTTCTATGCCACTGGTGTTGGCGGCCATCTCTTTGGATTGCTCCTTCAAGGGTGTCAGAAACTGTTTACCAGACTGAGTCCAGTACTGTTAGGCCAAAACTCCCCCAGGGTATTGCTGCTGTGGCTGTGTTGCTGGGCACTGTCCCTTAGGGGTCCCTCCCTCTGTATTTACTCAGTTCCAGAAGGGAGTCTTGTAGTCCCTGTCTTCCAACTATGAACTAGTTGGTGATTTTGTTCTGATCACTAGGTGGCGCCAGAGACCTTTCCTCGTATCCTTCCAGAACTGTGCTTTTCCCCTGTAGGTCTAGGGGAACAAAAAGGGGTGTGTGGGCGGGAGTGGGAGGGGGTTGGTGTGGTTCGGAGCACCTCAACGGCACTGGTGCTGTGCCTTCCCTGTGCCCCACCTTGGTGGGGATCCCACCACCCAAATTTCGGGCCCTGGTTCTCAGTTCCAAAGCTCTCAGACCCAGAACGCGGAAGTAGCCCAGTTCAGTGCCCGCAGATATGGCACCTTTTGCACTCTGATCCTGAGCCCGGGCACCTAGTTTTTGATTACCCACTTCGGGCCATTCACCTCAGTGACAGCTTCCCTGCATCTCCCCACAGTCCTAGGTCCGGGGCTCGGGAACCCGGGCAGGTGGGATCCACGTATACTTTCCGCGCCAGCTTACCGGCGGCCTTTGGCTGTCGGCAGGTCTGTCCGCGGAGTCCCTGTCTTCCTCTAATGGCGCCAAGTTCTTGATGACCCGGTGCCACGCGCTCACCACCGTGGTGGTTCTCCACAGTTCCTGGCCGCGGGGCGTGGTGCCTGCAGTAGTTGCTTTCCGCTCACTGTCCTGCTTGATGTCTAGTTTGTTCTTGTTCTTTTCTCCTTTCTGTTGGTCCGAGTGTGCTGGCTTTGTGGGGGGTGGGAGGGTAGGGGAGAGAGTAGCAGGCTTCTGCTGCTTTCCTCTCTTCTCCTCCTCTGTGATTGCAACTTTCCCCTTCAGGCAGTTTCCCCGGCATGACCAGTTTATCTTACGTGTCCTGGTTCTCACAAGGACCTGCCACTTTTTCTACCTATTAATCGCTTTTATGGGAGAACTTACCTACCCACAGGTAGGTATGTTGATTAGCTGACGTCAATACGCTCCGCCTCTCCTCTGCTAGCCTCCCTTCTGCCAGATTCCCGGGGCTATTGTTAGCTTTGGTTGACCTTTTGTTTTGTTTCTCTGTATTCCACATATAAGTAATACCATCTGGCATTCGTCTTTCTCTTTTTGATTTATTTGAATTTCTTTTTGGAATATTGTAACATTTTAAAGTATATCAGAGGTTATAAAGTTAATATTAAAAACAGTCAAATCAGTAATTAGAAAACATACTGCAAGAAGATTCCACTCTAGCAAACATATAGTCAAAATATTTTAGAACAAACTTAAGAAATATTTAAGACTACTATAAAGAAAAGAACAAAACATTATCATTGATGGAAAGAAATACATTTGGCTATACAGGGAGAAACACTAAGTTCCAGGGTGGGAAGTCACAATATCGTGAAGAGTCTAATTCTCTCCATATAAAATCATTAATTTAATATAGCCTTAATGTAAAGCAAGTAGTAATATTTTTGTGAAGATCTTCCCAACAATTTTGAAGTTCATCTCGAAGAATAAATATTTGGGGAAATTAAAAAAATAAAAGTATATATGAAATTTTCAGCAAATAAGGGCCTCCCTGGTGGTGCAAGGGAGCACTGTGCAAACACAGCACTGTGAAACTGTCCGCAGCCTCTGCAGCACGAGTTCGATCCCCCATCAGTCAGGGAGTTACCCACTTGGTGCAGCAGACCTCTCCTGTCTCACCAGCTGCTCCCCCCTCTGTAGTGTGTTTCAGTCTGTTCTGTTCCCCACTCTGTCTCTGGTGAGTCCTCTCACATACTGCCCCCCCCCACACCTCTGGCCTATACCCCAGTTCTTGTATGCATAAATAAATAAATCTTTAAAAAAAGAAATTTTCAGCAATTAAAATATGTGCACTGGCAATATTTTAACAGGTCAATAGAGCAAAATAAAAAGTCTAGAAACTAGTATTACAATTTAGTATATGTTGAAGATGAGTTTTTCAAACTGTGTGGAGAGAATCCATAATTCAATAAATGATATTAGATCAACTGACCAATTCCCAGGACAAAAAAACATTTCTACATTCTATTTTACATAAAAATAAGTTACTGATAACTAAAGATTTCTATGGGAGAAATGAAACTATAAAATTATCAGAAGAAAAATATGGATGAGTATTTATGTACTTGAGGAGTGGAGAAGGTTTTTCTATGAGTGACAGCAAAGATGTGAGCCATGAAAGAATAATGATTTTATTACATTTAAAAATTATATATGGTCTAAAAATTATAATAAGAAAAGTTAAAATGAAAAAATGGTTAAAATATTGTAGTTTATGGAAAACTTCGCATAGTATGTTCACATCTTCCTAATATACACTCTCCACAACACACATACACATATCTTTGAAAGGTGAATGCACCCATGTTTCTCTTTCTCTCCCTCTCTCTGTCCTCTGTCCCCTTTTACATTTTGGGAAAACTTAGAAAAGGATATCTAAAATAATTTAAGAAATTGTAGTAGAATAATTTAGAGGATGCCAATGAATTTAGACTCCACTGAGTTAGTCTGAGTGTACTTCTTTGTTGATTTGCTAAAATAATATTTGGTGTGCTTTTATTTGTTGCTTTTTAGGGTGAAGAAGGTGACCAGGGCGAACTGGGAGAAGTTGGAGCTCAAGGCCCTCCAGTAAAGTATTTTTAAAAAAACTATTTAACTAGGATATGCAAGTATTCTTTTTTTCATGAATTTTGGAGTATTTTCTATTCTGTATTTGAATTAACAACATTATACTCACATGCCATTCTCTGTTTTTCTAAGCTACCATTTGGAGATTACCATTTTTTCAAAACAGGAAAGGAAACATTGTACATTCAAGCATTTTTTTTTAAACAGAAAATATCTACCCATAATCACCTACATTTATTACTAGATCTCAGGATCAGGTAATCTGAAAGCAAATATTTATGTTCTATTCCACTATCATGTGTTATAATGAGAAACTTTTATACATTGAATATGCAGCAGGTAAATCATTCACTGGATTAATGTAGTTTATAACTATGTATTCAGTACAATTAGAACATTCTTAATTGCTCATAATCTTGTCTTTTAATAAAAAGTTGGTTTCTTAGGCTTTGATATATTGCTGCAATAATATGCACAGTGAGGTGATTTGGGACATTGATATCAGTCTAAATTGCTTGTTAAATCAGGATTTGCATTACTTTTGTACTGTATGAAAGTGAAATTGTCCTTTTTTTCTTGTCACAATGAGTAATGACAATTATGGAAATAATTTCAGAATATATATTGCACATTTGCAGCTAAGTGAGGTATGGATGTATAGACGATAAGCTTCAGTTCTACTCTCAGAAACTAAAGTATCGTGAAAGACATATTCAGGGCTACTGTTTCTTCCCTTGCTCTTCTCTTCCCCACAAGCCTCACCTTTTATACATTGCAGGGAGCTGTGCAGATTAGTGTTTACCTAGAGATTAGTGTTGAACCGAAGTATGCTTATTTAGGAATTCATATCAGGTCTCCCTGATTACAAAGTTCTTGCTTTTAAGCTTTCCTTTAACCTGTCTTCCAAAATTTTAATAACTTTTTCTTGATCAAACATAGATCTATATTGTATACATTTTTGGCTAGTAATTTTATGAGCTTTTTAATGATTCCTACAGGATGGCTAGGCCAAATGCTCAATCTAGATCAGTCAATAGAAGGTTGACTCTTCCCCCACCACCAGTCATGTGGTTCAATATGATTTTATTGATAAGCTGATAGTGTTCACTAATTGTTAATGTGAAGATTAGATTCTTTGACTTTTCAGTCTATCTTCATCATTCTTCTTTTATCTGTCTATAAAATTAAATTATTTCAGCTTTTTGTAGGTTTATCTCAGAGTGATGAGAGTCTGTATTTATTCTAAAATAGAAGAGTTCCTTATCTATATTATAAACTTCTACTAGGCATCCAGTATAAATCATGACATGCCTGTACTTTTTAGTCTGTCCTCTATATTGGGCTCTTAAATAGCTAGGAATCCATGAAGTGAAACAAAATTCTCCCCAAAACTTTTACTTTGTTCACCCATGTTATTATGATTCTTTATAAAGCATTTCATTGCAATATTATAATAACAAAAAAAGTATGCTTTTTTTTTTCCCCTTCAAAGTAGTTACTTTGAGGAGTAATACCTGGGGTTCTCGTGTCACTGCTACTGATCCAAATATTTTTGGAATTCTTTTTTGTAGAAATGCCTTCAGAAGAGCAGCTTTAATATGATAAACATATCTCGTATCCTAGGTGGATCTACATACTGGATCATCCTGTGCATTTGTGTTTCATGTCACACAGAATTTGTGACTGATCTGAATGCAGAATTTGGCTTTTAAATTGCCCCATTTTCTCCAAGTGAGAACACAAAGGAAATGACTGGCCTAGAACGACTCTATCTTGAGTCAATGTGGACAGTTGGCAAGATGTGCAGAAGTAGCTGCCCTACTTTCCTGATGGAGCATTCACCCAGGCTCCCTCTTAGCAGATTGATTTCTGCAGCCCTGTGGCTGTGGGCTAGTGTCAAGAATGGTGACGTGTCCATGATGAAAGACCCTAGAAATCATACCCCACACCCTTATTTTTAGGATTACCCTCTCCTGTGCCTGAGATGGGATAAGATGGGTTCCTACTGCCCCAAATTGGAATTCAGAATGCCTTTAATTGTAGAAATGGTCATATGGTGTACAATGAACACAAGCATTTGCTCAAGACTAGCTTGATGTATGTGTCATAAAATTTTGTTTAGACTAACCTGGGGACCTAAATGCCTTTGATGGTCTGCATTGGTGGGAAAAATTATTCCAAGGCTTAAAATAGCAATTATGTTATATGTAACTAAGTTACAAATGAAGGAGGTGGGATTGGTGATTTGTATTTTGTATATATGTCAAAAGACAAGTCAAATACATTATCACAATTTTCTTTTGCTAATGATATTTATATTTTTGTCATCAATATTTTTTAAAGATTCAGAATTGTATAAGTCTTCATTATTTTTCAAAAAGGTTTTATTGTCAGAAAAACTCTCCTTGGATTTGTCTTTTGAAACTAGAAAAGTTTGTTTATATAATGCCACTATTTCCTGCTCTTACTTTTGGTCATGATGACATCCTTGTAGGTGAGCTTTTGTGGTGAGATGAAAGAATGTGCACATCGAGTAAAATAATTCATTTTTCTTTTTTACATTTCCAGGGAGCTCAAGGATTGAGAGGAATCACTGGTGTAGTTGGAGCCAAAGGGGAAAAAGTAAGATGATAATGATGATGATGATACAGTATCAAAATGTATAAATATTTAACTTTTGGCCACTTAAAGACATTTTATTTTCAGCAATATCACTTTATATTTTTCACTTGGTGCTTTGTAGAGGTTAAGTTTTCATGTTTCTGTTACAAACATTGATGATAGAAATGAGTGATCTACATGATACATATGTGTATTTTTAATTACTATAAATAAATAGGAGTAAGCAGGTTATGTTTTATCTCTATCCTTGTAGGTAGTTTTCATTGATAACACTGACATAGTACCTGAGTGTGCAAGTCAAAGACAGGAGAGGTTGGAAAAGGAGAGGCAGAGGAGGCAGGATGCCCTCATCCTGCAGGCCATTGTGATTCAATTATCACATTGGCCGCTGGCTCTGCCTTTAACATGGATCACACTCCTGTGAACAGAGTTCACCTCTCTGTCCTTAGCCTGGTTTCAGAGACTAGAGTCTTCCAGCATTTCCCGAACAAGGTACTCATTGAGAAGCTGGGGAGATTCACAGAGGACTGAGGTCTTTAGCAAGTAGATAGCTAACTATAATGCAAACAAGGGAGGCATAAATGTTAGGGCATGTGGTATGTGGGAGTGAAGATGTAGAGCTCATGAAGAAGGTAGCTTTGGAAGGATGGATGCTGGGCCTAGAAGGGTGAGTTTTCGCTGCTGGTGGAGGATTGAAGGACAGGGACTGAATAGCCCAGACAAAAGCAATGGAAACCTGATCATTTGTAATATGCTCAGAAATGTCTCCCCCTTCTCCCCACCCCTTTGCCTAGGTATCTAGCTTCTCTATCCATTTTTGGGAAATTGTTAACATTTCTCAGAGGGTATACTAGGACAGTGAATTTGTAAACTCCAGAAAATGAGTAAGAGCATCTTTGCCAAACCCCCACTTCTAATCCTTGCCTTATTTTCTTTACAACTTCTGTGGCTAATTTCTCTTTGTGTCATTACACAAAGCAGCACAGACCCTTTTATTAGTAACTTTCATTAGCAACTTGTGTAAGTGTTCAAAAAATGAGGGTAAATAATTTTTTAAAAAGATGTACAAATTTGTGAATTAAGGGAATTCTCTTGTAAATGATTTCTTCATTTTATTTTTTTTTAAGGTTCTTTATCTCTTCTAGGTATTTTTATACTGCCTTCATTCTTCCATTTCCTCAAAAGTATTTCTTTTCTAATAATACTGTACTTTAAAAAATGTGTTGGAGTCTTTATTTCTATATTCATGTTACCTTAAGTAGCAGTCTGTGTGTATTTCTTCTGTTATTAAGCAATAAATCCCACTTATTTTGAAATTCTCATATCTAGGCCTTTGCTGTCTCTGGATTTAAATAATCTCCCAAAATATGTGACCCCCTCACTTTGAAACCAATTACTGTTCTTGATATGTTCTTTATTTGAGGTATTTTTCCATTCGGTATATTTCAAAATTTCTCATTTCCCCTGATTTCTGTCAAATTGCTTTCAATAGGGGAAAAACCACTCTTCTCATGAACTCAGACCCATGGAGTGGTTACCTAGTAACAGCAGTTTGGGTCTGAGCTCATGCTGAACAGCAATAAGAGAGAGAGAGAGTGAGTGCATCAAAGCCATTTCTATAATGCAAAGGCCAGCTTCACTTTCATAAGGCAAGATGAATGATGAATTCAAGGTCTTTTTCAGGTCTTCCAGACCTCTTCCTCCCTCATGCAGGTAGAATGCCTTCTGCTATGTTCTAGTTTTTAGGGATCAAAGAATTCCAGGGCTCTGTGGTACCTTTGCTTCAACTGTGCTCTTTCCTTGATTTTACCTATGTCTGTACCTTCTATGAAAGATTTTCTTTTTTTTTTTAATTCTTACTACAGATGCTGCCCATGTGATTTTCATGGTCTTACATTTAGCCAATATTCTTTGGACTGGTTTTCCATTTATTTTATCATCTTCCTGTCTCAACCCTGTTCATTAAGAGACAGCCTGTTCATGTTAATTGCTCTGCTGCTTTCTCATTCACTTAATAGATGAGAAAAAGACAAAAAAGTAGGTTGAATTTTGAGCACAAGAAAATGCCATATTTATGTTGTAACAGTCATATTTTTATTCTTATAATGAAAATGAGGAAGTGGTGGTATATGTAATATCAATATTACCAAGCCAAGTCAGAGATAATCTCAAGATAATTAGATTCAAAGGCCCCATAGTTTTAAGGTCATCATCACTTGATAGGGTGACTCTGTTAAAAAAAAAATAGACTAATACAAATCAGACCTAGCATCTATCCAGGTGGACTAGAAGATTCTCAAATTCTTATTACAATTCATTTTTCTGAACCACATCATGGACTTCTGAGTCTAGATCTTGTTGGAATTCTTGAACACCAGAATCCCCTCCACAGCTATGGCAGCATCAGAGTCCATGGCACTGTTTTTGGGGTGTCTCCTTGGTGTTCAGCATTAATGAATTCTGGTCATTCTGAAAACTCTAGAGAGTGGCCCAAACCTCTTCCTGTGGGTTTTCCAAATTCCCTGACAGTATGGTATTTTCAGTTCATGTCAGCAGTTCAGAATCAAAGCAGTGTTAAAATGTCCAGAGTAGTATCAGAGTTTGGGTACAAGTACTTTTGTTGGGATAAGAAGATGTAAATTAGTGTTTTCAATCTGAGATGTTTGATTAAATACTTCCCAGGATTCATTAATGAAGAGTATATATAGCAAACACAAAACCTCCTGTTTAACTGACTGCCAAAATTCCTTAAAAAGACTGATGTGGCCTGTAACATACATGACTGATCTCAAATTTAATTTATTGTCTTGCTTTTTTTTTTGTAGGGTTCTCGGGGCTTAGATGGAGACCCTGGGCCTCGAGGCATTCCTGGTGCACCTGTGAGTGGTTTTCCTTTCATAAGACCCAATGATAGACTTTTTTAGCAGTGATATCTTTTTGCTATATATACACATATGTGTGTGTGTGTGTGTGTGTGCGCATGCACAAGCATCTTTTATGTAAATAATAAAAATGGAAAAATGGGCAATTGTTGTAATATTTATTTTAAGAAATTTTAATTAAGATCTCTTTTTTTTAACACAGAGAACTGTTCTTCTGACTTGATATAGTTTTTGTTTTTCTCATAGGTAAAGTCAAATTGTAGATTTATGTTTGCTGTGTTTTACTTTTGCTTTGGTTCCAGTCACACTATTTATCTCATTTCTAGTTTTTGAGTAGCCTTTTTATGATTTCTGATTTCATTCCATATTTTGACTGCCATATGTGTATCATTATCATTATCATAAAACTGCCTCAAATCTTCTTCAAAAGTAAATAAAAATATCAATAAATAGTTAGCTATACTTGCATTATGGACACACATCATTTTATTATAAGTGAAATAAAAAGACAAGTCTTTAATTATACCTTTGATAGCATCAGTTTATTTTAAAGATTTATTTATTTATGCATACAAGAACTGTGGTACAAGCCAGATGTAGGGGAGGGGGGAAGGATTCACCAGAGATAGAATGGGAAACAGAACAGGCAGACTGACCAAAGTACACTGCTGAGGGGAGCAGTGGGTGAGTCAGGAAAGGTCTGCTGTGCCATGTGGGCAGCTCCCTGACCCGGGATAGAGCTTGTGCTGCAGTGGCTGAGGACAGCTTCACCCTTGCGCCACCAGTTTTTAAGACAATATAGTGTTTATACAAAGATTTCCTGAACTAGACATCCTTGGTAGAAGAGCAAAGTCACTGGGATGAAAAAACAATAGTTTGGTAAAGTGAATGATGTTTTATAATTTCAAAAATTTATTAATGAGTAACTTTTGCTTATATTAACGAAATTGTATCTTCTTACAGGGTGATCAAGGACAGCGGGGACCTCCAGGAGAAGCAGGTCCCAAGGGAGAAAGAGTGAGTTCAAAATACTCTTAATTGCTATAAATGTCCTGATTGTTAGTGTCTTCTGCTGATCATACTTATTTCTTTGAGGTGTCCAAGTACTGTGATAACTGAGCTTGTCTTGTCCATCTGTTGCCCCTCTGCTCTGCAGGGGGCTCAAGGTTCTCCAGGAATTCCTGGCCTCCCTGGATCTAAAGGAGACACAGTATGTGGTGTGCTATAATCTTCAAGTACATTTTTCAAATTGACTATTAAAATAAAACAAGAAATGATGAAGGGAAGAAGAATGTAACAGTTCCTAAAGGACAGTGTGTTTCTTTGTATGTCTTTAGGGCTTGCCAGGCGTGGATGGCCGTGATGGGATACCTGGAATGCCCGGAATGAAGGTATCTGGGTGATTTAGTCTGGGCCAACCACATGCAGCATTTTCATTACTATATCATTGAAGTCTTATTTAGCCGGTTTTAGCTGTCTTCCTCCTTTTAATTTTTTAATCAAGTATTAATTTAAACTACTTATTAGAGTAATATGTTTGCCTGGTTTCAGGAACTCAGTAAAATTTTCCTGTTGTTGAAAGTAGGCTGAAGGAAATTGTGTATTTTGATTAAATTTATATCCTAATTCTTACTCTACCCCCACACTGAACTGCTTCATATCAAACAGCATGTAAGGTCAGCTGTATTGCTAATCCTCTTACTAAAAAAGTTTGTATCCTTCCTTTTCTTAAAGAACTATAGTAGTTCACACAGTTTCAATGATGCACTAAAAAATTTTTTTCAGGGTGAATTAGGGAAACCTGGACCTCCCGGTGATGCAGGATTGCAGGGTATGCCTGTAAGTATTTGATCGTTAAATGTTTATTAGTTGATATACATTTTGGAGGGATACATATTGAGTAGTTTGATAAGTTCTGGAGAAGATATGATGCTTAATTTTTACACTTATATTTTTATACTTTTTTTCTTAATCATTAGCTATTTATCTATTTATCTAATAAAGGTTTAATTTTATATTTTGCTTCCTTCTTTTCTCTTTAGTTCTCACAGTCTTCCTTATCTCTTTTTACCAAGAGATCCTGTGGTTCAGGATCATATACTTCCCACTACTTTTAACTTCTTGTAGAACTCTTGTTGGTAGGTCAAGCCATCAGATGGTTGAGAGTATGCTCAGGGTACAATGTCAAATATAAAATATCATGTTTTATTATGTACCATTTTGAATTATTCACCTTGGTATTTCCCTGCATTAATGTAGCTGGAAGTTTATGTGGATTATATCACATGTATTGTTGGCTCTTTGGTGGCAAATGGTAATAAGTTAAACAGGGATATGTGGTAATATTGAGGACTGACCTCTGATTTATTTTATCTGACAATTCAAAAATCATCAGAGTCTATAAGGACTTCCAGTAGTACCAAATCTTATACTCAACATTCTCCTGCCATTCTGTTTTTCTATTTAAAGCTTAGCAATTTTTTTTAGGTCTTCATTTTGTTATTCTGCATATGAAATCATGTTGATAAGAACTCCTGTTATTTCAAATGTTATTGGATTATAGTTTGGAATTTCATGCTTGAAAAATAATTAGTTTAGAGGTAGTATTTTCTTTAAGAGTTTTCAGAATTAAGAAGCTAGATAAAGTAAAGTAATACCAACTAAACTGTGTGTAGTTCTATAACTGATAGTCCAGAATTGGGGGCTTTGGAAGATTCTTCCTTACACTAAAGCCTTGAGGTTGTCATGGTTCCCTCAGCCTCTCAGCAATGTGTAAATCCACTTGGCATCTTGTGGATTCTCAGATAGGGTGAATCAACTCCACTTCCATGTGCATTCTTTCAGGGTGTTCCCGGGATTCCTGGTGCAAAGGGTATTACTGGTGAAAAGGTAAAACTTTACAATTAATATTTTTCTTTCTTCTTTTATTCTTTTAATAATATATTTTTATTATAATTTTAAATGTTTTAAATTGCTTTTGTTTTATATTTGACCCTTAGGAGCAATATAAAAGGGTTTAAGCCTTCAAATGCTAGTCTATTTCCTAGCTGCTGGAAGAATACTTTGAGAAAATATTGCTGATTTCACCTCCTTTTTGAAATGTCATCCTTTCCTAGTGTAAAACAGAGAAAGTTTTATTGTTCTTTACCACTTAAAATAAGGAAGATGTTATTATTTTTATTACATACAAATTATGTCAGTGAATATTAAAGTGACTCAGCTTACACTGAAAAAAAAAAAGCCTTTTTGTTCACATGCTGAGTAACCAGTCCTTATTTCTTATCAATTAAAAACAGTAGGTGAATGAAAAAAAATAGGGAAATGAATATATAGTTTAATTTAAATAAATTAAATAAAATGAGAAATTGGTCCCATTTAGGTTATATGACTGCAACCCTGCAATCATACGGCTACAGTGTGTTGAGCAGACATGTTCCCTAGTAAAGTGGCCTGTGAGAGACTGATGGGGGCCCTGGCTTCTTAGCAGGTGCCTTCCCTGGAGCTGACTGCCAGGTTTTTTTCTCAGCAGTGAGTCCTCTTATTTCCTCACACTGGCATGATTCCTCATAATTTTAACAGTGTCAGTATTTGGCGAAAGGGTTCAAAGAGGTGTATTGAAGGTGAAAATGGTAAAGGAAAGACATATCATTAACATCTTGAAGAAAAACAAAATCCTTTTGTTTTTGTCTGCATTTTTTGACACCTTTACTAGACTTCTGTGACTAAAAAGTAGTGTCTTAAATCTAAAGGACTTAATGTATCCACTTAGAATGAGATTCTATATCTTCCCCAATTCTCATGTGAAATTGGGAAATTAATGCCATTTAAATATAGAGACACCCATTGTAGACAAGAGGGGTTGACGATTGTGGCTTCTTATGGTCTGGATTACTTTGAATGTTGTCTTTTTACCTATAGGGTAACACGGGTGCTCCAGGGAAGCCTGGCCAACTAGGGAATTCAGGCAAGCCGGTAAGGTGCCATTTTACCTGTCCATAGCTACCTGTTGTATGTTCACTAAACAAATCATTATTGATAAGGAGTCTTAGCTTCTTCTTTACCTGCCTTGTTCATAACAGGGACAGCAGGGACCTCCAGGAGAGGTGGGACCCCGAGGACCCCGGGGGCTTCCTGTGAGTATTCCTTTTTTGTGTCTGCAACTTTTCCAAAGTGTCTTTTGAGGACTTCTCTGGGTTTCCCTCCAGTCATTCATTCATCCACAGGCACCTTCTGATATTTGAGCATATGCTTTTCCAGAATGACAGTGAAATGGAGAATGCTATTGAGATATTCAATATGTTTTTCTTATCAGAAAGTGGAAGCAAAAATATTTTTGAAAGTCTGACAATCTTTTCTGCTGTAATTCTATGTTGAAGGATGTGTTATACTACAGCAAAATAAACTTTGACGTGATAGAACTCATATACTATATAATTCTCCCACTTAAATTGCACAATTCATTAATCTTTAGTGTATTCACAGAACATTTTCATCACTCCAAAAAAGAAAGCTGTAAACACTGCAGTCATTCAACATGTCCCCGAGCCCCCTCTGCCCTAGGCAATCACAATCCATCTCTGTTTCTGTAGATTAGCCTATTCTTGAAATTTCGTATCAGTGGAATCATATAATATGTGGAACTTTATTTTATGATTGTCTTTTCTCACCTAGAATATTGTTTCATGGTTCACATATATTGTACCATATATTAGTACTTTATTTCTTTTTATTGTTGAATAATATTCAATTATATGAATATATCACATTATTTTCATACATTGATTAGTTGATGGACATTTATTTGTTGTTTTTTTCATGTTTTGGCTATATAAATAAGTCTGCTATGACCATTCTTCTACAAACTTTTATGTGGACATATAATTTAATTTCTCTGGAGTATGTATGTAAGAGTAGAATTGCTGGGTGATAAGATAACTGTTTCACCTTTGAGAGGCTGCCAGATATCTTTCAGTGTGAGTCTGTAAACATAGCAATGCCTATTTTCTCAGTAGATAGTTTAACCCTCAGAGAGAAACTGGGAAATTGAACATTATGCACTTAAATTTAACTTAAAAATACTTCCTCTTGCCTTGAGTTTAAGTTCTTATTTTCAAAATCTGCCGAGTAAAAGAATTCCTAGTGAGAACACAGAAACATTTTCAAATATCACAGTTAAGTCTTCTAAAACATTTCTTGAGTATGTCGAATGGGAATTTTTATGCTTGAGGAAAGTGAAATATTCCATGTATCTTGTGACGTGAGAGTGGAGTTTTTCTACTTCTTATAGATGTTTGTCAACTGACCTCTCCCAGGTGGTGTCCTGAAGTTTCTCTGCAAACAAAGAAGCTAGCTCCTGCAGCTCATTACACCCTTTCCTGCCGGCTCTTCAGCGTTTCTTCTTTCTTGCTAGAGGCCTGCAAATTTCTTAGTAAAGTACTTGCCTTAAATTGACTGTCAAAGCCGTGAGGATGTAGCTAGATCACATTTTTAAAACTGTGGTCTGGCTAATGTGACTAGTCCAAAAAGATTGAACAGTGTGGGAGAGGAGCACTGGACTTTGAGAATGTTGACTTTCATCCAGTATTCACTTTATAGAGCAGCAAACTGAGTTCAGTGGAAGGAGTTGAATGCCGGACTATGCACTGAACACAAAGCTTAACACAGGTAGAGAGGACTTGGCCCATCAGCAGTAAGTCATAAAGATGTCTAAAGGAATGGACTAGGCGCAGAACAACAGCAGAAGACTCTCTCTCTCTCTCCCCCTCTCCCTCTCTCTCTCTCTCTCTGTGTGTGTGTGTGTTGGAGTGGATGGGTTGTATTTAATTTTTCTCATGTGACTATAGGCAGATCAGAGGAAGTTATACTTATGCAGGTTTTTGAGCCCGATTCAGATTTTGATTTTTGAATTTTTATAAGACTCCAGAGTCCTCTCATTGTTCCTGTCACTGAGGGTCAACACCTGGTCTCCTTCTATCACTTTACCCATCTACATTCTGACCTGTTGATTCTACCACAACTTTTCCAAGTCTCTTGTATTTGAATTTTTTCTTTCTTTTTAAAATATATTTATTTGGCATAGAAGAAGTGGGATGTAGTCCATAAGTGCAGGAGGTGAGAGGATTCACCAGAGACAGAGTGGGGAGCAGCACAGGCAAACTGACTGAAATACACTGCTGAGGGGAACAGCGGGTAAGACAAGAGAGGTCTGCTGTGCTCTGTGGGTTAGCTCCCTGCTGGGGATTGAACTCAGGTCATGGTGATGATAGTGCTGAGACATAACCCCTAGGCCACTAGGGAGGCCTATTTGACTCTTTTGTACACCCACATCCACCACCCAGGCTCTGATCACTACCTACTGCTTCAGGACTATTGCAGTCATCTCCTGATTTTCCTTTCCAGCCCCAGACTCTCTTTCCTTGGTATCCCCCAACAGGAGACCAAAATATTGTTGATATTTTGTTTTTTTCTTTTTTAAAGATTTATTTATTTGTAGAAGCACTGGGCACAGTCAGAAGTGCAGAGAGTGAGATAATCCACCAAAGCCAGAGCGGGGAGCAGAACAGGCAGACTGATGAAATACACTGCTGAGGGGAGCAGCGGGCATGGCAAGAGAGGTCTGCACGCTATGTGGGACCCTCGCCTGCGGCTGGGGATGGAACGGGCACTGCAGAGGCTGCAGGCAGCTTCGCAGCCCAGTGCTCAACCGCTGCGCCACCAGGGGAGGCCCTATTGTTGGTATTTTGCCAGGGAAGATTTTTGTTCTCCAGGCTCTTGCATGTTGCAGGGTCTCTAGTATCTATGAACTCCACCCTAGACTGTCTTCACAGTCATTGTGACAAACAAAAATGGCAAGCATTGTGACAAACAAAAATGGCAAGCTTTTCTGGGACATGGTAGTGCCCCCAGTCTGCACATACCACCCTATTGGTCTTCCCACTTTTCTTCATCATTAAACATCTTTAATGAATCTCCACTAGAATGTCCAAAATCTTGAACTGTCTGTTTATTTCCTTAGTTCCCATTTCTGCCTTGTTTGGAATCTGTGTTGTAATCAAGCTGGATTTTCTGCTAATTCCCAAATATCTCTCCACTTTTTGGCCTGCCTATTTTCTTTTGTTATACCCTGCATTTAGATGGGTTTCTCCACTTCTTAACATCCCTTGTGTCCTCTTATATATAATTGAAAAGTTAATCTACAACAAAACCATTTCTGATATGCACTGTCCTTAGTAGATTTGATCTCTCCTTAATCTGAATTCCTTAACCTTTGGCACCTTTTGTCCAAACTGTGAAACTATAGGAAGGCAGGGACATCTGATCCACCTTGTGTCCCCACATTTCTTTCTTAGGGTTTGCCACTAGGTAAGGCCTAATAAGTATCTCTTGAAATAATTTGAATTGCTGGTATAATACATCTTGATATGCTGCTTATATTGGTAATAACTGACTTCTCACCTACTCTAAAATTTTCAGAAAAGTATCATGAGAAGTTATAAATATTATAGCGTTGGAGCAGAGTTTTAACACCAAATCTACTCACTGAAAGATACATTTGTTCTTTCATTTTACATCATGAGATCCAGTTTCAGAGATAAATTCACACATTTTCAACTATTTCTCACAAGTTTGACTGGTTTTTCCTGCAAATTTCAAACCGAGAAGCTGAGTGGAAGGCATGAAAACTTATTTCTATTATCTCCTGCTAATGGACCAGGGCAAACGGAGCACACCAGTGAAATTAGTAATATCTCCCTTCCTCCACCATGGTTTCATCAGCTTTTGCCAGTACTGAAATCCGAATGAAACTAGGTAAAATTGACAAACCTGCCTGAACAAATTCTTGGAAACTCGGCTTCAGAAGAATGGAGTGAATTGCCAGGGCCATCACTAAGGTATGACAAGATCCAGGCTAGTGTGAAAGAAGTTAGATTCATTAGACTGGAAAAAACAGCTCCCACAGGGCAAGGGGGGACTTGAACGAGATACCTAAGGGGTGCTTCTTCAGGCTATTTTATAGCTTCTTCATGAGGCTCTGGCATTTGACTGCTCCAGACTCTGCTAAACTCTGTTAATCCGGCATCGGTTGGGGTTACTGCTGGTGGAAACCTATCTTCCTCAATACCACAGAAACAAAATATTGGTGTTTTCGATATCTCAAGTAATTGCTTATCAAAGTATATACATCCTCCGCTTGGACATTGCTTCTGGCTCTCTCTATCTTGTTCCAGTTTGTTTATAACTGGGTTTGGTGCCTTTTTTTTTTTTTTTTTAAAGCAGACAAGTGACACGGCTTCTTATTTGATACTACCATGCTGGGACTCCTGATTAATTGTCTTTTCTTGGCTTCTCAGAACTTTCCAGCATCTTTGTTAAGTGGGTTGTATTTGCTCTTCTCTCATGATTCTGACTGGTATGAATGCCATGCTGATCTATCCCAGTTTTCTGAATATTATATACTCCTGGAGTACAGAGGTCTCACACTGTCTTGAACTTCCTGTCGGAGCCTGTGGTCAACAGCCTCCAGCACAAAGACCCCCTATGGTGTGTTGCTGTATAATCTGAGTTGCCCCACCCAGGCCCTGGAATGTAACCCTATCAATCATTTGTGAAGCTGCTGTGCTAGTTTCCTTTAGATGATTCTGATTTGCTTCTCTGTGTGAGGCATATTTAAGTCTACTAGAGAGAAATATAAATTGTGATGCTACAAAATTGAATAGATTTAATAAATCTGTGGCAAACCTAAAAGTTACCATTGTTCTAGGACTAATATGGTCTTCCAGTACTAATATGAAAATGTAAAAGCAACAAACTATAGAAAACATAATTGATTTTCTGGGTTAATTAGTATCCTTCTTGCCAGTGAGAGACACTTAGTATATAATAGATATTAAACATAGTGATTTAAAATTTTTCCCTTCTCAAATTGGCAAGGTACTAAAGATAATGTTTTTTTCTTCAGCTAGAGAACATTTTGGGCAATTAGGCAACTACAGCAACCATTCAAATCTAGAGTACAATGAGTAGAGTAAAATCCATTTGGGAGGTAAAATAATTATGCCAACACAAGTATAATAAATATGTTCCATGACTTTATTAAAAAAGTCTAATAGTTCTACTTTAAAAGAGAGACATCTCATCTAAATTGTATTTGTATTATTGAAGTGAGTTTTATAGAGTGGCTCCTAGTATTTATTTATAAAGAAGATGCCTTCTTGGTGATCAATGGAGTTGACAGAACTTGAGAAATGAGGACTAGAGACTTATTTTTCCCAAACATAACTTAGGCTTTTAAAGAGAGTTGGAAGATTTGAAAGGAAAAGAACACTTAATTAGCTTTATTAAAAAGTATAATTGTGACTGATTTATTTTGTCCTTGGATACAAATAATACTTAACACCTATGTTGTGCTCACGATAAGCCAGGCTCTGCTAAGTGATTTATGTAACTTGTAATTCCCTATGAAATAAGTTCTGTTTTTATCCCCACTTTATAAATGAGGAAACTGAGGCAAAGCAGTTAAGATATATGCTGAACGTGATCAGCTGATACATAGCAGAGCCAGGCTTTGCACTTGGCAATGAGGATGAGCATCTCTGACATCATTTCTACTCTTGACAGCACAAGTCAATTTGAAGTAAACTTGCTAATTCTAATGGTACAGGACACATTTAGCAAATTTTAAATTTAGTTTTTATGGAACTCTCATCATAAGCATTTAGTAAAACCTCTAAGTAAAACAAATAAAGAAACAGATACAACAACCTTGGTCTTAGCCCAGACCTACAAAATCAGAATCTGAGAGAGAAGGGTGAGATAAGGAGAGGGATGGGGAGATGGAGAGGTGGAAGATAGTGGTGAAATATATTTCTAAAAAACTTCTGGATGTCCTGATGCATACCCAGAGTTGAGAATAACTGATGGAGGGTCTGCATCTTGTATTTTAAGGCTTTAGTTGGCTTCTTAAAATCTTGATTGGTGTCTGAAGTTGTTAAAGGGCAGAGTGAGGGGTACCCTAGGACACCCACATCTTCCTGCTCTAAATGGGTTCTACCATCAGCCATGTCAAGACAAAACATACTCTTGTGTGTAAGGCCTTCAATGGAAAGAAACTTTAATACAATTAGTGTGCAATAGATAGAAGAGAAAGAATATAGTTAGTTTCCAATTAATCAACCCAAATTACCCATCCCTTCCTGGGTTAATGCCCAGCCAAACAGGGTTGGCCAAAAGCAGAACTGCTGAGGCCCAAAAGCTTGCCGCAAGTCTAAAGTACCTTCTGGTGGGGCCCCATAGGAAAGGAGCAGAAGGGCCAGGCAAGCTTGGAAGGAAAAGAGCAAAATCAAAATCCATGTCAAGATAAAGGCTGCCATTGCCAACCTCCCCATTGGTCTCTCACCCACATCTCTCTTTTAAGTGTCTCCTTCCATGTCCCCCAAGTCTCTGGTATAAGTCAAAGGCCAAGAAGCTAGCTCAGCTTCTTTACCTATCTCTCTGCTCCATGTGACTCCTTCAGGTCTTCTTGATCCCCTTCTTTCCTTCTCCTTGTCTTCTCTAGCTTCTCCTCCTGGCCAAGCTCTACCCTTTCTTAGGATAGGGCAGGGAACCCGGAACCTCCCCTTTCCTGGGGATTATCTGGTTACAAAGATGTTAGAGATATATGTGATAGCACAGAGCCTCCAAGAGAAAAATAACCTTATTTTATGGTCCTCATATTTTTAGTGGTAGTATTTTGCCTTTTTTCTTGTTTTTCAATTCTCCTGTTAAAAATCATAACTCTTGTTGCTGTGGTGTTTGTCAATATTAGCCACTGGGCAGAATAGCCATTTCCCTACCAGCCTCCCTTGCACATCTGAGAATATGGCTATCATCACAGCTGTTGAAATGTAAGATTTATTATTAATTTTACACACTTGTTATTACCAGGTCATGGTTAATTACTCCCTGCAGAATATGTTTAGTTTAGTCTGTGCTTTTAGAGATTACTATTTATATCTTCATTACTCATGCTCATTTTTGCTGAAGGTGAAATTCCAGAGTATGCATGTTTTTATAATACATAGAAATCACAAGAATGACCATCAGAAAATCTTGTCCTATTGATAAATGAAACCTATAACAAAACATAGAAATCTGATCATAGAACTGAAGCTGGTGGGTGTGGGGTGCAGAGCAAAGTGGGAAGGGGTACAATAGACTGTGGTGATGGACTCCCGGTGCCTTGCTAGTAGGTGTGGTGTGGTCACATACCTCTGAAGGGTGTGATCCTGTACCTCTAAATCATACAGTGTTGTTAACCAATATTACCTCAATAAAAAAGAAAGAAAATCTCTTACACTTTGTGTGTAGCTGTTAGGTCACTGTTACGAACATAAACATTACTTTTATCTACAATGAGGTAATTTCTGTAGAAATACCAAAGGAAGATGGCAAAGGATTTATAGAATGGAAGTGAAATAAAAACGAGAAAACACATGCTTTCTAGTTTTGCAATAACAAAAGTAAATGCCCATCATAAGTTCACTAATCCTTCTCTAGTCTTACTTGTGGGACTCTCATTGGCACTCAAGTTCAACAGAGCAGGCAGTTAATACTCAGGTCTTAAGTCTCCTCATATGTATTACCAGGGTCCTGCCAGTTGGAAAATATTGATAAATTGAATCATAAGAGCTCATGAAAGACAGAGAACATAAGGTTGCAGAAGAGAAGGTCTTTGTTTTTGACTGGAAAGATGAATAATCTCTCCAAAAAACAAGTGGAAGTTTATATAATCTTCTGTTTTATTTTGGATAAGATGACAGAAGCATTTGTTTATTTAGAAGTGAATACTTGAGGTTGTGTGAAGAACTGAGCTTTCCTCTACTGAGATGATTATTTTCACACCTATAAGTATTAATTGTTATGCAGATGTTAGTCCAATGACACTTAAGATCACAATCATGAGGCAATTCAAAAATTATTTGAAAATGCCAGAAGAGCAGATGTACTAACAAAAAGCTGTCTGGAACTTAGAAGTGCTGGGTCATACTAATGGGGTGGAATCCAATCTTGGTATTTCTATCACAGTAGCTGGTTTTCATTTAGATTTACATCCTTCTGGTATCTGTGCTTAAGGCACTGCCTCTGATTTCTAAGCTGCTCATGGGCTTAGAGACACATCTTGCATCCTCAATTCACACACCAAACAGATTGCTTATCTAAAAATTTCAGAAAATGCTTAAAGGCATATTTTAAAATCACTTGTAAATCATATGAAATGACTGCCATAAAATTATAGCTCATAGCCAGAGACTTGTAATTTGAGAAACATTTCTATATCTTTAGAGAAACTGACAATTCAGATTATGGGTCTTGACACCTTATTCAACATATAGATGATTGTCATGTGAGTCAGAACAGAATAATCTTATCAGAGAATTTATAAGTAATAAACATTAATATGAAGTCATTTTAAAGAAAGCTAACTCAACGGGCTCCTTTTATTATCATATGTACTGTTCAGGAAATGTGATTATTTATTCAGTAGCCTCAATATTTGGCTTAGTTTAACAAGCATTAGAAATAAAACATACCAGTAGCATAAAACTGTATGAAATTCTTTGGGGAAAGAAGTTGAAGAATTCATGTGTTCTGTTTTTTCAAAGGGCTCAGACTTTCAAATAAAAAGTTGAAATTGGCTGACAAATTAAAATTAGAGGGTTACATTTGGTATATCTTCATTATGAACTGTATTTTTAAGACATGTTTAGGGTAAGAATGAGTAGAACAAAGAATTTATTTCAGTAACTATACATTTTTACACTCTATATCCTTTTGAAGGCATAGCAGTAATTTAAGGCAAACATCTATGTCCTCTCTTTTTTCCTTCACTCTTCCAAAGTTCAAGATCATTTGCCAGATATTGCTTTAAAGTGTAATATAGATAAAAAAAGTTGACTCCATATTTTAGGCATTGTGAGGAATTTGAAAATTATATACATGTGCCTCAGGAACATAGAGTCTAAAAATAGTGTTAAAACATGTACACAAATAACCATATATGTTAGACTGTCATTTTGATTCTGAAAATGACTAATTATCATTTCATATAAATGAATCCCATACCATTTCTTTCTAATGGACTGTAATCACTGTGAATGGCATTAGAACAGCCATTGAAGGATGAACACTGAAGAGGCTGTAGGCATTTTGTGTAAAGGTCTCTGCTTTCATTTGAAGATGGGGAGAATATTTTGATGGCATATGTAAACAAAAATCTAGGTCGAATTTTTTTTTATGACATGGTAATTTAGCTTTTGAATGTTGGTAATTTATCCAGTTGTCTGTGTTTTTCCAGGGCAGTAGAGGAGAAATAGGACCCATTGGACCCCCGGGTTTACCGGGTAAACTGGTAAGTTTATTTGCTTCACACAAAACACAATGCAATTTTAAAAATAAGGAGAGACAAACAATTTACAAAGGAATATTTGATCATTTTTTATTTCTATTGTTTTATGAATGTGTGCAAATATAAATGTGGAAATTCAATTATATCGAGGATACCCTCAAAGGGTATTTTAATCAGTCTGGCATGTAGCATTATATTTTAAAGCTTGGAGTGCTACATTTCACCTCTGGTTGTTCTTGGAATTGAAGAGATCTGTGCATGAATGGGGCCTTATACTACTTGAGCAGCACTTGTTTACCTAGCAAGAGAAACATTGCCATTGCAGGGGCACCACTGAAAGAGCCCCCTGTTGGGAAGGAGTGCAGGCCTAGGAATCAAGGACTTCAGAGGTGGGGTGGAGGAGGGGGACAGGCCCCTCTTCTCCTGAGAGTTTGGGAAAGAGGTGAATTTGAGGAGCAGAATGAACCAACCACAACAGATTTATTTTAGACCGGAATGAATGTAGCCAATGTTGTGTCTGGGTTGCATGCTTCCAGAATTGCAGTGACCATGACTCTGGGGGTTTGTATCTGCTTTTCAGGGTTCTGTTGGTAGCCCTGGACTCCCTGGCTTGCCTGGACCTCCTGGACTCCCTGGAATGAAAGGTGACCGGGTAAGAGAGCCAGTCCTCTGGAAATCTCCTTAATTTGGAAGGATGACTTCTACTGTGTTGAGAAACCAAGCTTGCTTTTTTGGTCCAGTGGAGAATATTTTCACAGTTATCCTAAAAAACTATCAAGAAAAAAATTTTAAAGTAAGCAAAACTTGAGATTAAGAAGCAAAACCTTATTGACATAATAAATTATCAAAAGCTAAAACAAGCTGAGAAAATAAAAATTTGAGTCATAGTACACTTCATTTTTAGTTCTCAATTCACTAGTCAGATTTTACATAGATATGATTAAAGAACTCCCCAAGTTGCCCAGCAATTTGTGGACAACTGTCAGTTTCTCTATATCTTACCTAACTCTTGCTAGTTGGTGAGGAGAGGGGGTAGTTCTTTTCTATTACATTATTTATAATTGTGCTTATCCTTAAACCCAATTAAGGATCATTTGAAATTACATAAAAATCCAAAAAAAGTTAAAAAATGTTTTTATTTTATTCTTTACAGGGTGTAGTTGGTGAACCTGGTCCAAAGGGTGAACAGGTAGGTGCTATCACTTGAATATTTGAAATGCACTGTTTAATGGGCATTGATGTGCTTGACCAATAAGGGATTGGCAGATTTATGAGAATGAAAGATAGCAGTTTTTCTCAGTATGCTTCAAAGTGAGTGAAATCTAGAGTTTAGCAAGTCTGTAGACTTATCTACTGCTTTCATAGGTAGTTGCTGAATCGTGCTCTTGCCTGCAGATGCCACACTGTCCTTCCTTTGAAAAGAACAACCCTGTCTCTCTCGTTCTTGATTGGTTTATTCATTTCTGAAGGAGACTTTCACAGTTACATTGTAATATTTTAAGTTTTTCTTTATTAAGACCTCAAATTGACATATGAATTAGAGTCATTCATTTCCCCGGGTCCCTTTTCTATAGTAAGAGCCCCTTTCCAAGCATTACCTAATTATTAAGTTGCTGGAGATAATCATTAGTCCTTAACTTTAGCAGAAACTCAGCTTCACATGCTGGCTTTTCTCTGGGCTATCTTATTCAGACTAGCCCCACACAGCAGCTATATTAGAAAGCCTTTTGAGAGCATTTTGTATTTCTGCATAATCTTGGTGAGCACTGTGGGCACTTATGCGTCCTTATCAATGTTGACTAGTTAAAATGGAGCCAAGGGAATAAGAACTCAAATATGTGACTTTGAATCTTAATTTTTAGGGTGCCTCTGGTGAAGAAGGTGAAACAGGAGAAAGGGGTGAATTGGTAAGACATAATTTTTCTTATTGTGAAATGTACTGATTTTGTACTGTATTAGAAAGAATTTTTTCTTTCCCTTGATATTAATCCTTGTTGGCTTCTTTAAAAGCCAAGATGTTTCTTACAGAAGCTAGTGAAGGAGTCATGATGAAGTAAAATCAAACCTGATAGATGTGACTTTTTAAAACATCTGGGGAACAAAGAGTTCTCTTATAGGGTCAACTTTCTTGTGAGTTTACCTCTAGATATTCAAGGTGACCTTTCCAAAGTCATCTGGAAAGTCTATCAATTATGCCTATCAAGGAAACAAAATTGAAGTTTTTTTGTAGTTAGAGAGTTGTCACTCAAGTCTGATCATAGTCACTCATTTTTTCTAAGACCCTCAAGGAGGTAAGCTACATCTCCAGAGGATGCTGCTACCTTTACTGCCAGAACTGCTAGATCTGCTGGCTTATCGCTATGTTTTGATCCAGTCTCACACCACCTCATGAGAAAACTTATGTTTGCTCCTCTCAGGTGGGGGCCAAGAAAACATTTCTTATAAAATAGTTGCAGAGAGCTTTTAGTGCAGGAAAAATTCTGGCAATGTTTAAAGTCATATTTTCAGGATTTGGAGCTAATATAAATGCAATATCTGAATTAGAAAAAAATTTTTATTTAGTAAAATTTTTAAAAGAATTATTTCAATTTTATATCCGGTTCAAGTTGTTCATTCTAATTGGCTAGAAATGTTTTCCATCATTCTGTTTTGTAGTGAAGATGAACTAATGTGCTAGAACTTGAGCAAAAATCATTTATAATTAGTGGTGGGAGATTTACATTTTTTAAGCATAAAAATATGCACATTTGATTTGGGGGATGAGTTTTAAAATATTAGAGTTTCAAAAATGAAGTCATTTGGTTAAACTGTCTATTATGGTTTTTTAGCAGAATACTAGTTAAATTTATTTTGACTCACACCTTTTAATTCTTGATGTCTAGCATTTAAAATTCTAATGGAAACTTGCAGAGCTCTGATTCAACCCTATTATTTAGCAGATAAGCCAGCTAAAGGCTATGAGGTTGCATAGCTCACACAGAGTCACAAATTTGCAGAGCTGGGACTAGAATCCAAATTTTGAGTCTTAACTTTTTTTGCAGTCTCGGAGTTCATCTGTTTTCTATAGATTTCAGCTGTACAATAACCTTTTAAATATTCTTTGAAAACCACCAAATGTGAATAATTGTTCTAATGTAATTTTGTTTTATTGCTTTAGGGAGATATAGGATTACCTGGCCCAAAGGGATCTGTAAGTATGATGAACAATAATGGTATAAAAAATTAAAATTTCAAGAAAACTGTAGAGAATGCATTGTTTGTTTTATGAAATCATTCTATAAAATTAAATTCTTAAAGAACTGAACTTCAAGGGAGTGAATTTCTAAATTTATTCTTTAAATAATGGGTTATCTAAAGGAAAAACTAAAGGAAAAAACACAACCATATAAATGGATCTGCCTTTTGAACTGATCACTCTAACAGAATTTTTCTTTTTGCCATATTGTAAGTGGCTCAATAAGTATTGCATGGCAATTTTCTCCACAAATGAGTCATTTGTGGAGAAAGAACTGACAAAAGCTTTATGGTGACAAGAGTATAATTGAATTTCGTTGGCAGCTATATCATTGCAAATATTTCAGTAATTTTCTTAATCTCTTCTGTGTTCTAGTTGGGGAAGTGTGATAGAGACATAATGCATAAGAAAATATAGAATTACTAGAGCTAGAAAATGAGTAACTTGTTTTATGTGTTATTTTATTGAAACTGAATTGATGTCTTTAGAGATTCCAAATTACAGAACCGGTTAGTAGCAAACCTGGGATGACTGGCAATTTGGAAGAAATGCATTCTAATATAATAAGAAACCTAGGATAGTATAAAGAGAAAGGAAGAAACTCAGTTCTAAATCTCAAATGCTACTACCAGCTTCCTGTTAATCTCCAAGCCCTTCTATTTGGGAGTCCTCCTCCATTCCCCTCTTTCCTGTTTAACATATTATCCTCAGGGCAATAAAGGTAATCTAGACAAAAAGATAAAGCTTACTCCTTATTCTGCTTATAACCCTTCCAGAATAATATTTTACAGCATAAAACCGGACTCTTAGGCAAGTATAGACAACCTTCGATGAAGTGATCTCTGCCTCACCCACCTCATCTACCAGGCCTGGAACTTCACTTGCTTGTTGGTGTTTTCACATGGCATGCTGTTCAACGCCTTGTGCTGTTCTTCTAGGCTAGAATATTCCTCCTCTTTCCTTAGAATAGCTACCTCCTACTGCATCACTTAGCCCCATCCTCGGGCCCACTTTCTTCAGGATGATCCACGAAGAATTGGTTACACTTCGTAGCCCTGGGCTTCTTGCACACCACTGAGATGGAAATTATTACATTGTGTTAACTTACCTGTTAAGACTGTCCTGAACAGGTGGAACCATCTTAAGCTTCAAGTAACATCTTTATGCCTAAGAATCTCTGTGCCTAACACAGAACTGGTTTAGGGTTGAGAAACACTTTAAGAGTAAACCTTGATAGAATTTGAGAATAGAAATTTCACTTCATTATTTAGAAATAATCAGCACTGTTTAATGACAGGAATTCAAAAGAAAAATGTGAATGATCAATGAAATGATCAAAATGAGCTAATTTCATTTAAATTTGGATATAATATGAGTAAGTCACTTAATTTAGCACTTCCCTTCCTAATCATGTTTTCTCTGACACTACCCAGGTAACACATTTGATGTGTGCTTTCCCAGAATCAGAGAAATAGCTGCTAACAGAAAGACTTTCACTTTCCACATTGATTTTAGCATAGGCAAACTTGATAAGTAGATGAAGTTTCTATTTCAGTATACCACTCAGATGAGGAATTCTTTCCTGAAGGCCCATGGCCACAGTGGTCCTTGATTTTTTTTTTTTTTATCAGAAATGTCCTGGCTCTATCCTAGCAACATTTCAGACATTGCCAGAAAGATTTTACACTTTGATTTGGTCTTCCCCACGCCCCCCTCCCCAGTTCTTTAGAGCATTTCTAAATTCATTTTGGCTTCTCTTCTGTTTTGTTTTAGAAATTGTCATACTTTTGCATTCTAAGTACTTGACAAATCCCTAATCCTCATAGCACATCTTAACTGCTCCCTGTTGCCTTTTGGGAAGTCTTTTAAGCCATAAATTTAATTTTTTTTAAAGATTTATTTATTTATTTATACAAGCACTGGGTACAGTCAGAAGCGCGGGAGGGTGAGAGAATTCACCAGAGCCACAGCAGGGAGCAGAACAGACAGACTGACGAAGTACACTGCTGAGGGGAGCAGCGGGTGGCAGGAGAGGTCTGTGTGCCATGTGGGACCCTCGACCAACGGCCGGGATCAAACCGGCGGGTGCAGAGGCTGCGGGTGGCTTAGCAACCCAGCGCTCAACTGCTGCGCCACTGAGGAGGCCCTAAGCCATAAATTTAAAGGAGCAATTTTGATAGTCGAGTTAAACGAGTATCAATATTTTTACACAGAGACTGGAGAAAGCACACTGGCGGAACTGTATTTAGATGTACTAGTGGAAGCATTGTTTTATCACCTCCTTCCCTTCAGTTTAAAAGTTAGCTCTTAGAAGGGATCATGCTCAGTGAAATAAGTCAGAAAGAAAAAGAAAAATACCGGATGGTCTCACTCATAGCAGGAATTTAGAAAACCTAAATAAGAGACCAGGAAAAAGACTAATCAATGCAAAGTAATAATTAAAATCAACAAGCAACTATAAACCAGAGACACACTGTTGGGGGGGTTTGGGAGGGGTGGGGAGAGGAAGAACTAGAGTCAAAATAAGGGGGGTTGCAATAAGGGTGTGGAGAATAGAACCAAAATGAAAATGTATACATTGTACAAAGATGAAAAATGATGTAAGAATTATATAAATAAAATAAAAAAAAATATAATAAAAAAAAATTTAGGAATTTTCTAAGTTTGACCCTAAAATGAAAATCCTGGGAAAAAAAAATAATAAAATAAAAGTTAGCTCTTTCTAGATAAATGTTGCATATGAAAAAGAAGCAGATTAAGTTGCTATATGAACATTCATTTCTTGAACACTGGCATTCCTTCACTGCCTCCTGTCCTCTTATCTTCTCATTCTTATTCTGTAAATAACTGTACATTTTAAATATTGTACCACAAATTCCACCATAAGTAGTTTAACAAAAATTGAATTAATTTAGCTTCTTTTAAAAGCAGTTATTGTAGATGAGGAATTTTTAAAAATGTTGTTAGAGGTTTGCCTTAAGAAAAAAAAAAGCCTAACTGGAATATGGTTTTGTGCTAAGGCAGCAATTTATTTTCAATTTTTTTTAAATTTAGCTTTTAAACTTCCTCATTGTTTAAATTGTAGACTTACCCATTTTTTTTTTGTCCCAGTATTTTAAATGCACTAATCTTAAATGCAGCATTTAAAATGTGGTATTTTAATTATATTGGTTTAGTTCATGTTAGTATTTTATAATTCCTGTATGACTCTGGTGCCTTCAAATTCACCTAAGAATGTTTAAAAGCTAAATAACTTATATTCTTGGAAACATCGTTAGTTTATGCCTTCTGTATTGGGAATATACAAAACAAGCTGTCTGCTATGAACTCTGACCCTTTTGTAGACAAAAGTTAAAGCTGTATTGGAAACTAGTTTGCTCTTAGGAAGTGGCATAAATTATGAAGAATGTAGTTTAAAAATACATTATTCCAGCTAATATTTTGAAATAGTAGCTATCAAGAAGGAAGACCTTTAAGTTTACTTGAGCTGGAGTTCTAAGAGCGTTGTGAGTGTAATGGGGCTTTAATGTATCTTCAACTTGAGGATTTCTAATCTCTGAAGGAATACCTCTAAGGAGATAGAATGTAATAGACCCAGAACTTCCTGTAAGAGCTCGTATTAATTTTCAGAAGACATTACTTATGTTTAGTTCTCATTTTATGTTGTGCCACTTTGATCTAGGTGGGTAACCCTGGGGAGCCTGGCTTGAGGGGGCCTGAAGGAAGTCGGGGGCTTCCTGGAATGGAAGGACCCAGAGGACCACCTGGACCTCGAGGTGTGCAGGGGGAGCAGGGCGCCACGGGCCTGCCTGGGATCCAGGGTGCTCCGGTGAGTGGTTTCCTTCCGGCATTGTTGGGGGCGTTGGGGGGGCTATATCAGACACAGCTCCTCGGCAGCTTGCACCTAGCCTCTTTTTGTAAATCCAGCCTCCTGGTTCTTTGCACATCTGTCAGTTTACATTTAACAAAGTCCTCTTATGGTTCTCTGTATAAACTGTCTTTTATATTTTCTGTCGCAGGGTCGAGCACCAACAGATCAGCACATCAAGCAGGTTTGCATGAGAGTCATGCAAGGTAAATACATCGCAATGGTTTGACTATTTGTATGATTTAAAAGGTAGGAAATTCTGAATAATATTAATGTCAATTCTGTTTTATCCATTTTGTTGCTGTTCATAAAAGAGCTTATAGGCTCAAAGAAAAATATTACCTTTTGTGTTAGCCTGGATTTTTTTTTTTTTTGCCAAGGTTAATTTACAAAGAAGTATGCAAATGCGTGCGCGCACACACACGCACACACACACCCCACACACTTCCCTTCTCTTTGGAATACATATTCTCAGGTATCTTTCCTCTCCTTAACATCTTTTACCATTATGTGTAAATTTAGGACGGATCAAAGCTCTCTCTGTAAATAATAAGAGAAATGATTGACAGACTGTGTCTATAATAAGCTTAGGACATTATCTCTACTCATGTACCACTTATGAAGAGAATCAATAACCAGTATGTTACCCAAATGAAGATATATTTTTACATTCATTAACCTTTATCTAATTTCATCTGTAACTATAGCAATTGCTATTTGTCATAGTTATTTCTAAATTGGTCTTATTCTGAAACCACATCGAAAATGAAGATGTGCAGAAATAATCTGTATCTGAGGATATCCTGTAATTTGGGGCCTCCTAAGATGTAATTGTCCAAGTCTGGTTGGAACCAATTCTATCATGAGGAAGTGCCCTTCTGTGTGTTTGTGAGGGATTGTAGGTTCTCCAGTGGGCTTGCAGTGCTCCAGAATGGAATTGTTACCTCTATATTTGAAAACCAATATTGCAGATATTGTATCTTGAGTAAATATTTTAGTTTTAAAGATTTTGTATGTAGAAAATTGAGGTTTTTATGCTCTTACTTAAATAAGGCAAACTTAGAATGCTTGCATTAAAATAGTTTTAAAACATTGGTTAGAAGTGTGCTTCCAATTCATATTCTCCTTTACACCCTTCAGCTTTAAAAAAATGTCACACTAGAATATTTTCTTTAGAGGCTTTTAATGGGAAGCTTTTCATGTTCTATTCCATGGTTTTAGTAGATGATTTGTAATCTATTTAATGGTTCTGAAAAAGCCTAAAGTTATTAATTTTAAGACACTGTGACCATTTCCAAAAAGCAGGCTATTTTTAATGTCTGTTGTCTAGTCCAACCATGAAAATACTTTTAAGAAGGAGAATTTAAAGGAATCCATGATTCCCCATATATTTCAGGTTGCTTATGATCTTCAAACTAAAAATGCTAAGCTAGTTCTCAAAAAGTATCTCAATACTAATTCTGGGCAATATCCTTGATTTTAAACTCCTTTTACTTCCCATCTTGGGCTTTCAGATCACCGTTAGGATTCAGGTGACATACTCATCCTTTTAGAATACCACTCGCCCTGAAGCCCTGTAGTTTAAGGATTTTTTTTTATCCCCCTCTCCTTGTCTCAAAACAGCAAGACCAAATATATCCAGGAAGAGCTGAATAAAACAGCACCAATGAAGCTTCCTGGCAGAAAGCCCATGGAAAAATGAGCCAACTTTTCTCATTTTTCATCACCAATTTTGAAGTTCTGGTGACATATTTAGAAAAAAGGCCCTTGCAAGATTTCTTTTTTCATCTGAGTCAGTGTCATGTTTCTGACTTTTCTGGGTTGTTTGGTTTATCATCTTTTAGAGCATCTTGCTGAAATGGCTGCTAGTCTCAAGCGTCCAGACTCTGGTGCTTCTGGCCTCCCTGGGAGGCCTGGACCTCCTGGTCCCCCTGGACCTCCTGGAGAAAATGGTTTCCCAGGCCAGATGGGACTTCGTGGCCTCCCGGGCATTAAAGGCCCTCCTGGTGCTCTTGGCTTGAAAGGGCCTAAAGGTAAGCCATCTTGCTCAGGTGGATCTAAGTACCATGCTTGCTCCTTTTCCGATGTATCCACATGTCCTCCCAAGCTACAGATACCCTGTCATTTTCTTTTACAATGTGATGGTAAAGATTAGAAAACTGTTATCTGATACTTTCTTGACCTTGCTGTAGGATAGCAGTAGACCCCCCAAAATACTATAATTAAGGTCTGTGTCCTCTAGTACTAGGTTTTTTTTCAGTTATACTCTGCTTCAATCATAATTAAATCATAGTTAAATCATAGCTAAACTTTACAGAATCTAGTAAAGGATCGTTTAGTTATTTACTATTTTTTTAAACCCTAAAATCATTGTGGAGTTCATAGATGGCAGCGAGCCCTAGAGTGTTTGTATCCATTACACTAACAAAATCTGAAAGTAGGACATAAGAAAAATTCCACCATGAGTGGGAGCTGTTTCCCCTCTTGTCTTAATAAGAGATATTGCTGAGGCCTCCGTGGTGGCCCAAGGGGTTAAGTCTCAGCACTATGAAGCACTATACAGCCACTGCAGCATGAGTTCCATCCCCGGCCAGGGAGCTGAGCCGTATGGTGCAGCAGACCTCTCCCATCTCTCCTGCTGCTCCCCTTAGCAGTGTATTTCAGTAGATCTGCCTGTTTTGCTCCCCACTGTCTCTGGTGAATCCTCTCACCCCCTGCACCTCTGGCCTGTACCCCAGTTCTTGTATGTGTAAATAAAAAAATATATAAAAAGATATTGCTATCTCTTAAAAAGTGGTATTTAGTTTTGATGGACTTAATCTTTTCAGTTCTGAAATGCAATCTACCTTTATTCCTATATTAGCATGTAAGTGTGAAAGAAATTATTTGTTCCTCTTAATTAAAACAAGTTAAGTCTTTGCATCCAGTATTTCATAGAAAAAGAGTTGTGAGTGTGTTAGTATTCAGCATGACTTGTAGAAGAATTTGTTGCCTCAGATGGCATTTGCAGTTGAGGGTAAGTATGTTAACTTGGGGTATATGTGCCCTGGAAAATTGTTCTGCAGCCACCCCAGGCTGGGTAGTTTCATCGTTGGTGAAAGAGAAACTTGGAGTCCTTGGAATCCCCCCACAGGTTAGGGGAAACAAGCCAGCAGGGAGACAGCATCTTGGGCCCCCCTGTGAATCCCTATACGTTCTCTCTCTTAGCCCTTCTCTGATGCTCTCCACTGTACTCACAGTACAGTCTTCTACCACCCCCAGCATTCTCTGTCATGGCCCTAATATGCTCAGTCTCTCAGCTCAGGTGTGCCCACTTATACACACCCACACCACACTCCAGGTGTCTGCCATCAGGCCTGCATATAAGACCACAGGTGTGGATCATAGATGCTAATGGCCGGGGGCCAAAAAAATCTGTTAACTTCTATTTACCATATAATAATTTATAGAGAGGACTAAAATAAGCAAGGAGGTACTATATCAAGAAGAATGACTGGGGAAGTTCCCCAAAGATATGGGATCATGTCTGCACTCTAGTTAAGGAGCAGTGTGTGTGAATGGTTAGGGGGCAAGCAAGCTGCCTCTTTGGATCTATAAATGAATTGCTGATGCATTTGGCTAAATATGCTCTCTGAAACAATTTCATTAATTATGTTTTATTTTTTTGGCTTGTGCAGAGCTCCATATTAAGAAATGAGCCCTAATTGGGACCTCTTGTAAGCCTGGCACAACTTCAAAGCTTTCAGAGGTTGAATGAAACTAAATATGTCTCACTTTTAGTTACCCGTTCAGGAACTGTGTTGTAGGTGCTCTCGCTACAGTTAGAGCCCATTCACTTTGTAAATCATTTCTAAGAAACTCCACTGTCTTAGAAAGATAGCCAATCCCATTCCCTCTGCTGTGCCAGAGTCCACCATGATTCCTCACTTTCCCGAGTTCTCTCTAGAGCAATGAAAGAGTAGTCCCTGGAGCATCAGCATCACCAGGGATCTAGTTAGGAAGGCAAAGTCCCCAGCCTGTCTAGACCCACTGGATCAGACATTCTGGAGGTCAGACCCAGCAGTCTGGTTTAACAAACTTCCCGATGATTCTGCAGCTAAATAGCTTAGTATAGAGCACTCACCTGTTTTCTTCTGAAAATGAGAGGGAACACATGGAAGGCTGTGGTGGCCACAGGAATTCCTTGGCTTAGAAGAAGCCTCCATATTTGGGGCAGAGCATAACTTTAAGTTGATAATAAAACTCTCCAGAAGTCCTATCTCATTCCTTTAGGAGAAGAAATTGTGAGACTTCTATCTATACTAGAAGGGTTTGCCTAAGCTGCTCTTCTCAGCCTGCACTGCATACTGGAATCACCTGGGGACCTTTTAAAACCATCCACATCTGAGTTTCATTCCCAGAGATTCTGATTTAATTAGTCTGGGCATTGGGATTTGAAAGTACTCCCAAGGTGATTTTAATATACAACCAGGGCTGGGAACCATCAAAACTCAAGCGAAATGTTTGGGAAACATTCTGGAAAGCTCTTAATAGCATTAAATGGTGATGGGTTCGACTGGGTTGACACAAGCAAATGAGCATTATTTTGAAAGTCAGAAAAATGTTTCTGTTTTTGGAACTTAGAAAATGTCTCTGACACTCAGTTCACTAAGCAAACATAGTTTGAACATAGAAAGGACTTCCCTAACTTTTCTTCAATATTTGTGACACAGTCTATAATCTAGGAGTGATACCGACGTTTTGTCTTTTCTAAAGGGCCTTCTTTTCCCACTCTCCCCATGCTTTACTTGTCATTAGTTTCCTTCAAAGCAGCATCTTCCTCCCAGTTTTTTATTCCTAAAATTTGGTGCATGGACAGAAAGGAATGATAAGATTTTACCAATCAACACTGTCACCCAGTTGGAAGTGGGTGATCTCAGTAACTGGACTTGACCTTTCTTGTCCCTCTATCTACATGTCTACACTAGCAGTAGAATTAAATAGTAAACCTGTAGTGTTTTACTATGCAGCAGTTATGGACCAGATTTCCTTTGAGAATAAACACTCCACCATTGACATCCAAATGTTCTCCCAGTTGGGTAAGAGATGTGTTTTGCTGTCCCTGTTGCTTTTTCCTCCTGCCTCATGAAGAAGGGAGAGTCTTGAGCTGCCCTGTAGTCACTCTGAGTTTTTTTTTCTCCAGAACAATGGCTACATAAATAACATATACATTTCACTGAATTTTTTTAATCATTTCAGACTAAGTTTTAATCAAATCAGTGTTTTCGTCTTTAAAAATTACTCTGGAAAACAAAGTGGAATATTTTTAAGAGGAATGAGTAGAAATTTGTCTCCAATTACACTTAAAACTTAAGTCATATTTATAATTTCTTTGGTAGTGTGCAAGCCTGCAGGCTGCCAAGGCAAGGGGACAAGTCGAGGAGGCTAGGAGGGGGATGTTGGGGATGCCCCTTTCTCCTGGAGGCTCAGGAGAAACTGAGCCCCCCCAGCCTCCTGTGAATCTGCATGCTTTCCCGGACTCTCTGGCATTCTGTTGTGCCCTTGCTCTCTCAAGTGAAGCGGCCTCTCCCAGCCATCCTTCCATCTGAGGGACGCTGCCTTCATACCCCTGGCCTGTAAGCACACTCACCCATGCCGGCAGCCATGCTCCAGGGGTCCACAATCAGGCACCTGTGCCCCGGGCCCACGCTCCCAAGTGCCTTTTGCATTAAGACCATCAAGGCCACAGGTGATAGCCACAGAGGCAAGTGCCATAAAAAGCCTGATTCATTCACTTACCCTACATTTGGCATCAATGTTTTATGCAATATTACACAAGCACCTTAGAGCTGAGGCCAATGCTGCTTGCACATTTTATTTGTACACTCGAGCAGAAGCTCGAGACGTCTAATTGGCCTGATGTTCATTCCGCTTAGCATTAATTTAGTCTCTTGTGTCATAAATACTATTTTTAAATGTTCACAGTTTGGATTAATTTTAAGTCCCTTTGAGTAAGTTTGCATTTTTTAAAAGATATTTTTGGTGTGAGTCAAACAGACGTGTCGATATGTAAATGAAGGTTTGAGAAAAGATACTTGTCATCACTGTGACTAACTCCCTTTTTGATATTAACCAGCTCATGAGGACATGGAGGATCAATTCTAACTTTCAAATAAATGACATTGAAATAATAGCAACTCTGAAGTGAGTTTTGGCTACTCTGTTCATATGAACTGTTTTTCTATTCAAACTGAGTATTTTTCTTCACACCTTAAGTAGGACTTATTTTAGAAGTTCTTTATATGTATTTTCTGACAAATAGGCTAACCAAGGTGGAACTTGAGTTCCTTGAGTATATTTGCTAACATCTAAAAAAAAAAAAATAAGAGAGAGAGAGAGAGACAGGACATCCTTCCAGGGCTACAGCTTCTGAAATGAGTAAGAGAGGGCTTCCGAGGAGGCCACCTTTTGTGGGAGGCACGGGCAAGTCTTGAGAAACACACACTCCTTGTTCTCCAGGAATCAGAACCAGGACAGTGGCCTGACTGCAGTGGGAGCAAGGAGCTCTCAGGAGAGAGCTCCCTGGGAAGGGAGGGAATACAGGGGTTAGAGAGATAAGGGGGTCTGATCAAAGACCCTGTGTATCTGAGCTGAACCACGACTGAGAGGTTGATGCAGGCCAGAGATGATCAGGATGCTGTCACTGTGGAATTGACCTGTGGATCATCCCACATCCTTCGTGGACACCTGCAGTGCCTTGGGAGGCTTGAATCTTTCTTGCTCATTCGCAGCAGCAATCTCCCTTGAACCTGGTGACCCAGCTCCTAACTCCTACCACCTGCTGCCACTGGACTTTGGGTCATCTAAACAGGTGCAGAGGGATCTGGTCTATGAAACAATAGACACCCAAGTGTCCCAGGTGTGTGTCCTGGATTATATCCTGCAACCTGTAAATATAATATAAGGCCGGCAACCTGTAACCATAAAATAAAGCCAATTCATTAAGATGAGGAAAAGAAAGATCCTTATCTCAGCCCATAAAAATGAAAAATGAAGAGACAGGAATATACCATAAAAAACAGAACAAAAAAAGCCAACATCAGGCTTTGAAGAAGTCGATTAACCCTGGTGATAAACAGAAGCAGGCTGCATGCATCGTGTGCTGCGGGGCAGCAGTCTGCCAGGTGGCTCTGTCTTGGAGCCCACCTAATATTTGTTTTTCTATGACCAATAACCAAAATAAGACAGTGATTTTTTGTGAGCAACATTTCATTTATTTTTTTATTTATATATTTTTACAGTGTTGTTCATTTTTGTACAATGTTTTGATTTCTCCTCTCAGGTGTTGTTCCCATGAAGGTACCACCATGGACTCCTGTGCTCTTCCCTCCTATTTTGATCCCTTTCCCTCCTCCTCCCCTGCTGAATGCCTCTGATTTTTAGTTTGCCTGATGCCTTGTATGGTTCCCCTATGTTCTTCCTCTAAGTGAAACCATTTGATATTTTCCTTTTTCCTTCTGACTTATTTCACTGAGCATAATCCCTTCCAGCTCTATCCATGTTGCTGCAAATGGCATAGTTTTTCTTTTTTGATTTCTTTTGCAAGCAATGTTTAAAAGTTGATGTGGTTTCATACTGGGATGTGTTTAACTGTCAATATTAGGGTGAAAGCTGAATTTTAATTTGTAATCTTCATTTCATATCTTCAGAAAATATGGCGCATTTAAAGATTCTCTTCTTATTGGCAGTCTCCGGAATTTGTGATAAGACATTTAAATTTCTTAGTTAACAAGAGTGCTTAAACTTTTAGTTTTTAAAATGCTAATTGTCATATCTTCCAATATAGTAGGTCCATATTGATGACAAATGTAAAAAAAAAAAAATAACTTATGTGAATGTAAGTTCAACCTGAGTTCCGCATCCTTATACAGTATCTATATAAATTTGTATTATTTTGAAAATGTAGTTGATTCATCACAAAAATATTCATGTAAGACATTCACAGCTAAAATCAAAGTATGGTGACTAAACATTCACTTCAAACTTAGAAATTTTTCATTATTTTACTAACGTCCACATGGTTGGGCAGATATTTTCTTTGTTCTCATTGTGAAATATCTTTGTTTTGTAAATTTTAACAAATTTGACTCAATAGTGGATGAATTTTTTGCTTATACAGATCTGTGGAAAAAACATTTATATATAAAATTAGTTGCAAAATGCCACTGCATCTTCTAGAAGGATAGTAGAATAATAATATAATGCTGTACTAATGAGATAGTAGGTACTTTCTTCTAGGAGCAGTAGAAGTCATTCATGACCAGTTAACTAAAGTATAGGGCACATTGTTAATGAGGCCAAATTTCTGGGTTTGGTCTCTGCAGGGGCCAGGATAATTAATGCAATTCTGCTCTGTGACTGCTGAATGCCCAAATTCAATCAACTGTCTTGCAAATACATATGGTTGGTTACAATCCAAAGCATAATCTCTATAAATAATGAGGGGAATGTAGCACTTGTGATAGCACACTTTAAATTCTGAAAATTCATCAATTTATTTTTGGTAATATTAAATTTAACTTGTTCAAGACTTAGAAAATGCCTAAAATGGTTTTTAGTGAAGTTCCTCTCTACCTCGTCACCCCATCTGCCTGGTTTCCTTCATCCTTTCCATTAGGTAATTACTATTGTTAGTTTACTTTACCAGTTATGATATCTGAGGACATATGAATATGTATTTCTATACATGCTCTTAAAAACAAATATATTTTCCTTTAACTGACAAGAAACCAGCCCTGGAAGTATGACTGCAGAATTGAGGCTACTTGAGGGGGATAGGGCCAAAGATCTGGGGTAAAGAACTCTCATGGGGGTGGTGTGGTAATATACATCTGAGGAGGTGTGATCCTACTCCCCTAAATCACATACAGTATTGTAAACCAGGATGATCTCGATAAAGAATAATCAAATAAAAGTTTATGAAGGATAGGCACTAGTTTGTTTCTGAATATTTGGTAGAATTCATTTGTAAATCCATCTGGTCCTGGGCTTTTGTTTTGGGGGAGGGTTTTGATTACTATTTCCCAAACACGTTCTATGAGCCAACATTACACTAATACCAAAATCGAATAAGGACAACACACAAAAAAGAAAACTACAGACCAATCTCTCTAATGAACACGGATGCAAAAATCCTCAATAAAATTTTGGCTAACAGAATAAAAAAAAGAATAATTAAATAAAATAACAATGGAAAAATCATATTATCCTTTATTTAGTAAATGATCTGGGCTTTTCTTTTTTCATATAGCAATATTCCTTGGACATCATTTCAAAGTGCTTCCTAGTTCTTAGCTGCATATATTCTATTCTGTGGAAGTACCATTCACTCTTTAATGGGCATTTAGGATTTTTCCAATTTTCGGCTATTATAGCAAGGCTGCAGCGAACAACACTGTGTACGTTTTACTTTTGCATGTTATCAACCTAAGTTATATCTTTTGGATAGATTCCTGAAATGGAATTGTTGGGTAAAATGATACTTCCATTTGTAATTTTGATAGATATTGTCAAATTACCCTCCAAGAGACTATGCCATTTATAGCCTCTTTGTTATTCTAAATTATACTTATTTTGCTCTGGATAGCATTTTAAAGAATTGCTCTTTGATTAAATCCACATTTCAAATGGTACTCAATAATTGCTGATTGATTTTTCAAGACTAGTTCTAATGAAGAATTAGATGATCTATAAATCATGTCTGTCTATCTGTCTATCTATCTATATCTATCTATCTATCTATCTATCTATCTATCTATCTATCTATCTATCTATCTATCTATCTATGCATGTAAGAACTGGGGTGTAGGCCAGAGGTACAGGGGATGAGAGGATTCACCAGAGACAGAGTGGGGAGCAGAACAGGCAGATTTGCTGAAATACACTGCTGAGGAGAACAGCTGTCAAGACAGGAGAAGTATGCTGCACCATATGGGTCCCTGGCTGGGGATCGAACTCATACTGCAGTGGCTGCTGATAGCTCCATAGTGCTGATTTTAACCCCTCCATCACCAGGGAGACCCCTAAATCATGTTTGTATTCTGTGAGAAAATGTGTCAGTATTTTAAACACTAATTTCTTGAATACATGTTTTTAAAAAATTGTGTCAAGGGCCAGTCACAATGTACTTGTTTGAAAATTCTGAGTGAATAGATTCCTTTCTAGCTCATGTATTCTACTTATTTTTTATTATGTTATTAACTTTTTCATATTTTTATTTATGTTTTATTGGTACTGCTTATGTATTTATTTCCTTTATTGTGGTAGCATTGGTCTACAACGTTGTATATGACTTAGGGGAATAGATTCAACCCCAACTCCACCATCCTAACACCCATAGTCCCTTACCATAGATTCATATTGATTTTAGAAGCACTTATATTTTGAATCATAATAGAAAGGCCAATTCAATTTTGAGGTTATAAAATAATTCTCTGTTGTTTTCTTCTGGTTCTTAAATATTTGATCCATTTGTAATTTATCCTGGATTATATGAGGAATAGATCCAACTTCTTTTCTAGTTGGCTGTCCATTTGTATTTATTGACTCATTAATTTTTTTCCCACTTTAAGATGCTACCATTAAGACAAATCAAATTCCTATGTGATTTAGTTGTTTTGGTTTCTTTTGGACATTTTATCGTGTTTCACTGATTTGTATCAGCATTATACTGATTTAACGTCCGGTAGGATTTTTCCCTTAATGTTGCTTTTTTTGTTGGAGTTTTTGTGGCTATTTTAGGCTATGTATCAGAATCATTTTTTCTGGTTAAAAATCTGTATTTTTTACAAAGTAAAAATCAAAATCAACAAGCAACTATAAACCAGAGACACACTATGGGGGGGCGAGGAGGGAGGGATGGAGAAAGGAAGGACTAGGGTCAAAATAACGGATGGGGGATGCAATTGTATGGGGAATATAACCAAAATGAAAATGCATACATTGTGCAAAAATGAAAAATGATGTAAGAATTATATAAAATAAAAAAATCTGTATTTTTATTAGGATCATGATGAAAATTCAGCTTAGGTAAAACCCACAACTTTTTAAGATGATGTCTTTCCATCTAAGAGCAATTTCAAGTCTGCATTAAATTTTTTTTTATGTTGGCTTTGTATATTGCTGGTTAAACTTATTCCAAGTTCTTTAATATTTTAATTGTTACAAATGGGAGTTTGTTTTTTTAACTATATCATTACTGTTGTTGTATATATGAAGTTTACTGAATACTCCTGTTTGTAGTAGATTTTGAGTTGATTTTCTAGGAGTTGGGGTGTATACTCATAAAACCTGAAAATAGGGATGGTTTTAACTCTGCAAACCAATGATTACTGATAGTGTGAGAAGGTGGGCATCTTTATAATGTTCTGACTATAATGGAACTGCTTCTTGTGTTTCCTATGAAGCACAATGTTAACTTTTGAGACAGTATATTTTATCATGTTAAGAGGTAGCCATTGATACTTATATTCATGAAAGTGGTGTCAGGATTGCAGGTTTACTTTTGTCAATTTTTTTTTTTGGTATCAATGGCTATGACCATTTGATTTTTTTTTCTCTTGGATATAATAGATTAATATTATATTAGATTTTGCCATCTAGTTAATATAATAGATTTTGCCATCTAGTTTGTGGCAGCTTCATGACTTTTTTCGTTTCCTAATTTTGGCTTTGCTTAAAGTCTTAAAATAAAATTATTTTCATAGATATTTATAAAATTAACTTTTCTCTAATGAAATACAGGTGACATGGGAGAAAGAGGGGATCGTGGCCCTCCAGGAAGAGGTCCCAAAGGTTTGCCAGGAGCTATAGGTCTCCCAGGTAAGTGTGTTGTATGTCGGGATGAGGTGGAGAAGTCGGTAGCTAATGAGTAGTCTGAATTGGTACCATTTTAAAGAATTGCTCTTTGATTACTTAAGCATCTCAAGTGATACTCAATAATCACTGGAATTGATTTTTCAAGGCTAATTTTAATGAAGTTAAATGATCTGTAAATCATGTCTGTATTCATAGTGAGAAAATGTGTCAGGATTTGAAGTACTAATTTCTTGAATAGACCCTTAAAAAAATTCTGTCAAGGTCCAGCCACAATGCACTTGTTATGAAATTCCGAGTGAAATTCCAAGTGAGTAGATTTCTATTTCTAGCCCAGTTGCTAGTTTCCTATTTCTTTGTAACTAAAAAGTCAGAGCAACGGGAAAATTAGTCCAAGTGTTCAACGATTCATATTACACAGGGCGTAACTGAAATTTTATTTGAAAGCTCCTCCTTCAAACTTCCAGATCCTCTGGAAACCCATATTTTAAAAAAATAAATAAACTTGAACATTCCCACTGCCACATGGCGCAGCTGCTGGACTGAGGCAACAAAGTAGCTTGTGTGAGGAGCTCATACCCTCTCATTCAGCTTCTGTCCTCTCTTCACACAGTGGCTACTCTGTCACCGAGTCCAGGCTGCAGTGCACTCATCCATGGGGAAATGACCTACAATCCAACCACAGACACAGCAGAACAGGGCTGCAGGCCAGTTCAATTTAAAAGCACGGATGAGGTGCAGCCTCCAATGAATGCCAGAACTGTGAGGCTAAGGCTCAGGGAGACTCCCAAACCCCAGAGATGAGGAGAGCCAGGGAAAGGGGTTGCACAGAAAGAGCGGTGCTGTTTCTACAAAGGATTTGGAAAACTTGGTTTAGAGAAATTTAGAAAAAAAAAAATGGTTTTCTAATTGTGCTAGAGGCTTACATATTCAATCATAGCTATAATTACAGCCCAAACCATCTTTGCTTTCTGATTATCCATTTCATTGCTGTTGGGGATTGCTTTCTCATTAAGAATTTTTTTAAAAATATGAATATATTTGGCAATTACTCAAACTCTGACTTTCTAAAATTGTGATGCATGGGCCCATCAAGATGTTTTCACAAATAGATACATTTTTGTGATTGGAAAAGGAAGCCTCTATGATTGGGAAAGCAAAGAACAACTATCTGGAGCATGGGCTCCTCAATTCAGACGTTCCTCTGTTCAAATATTGCTTTTTCCAGGCTTTAATGCTCTTTCAATTGCCCCACCAATTGTTGTGGAGCAAGTCCAGAAACTGGCAAGGCAGGGAGAGGGGTTGGGGAGCCAGGAAGCTGGCAGGCCTCCCAGCCCCCAGTGAATCTGGACGCTTTTCTCTTTGGGCTCTCTCTGGCATAACTTGTAGTCTCCTTCTTGTAGCCATTTCTCTGTAGCCATTTTCTGAGTGATGCCACCCTTATAGCTTCAGCCTCTAGGCTCAGATGTGCACACTTAACACAAGCCCACGCCATACTCCACGTGTCCATCATTAGGTGTGCGTGCCCCACGCTCACGTTCCCAAGCGCCTCCTGCATTAGCACAATCAAGGCCGCAGGTGATAACCCCAGAGGCCTGCAGCATAAAAGACTGACCAATTCACTTACCCTACAACTACCTATGATCCTATGATGTTAGGCAAGTTCCTTAATTTTTCTGTGTCTCAGTTTCCCCTTCTATAAATTAGTGATAACAGCATCTTCCTAATAGCATAATTAAAGAAAATCTGTCTATGAAGTGTTTGGGACACTGTCTAGATATCCTAGATACTCAAGAATTTTGGCTATTAGTACTATTATTAATTAGTACTATTATTATTTTGTTTTTTGAGGTAGATAAAGGAGAGCTGGAGGCAAGGCTGGCACCTGCAGCTTTTCCGCCTTCATCTCCATCAGCAGTACCAAGCTTCCCTCAGTGTCACCCCTACCACTTCATACCTCCTTCTCCAAAAATCAATTTAAACTCCAAATCACAAATGCTTAAGAACTGGTTCACAGTAAATCATTTCACTGGTTTATTGTCCACGGAGAGGCTGGCCCATTTTTAATTTCCTTGGTAAGCTTGGAATGCGATTAGGAATGCGATTTCTTGTCTCCCATAAACTCAATAGTAATAGGACTTCGGGGCCTAGGGGAACCTTCAATAGGACTTTCAGCAGGAACTTGTCCATAAACATTTTAGTAAATACAACCCTGACCTAAAAGAAAGATTCTACAGACCAGTATATGCTAAACTTTCTTTGTTGTCCCTATTGTTGGATTTAGGAATTAAATCCTTCTGAATGGAAAAAAAGATCATTTGATTATTCTTCTTCGTGCTAATATATCTGACACATTTGAAATCTTGCAACTAATACCTGCATTATCTATCAGTTATTAGAATTCCTTTTTTCTTTTTGAACAGCTAATTTCTTTGTCTCCCCTCCATATCTCTGCTCAGGGCTCAGTTCTTCATGACTTTTTGGCCTTGTGATGCTACATTGTCTGTATGGATATAGGTTATTATTATAACCATTATATTAACTGTACATTCTTTCTTTAAATGTACTCATTAATGATCTACTGTGGCTCACAGCAAGAAGTAGGCGGGGGGAGTATTTAAGAAGTCTGGCTATGGAGCCAGGGGGCCAGAATGTATAGAGTCCTCTTCACTTATCATCAGCACCATTCCCTCAGTTTCTTCCTCTGCACACCTGTGCCATAGAGTTATTTAAGAGAGGCTTGTATATGTCCATGTAAAGCCCTTGGAATGGTGCCTGGCCTATGACAAACTGCAAATTAGCTGTTATAATAATGGTTACTCCTTTTTTTGTCTTTGAGAAAATCCAGATGCAAATGATCCAGACATCATTTGCACCGAAGCAGAAGTCTCAGATAATAGTCATAGATGCAGATATTTATGCTTCCTGTAATTAGGCCCATACAGTGGACAAAATGATGGCTTGGTTTCCACTAATATTAATTTGTTCTTGACACCCATGCCATCTGATTCCAACATATCCCATAACCACTCTGTCTTGGTTCCTTCTGCCTCTCATACAGAGCTCTCTGGTTTGTGTTAGGGATTCCTGAGATTTTAGATACCTCCCACTCTCCCGTGCCCCCCCCCCCTCCATGTGGGACCAGCTCCTTGACATTTCGAGGGTTTTAAGTAAAAATATTTACTATTAGGCCCTGATCACCTCTTTAGACACTCCAGCTCCCCCTAGAGGGGAGTTAACTGTGTAAATGTGACTACTAGCGCTGCAGACTTCTGAGCTGAGACGCTTTTCTTTTTTTGATGTGGAAGATAGAGGTGGCCTTGTGCTGGACCACACTAGATGACTTGGGTTTCTTGGGCAAAATTTGCAGACAGGTGATCTTTGCTTGTGAAATATCGAGTGGGGAAAAAGGAAAAAAAAAAAAAAAACAACCCTCAAAGGGCATATTCAATTTAGGCTTAATCTTAGCAGTAGTCATTTATCTTATTTCCATTACTGTAGCTATTTATTGGGGGGGGGGGTTGTGGAATTCTTATATAAATAAGCCACTTCACCAATTTCTTAAATATGTGCTTTGTTAAACACCATAAAAGTAAGCACAGTGTTAGGTGAGAATTTTAAGTCCCGGCATATACAAAGATTTTACATAGCCAGAAAATTAATCATCAATACTCTTATTTAGTGCTGAAAATTTGGAGGTTTTTTTTTTTTTTTAAACCTGCATACACAGTCCCTTTCATTCTGCAACATGTATTAGGTCTTTCAGAATATTCTAGCAGGGAGTGGCTTCTATCAATGTAACGTGACTGCCCTCTAGTGTTCACACTAAGAATGACACAGACGTTTATTTTTAAAAATCAAGAAATGTTTGGCAACAGCATTTTTATAGATCCTTGAGTTTCAGAAAACTGTATAATCATTAGGTAGTTAGTAAAGACAACACACCCATGAGGCAAATAAAGCAGAATGAGAGCACTTGAGATTGATACTTTCTCTTTTTCGTAAGAGTTGAAAAGGAGTTTATAGATACTCTTTAACTGCTAGACATACTGAATAACTTGGACTCTGACTTAATGTTACCCCATAATTAGGTCTCCACACAATAATGTCAGAGCACTTTTGAGAGTAAATTCCCATGGTTAGGACTCACCAGAAACTGACAGTCTTTTTTTTAATGTGAAGGCTATTTTTTATCCTCTATTGCTACAGTGCAAAACCTCAGAAAAATATCCTCATTTTCTGTGATAGAGCGCTAGAAGAATCAAAACTAACTCCTAGTTCTTGTGCCTTCTACTTCCCTGTCAACTCATGACCAATGAAGTAAACAAAATTCACACACACACAATTAAACAAAATTCACACACACACAAACAAAATTCACATACACGCACACACACACCCTCTCTTGTCATGTGTTGAAATGAGGAACTAAGCATGAAAATCTAAAAACTTTTCCTTTTAATACTTGTGTATTGGAGAATGAGTTCCCTTAAATTTAAGATTCTAGGTTTTATAAACATTTTTAATAAATGGAATTAGTTGCTAACATTGGAAAATTGAGAGACATTTAGTTAGAAAACGAGCTTCTTAGTTTCTTTTGAAAAGTATCAGGAATTTTGGTAGCACTGACCCTTATTTCCCTGTGAATTGGATGGAGCAGAGATACCGTCAGCATCTACTCTCCTGTTCACCACAGGCCTCAGTCCTCCCTGTTGTCTCTCAAAAACTGATGTGGAATATCAGTGGTTAATTTTCATTACATTTATGCTATCTGTTTTCTTCTACTTAAGTTGGCAGGACCATTTTGTTAATGCCTTAGTAGGGAAAAGTCAGCAAAAAGAACTGAATTATTTTTTTCTCTGCTTTTGAGGGCCAGGTGGCCACTGTGGCAGCCATTCGACTCTGCCCTTGTAGTACAAAAACAGCCACAGACAATCAACAGGTGAACAAATAGCCATGACACTATCCTACTCAAACTATTCACAAAACCAGGATTTGGCTCATGGACTGTAATTTGTGCATCCTGCTCTACACTACCTGCCTAGTTAGCCTCTGTGGTCATCTGGTTTGCAATCTCTCCTTTGGGCATTTTCTCCTCTTAATCTTGATTTGATATTGTTAAGGCAGATCTGGTACCCCTCAGTGGGAATACTGTTACTGGTATGGGACATGAAAATCACCTCTTAAATGCTTTCATATTTGACTGATCTTTTAAGTCTTGAATGATCAACTTAAGTTTTAATTGTCCCCAGTGTGATAGGAGGAGGTTCTGCTAAAGCCTTATTTGTAGGTTGTATGGATTAGGGAGAAATTTTCTTCCAGCCTTCATTTTTAATGAAAACACATAATCATCTGTTTCATCACAACTTAATATAATCAACTGGAAGCTTCAGGGGAATACTTACATCTCTGCCTATTTATAGCCTTGAAGTGCACATGAGTCAAAGACAATTATTCTCTGAAAACTTATTAATGTTTTGCCCTATACCATTGCTTTGTGTGGATCTAATTATAAGCATAAAAGGAAGATATTTGGTGTAAAATGGTGTCTGCAACCTACTTTACGTCTAAAAGTATGAGGAATATATGTAATTACACTACTCAGTAAGAGCATAATATTATAATAAGACAAAAAAACATAAGTAATAAGGTGACTAAAATAGAAAAAGAAAACTAAAGCCACTGAAAATGAAGGAAAGGCACTAAAACTAAGTAAATATATAACATGTAGATCTAACTTCCACTTTTTTGGCTGAATGGCCAAGTGAAAATGGCTGTGTTGGCATGAAGGTCTCTATAAAACTATTGCTGAGGTGTGGACAATTTGTTTTCCATTCACTTCTTATTGCCTCCTTCTGGCTAAGTATGACAGACAATATTGCTGGTGTGTGTGTGAGGCGGGGGTTGCGGTAAGTGTTCAGCAGAAGTTCCTTTCTGTTCTGGTGTCCTCCCCCTGGGTGAAGCAGCAACCTTTGAGCATGACAAAAGAAAGAGATGCCCCCAAGGAACTCAGACTAGATGAAGCTCAAGTTGGGGTAAGCCCCTGATGAGAAAAATACCATAGAACTTTGTAGGATGCATTATACCATTTTATAAAAGACATGAATTAATAATACTCTAATCATAATAATAGTCCCATTTAATATGTGTTCAGGCATGGAATTTAATTATAAGGAAGGTATCCTCCCATCTTGCACATGAAGAAACTGAGAGATTACTGACTTGCTAATGTCACACTGTTCATAAATGGCGGATCTTAAGACCTCTGTCTCCACAACCTGTTATTGTAATTACTGAGCTAGTCTTACTCCTATCTGGATAAATGAGGGCTGCTGTTAGAGTGCTGCTTGAAAAAATACAACATGAGCCCCAAAGGCCATTGTATGTGTAATTAAAAATCTTCAGGTAGCCACAATAAAACAGTAAAAAGAATCAGGTGGAATTAACTTTGCTAATATAGTTTGTTTAACTCACTGTGTCCAAACTACTATTTCGTCATGTAATAAATACAAAAATTAATGAAATATTTTACTTTTTATTCCACACTTTTTTCAAAGTTCAGGTGTGTTTTACACTTACAGTTCACATGCCTGTGTGGCTATTGGACCATATAGGAGTTAGGCTCTACTGACAGAGATGTTGGTGCTAGACTCTGGGGCCTCATCCCACTTTTAATCTCTTTAATCCTAGTTTGAAAGGTCATTGCTGGTATTTGATTATCTATCATCATCATCACACTTAGGGGCACACTGCTGGCTGCAGGTGTCTCGGTGCCACTTTGCAGCCATGAAGGTTCTCCTGTTCACGTGTGAATCATTGGTATGTTTCAGGTGACCCGGGTCCTGCCAGCTATGGAAGGAATGGCCGTGATGGCCAGCGAGGCCCTCCAGGGGTGGCAGGAATTCCTGGTGTGCCTGGCCCACCGGGTCCTCCTGGTCCCCCTGGTTTCTGCGAGCCAGCCTCCTGCACAGTGCAGGGCGGCCAGCGAGCATTTAGCAAAGGACCCGATCAGTGAGCAGCTTCCTGCAGCCAAGCCGTCTGCATAAACCACTCCTGGCAAAGGCGCTTGGAGGAGAAACACCACCCGAAGCTGAAGCAGAAGACAACCATGTATTACCTTCAACATTAATATAGAATCAGAGCAATGGTGCTATTCAGAAAATCCTTTTTCCTTTCCCTGGAGGGGAGAAAGCAGGGTCACTGGTTAAAACACAAACAAAAAATCCTCATTTTAAATAAATTTATAATCCTGTCCCCAGAATCTTAAACTTTAATATGCTAGCGATATGTGATATAGAGTGGCCTCTGTGCCAATAAAAATACCCCCAAATACCAACTGTTTGGTTTACCTCAGTTATTTTCATTTTTTATTTGCATGTTATTCTCAAGTTATTGTTTCAGTTGTATAGAGATTACCAGTTTGCTGAAACCCCACTATGTCAATAGAATTGGTGCTGAAGCCCCCTACTGTGTGCCCCAGGAGTGGCTTCCTCACATGGCCTGTTGTTTTTCAATGTCAGTCAGCCTGACTTTTTTTGTTGAACTGTACTCTTTCCAAAATCTGTTAATATTTTGAGCTCTGTGTTAAAGCAAAGAAGGAATTTTCATATCCTGCCACTCGTGGGCTTTATTGATGTGATTATTTATTTTAAAGGTTTGAGGTAACATCTCTGGTTGTACCAAAGAAGAAATAAATATGGTTTCTTAATCTCTTGCATGTTTTCTTATAAAAAATCATGCTCAGTGAAAAGAAGTCACTGAACTTACTTATACATTAAAAATTTTAAATTATTGATAATGCTATAGGCATACACTTGTGCTTTTTTATAGGGAGAAAATTAAAAATCTCCTACTGTTTCCTAGAGGTTATTACCCAGTGACAGAAGTTTTGTATGTGTGAAATGTTGGGGTGGTGAGGGCTTCCTGGATCTTTTAAAAATTCTAATGAAAGCTATGAATCCATACCCCAGAAAAACCTACAAGTGTATAAAAGCAGACATGCTACATGTTGGCCTGCTACCACAGACTTCACAGACACTTGAGCCTAGTGTCACTTTGTTTCTAGGTACGGAACACCTGCCTTCATTGCAGTGGGTAGGTAGCCACCTCCCATTCAGAAATTCACTGCCACACAAATGATTTGTGCATTATTATTGCAAATATCCTTTTTACCATTTTTGTTTGACTTATGAGGATTTTCAGATGATTAAATATTCTTTACACAATTGCTTATAGTACTCAGAAGCACAAAAGTAGCACAATTTTCAATATTAATTGGACATTATTATTAAAAACTGATTTCTTTTTCACCATTTTTCTTAACACTTTTGCAACAGCAGCTCAACTAAAGTACTGCATTCTTATCAATAAGATAGACATTGCCTGGCCACCTTACATATTATTACTATTTACACAAATCACATTGACTTGCTGTTTTACATAAACTATCAATCAAGTTTAATACATTCATTTTATGTCACATTGCATATGAGTGGCTCGTCCCAGGGCATAGCACAGTGTTCAAAATAGTCAATATCTCCAGTTAATTTATGGAATTCAATTCTCTCAAGTCAGGAGTAAGTGTGCCCTAATAGGATTTTTGATATTAATATTTTTCTTGTGTGCTTTCTATATATTTATGCATTTCAGCCTATTTGTTTGGCTAAATCAACCATTATATACTCTGTATTTAGATTTTTTAAAAAAACTGCTTATGGTATTGAATTCTGTACTTCTGGATGGATTATGTTGAAGAAGAAAAATTCCAACTTGGCTACGTAGGTCAGCACATTTATACACAGACCAGGAAGAATGTTCTTCCTGTGAAGTAGATACTTTTCAGAAATAGAGATAATGGTTATGATTACTTAAAATGAGCTTTCTGGAAATAGGAAACTTTTTCAGGTACTGTGACATATAATCAAATAAACGCAAACAAATTGCCTTATCTTTTCAGCAAGGTGGTTTTATTTTAACTGGAGTGACATAATCAAATACAATAAATGAAAAATTAGTTAATCAAATAAATGTTTCTCAGTTCTCTAACATCATATTCAATAAGAAAATTAAAAAAAATAAAACTTCAAAGAACAGTTTAAGTGTTTTACAAACTTCATATATAAAAGGCTGTACAACAAACTCCACAGATAACATAAATATTGGAAACAACCACTTAGAAATAGATTATGCAAAATCTATTTTAGATTATGCAAAATCTATGCATAATCTATTTTAGATTATGCAAAATCTAGCACATTTCAAACGGTGGAAACAATCCGTTATAAATGCAGTTAAGAGAAATAGTTTACAAACTACCCCAGCTCTTGTATGCATAAATAAATAAATCTTTAAAAAAAGAGAGAGAAATAGTTTACAGCAGTAAATATTTGACTGAGAAATTACAAAGAAAAGAATCTGCTAAATCATCTCCATGAAAGAGAGTTGATAAATATTGAAATTAGATGGAATTTCTCTCTCTAGCAAAACAGAATTATCCAAAACTTCTTTGAGATATTTTTAAAAGTTGGATGAGTTATTATCACCCAGAGCTTGCTCAGAGAGGAGTGTGCAGACAATGAAAGTTGGATAGAAATTGGCATGTTCCTCAAGGGCAAATGATTTCTGATTTCCTTCTAGTCAGTGCTTCTATGGGATTACAATATGATTTTTATTGCAGACATCTGATCGATTGGTTAAGGGCAATGGAAATCACTTCTCAGTCTGACTGAGCACATAAATTCACTGGCATAGTTTGGTATAACTGATATTCATTAAGCAGAAGATCACGAACTAGTAGCCCTACAGGTTATGTAACTGATTTGATTATTTGTGGACACTATATTTCAGGCTGACCAAACAAATGCTGCTATTCTAAAACATCATTAGTCAAATCTGATATATTTTCAATCTGAAATGAGCTTAATTTCTGCAGTAGAATATCACCTCTGATTGTATTATTTAATTTTTGTCTATTACAGTATCTCTGATATAAAATATCTCTGAGTTTAAAAATAAACATTATAAGGATAAGATAACCAGAAATACATAAAATCATATCAAATACCAAGAAAATTGCTTTTAAAACATTTCCTGGTAGCCCTGGCAAAAGGAGTGAAAAAAGCAAAGAGGAAAAAATACTAGCAAATAGTAATTTTGCTGTTTATAGGTGGGCAATAGACATAATGTTTTAAAATATATATACTTTCAAAAGAATACTTGTGTTCAATAAATATAGGTCCTTTTCTCATAGAGCAAAATATTTGCATTGCTGCACTTAGCCTTTTTCAGTGAGCTTCTGGTCCAGGACATGGCTATATTAAGTGCACATAGCTCTGTAAATCTTAAATCAAAATGGTTGGTTAACTTAATAATGTATGAATATAAATACACATACTCAAATGCTCTCTGGATGATTCACTAAATGTCATGAAACATCTGGTTATCAGAAAGAGGATATTGACTACATTATTTCTAGTCCAGGTAAGTGGCTATCTCTGCTTTCTCCTTTCATGCATTCACCTCTTGCTTTTAACTCCAAGATTTCCAAGAATAACTAGAGAGAGAACAAATGAGGGAAACTGGCTCTGAGAAATTGGATTTCTTTTTTGAATTTGTCTTTGGCCTCCCAGTTGAAAATCTCTGTGTGAAGAAACGTAAGGCTATTCCTCAGAGAGCACCATTTTAATTTTCTATACCATAAGGGAGCCTCGAGATGAGAAGAGTTAAGAGCTTTGTAAATCACTTTCCAGGCTAAGTGAACATACAAATCCACTGGCACGTCTGGAATGTGATTAAATGCTATCAAGGAAACATGCGATGTATTTTACTTCTTATTGCCTAGTGTCTTATCACTAGTGATGTAAAATCTCACATTTGTGAGAAAGTTAATTGTGCTATTTCTTATCTTGCTCAGTGTCCTCTATAGCAGTGAGTCTCAAATGATTTTAGTGAGTTCACTTGGTGGGACAAAAGTCACAAAGGAATGCCTGTTCTTTGACTTTGCTTCTGCTTATTGTTCTCATCCAAAAGTATAAAACTTTTTTTTTTTTTAAATGAGCTACCAGGGAGATGGGTTATAAATTATTATAAGAACTGATTCCTTGACAAAAGTAGAACTACCAACATGGTATACACATGAACCCTATAATGGACCAATTTTCAGATTCCCTGGACACTATGTGATTTCCCCTGTGGTTGAGACCTCACAGAATGGAACTCAAGAGTAGATAAAGCATAATAACTACACCTCAGAATCCCCTGGTTTAGGGTCAAGTTCTTTATTGCTGAGATAAGTAACAAGCTCATGAACACAAAGGAATCAACGCTTCAAAGAATTACATCCATGTGGGATTTAGAAAAAACTACTGCCATTCCATTTTGCATGAGTACGTTGTGTTAAATATCATTAAATAGTGTGATGAGGTAAGATATAAAACAAACAGAATGGGTGAAAATATATCCTAAATGTTAGGTCTAAAATAGTTATAAAATATACCATGAAACAATCTATATTTAAATATATGAATGCACTGAAAAATATTTATTCCAAAAATATGCCTTAAATAATATAGCAAAACAAAAAACTGTTTTACAACCACAAGTTTCTTATGGTCAAACAACACACAGCCTACTGATAAACTTAAATCTTACTGAACTACCCCCTGAATTTAGTGAAATCTCCTATTTTATCAATATTCACTTTTGACAAATTTATGAAGAGCTAACTCCTTGAGTAGTACCATATATCACTCACTCTTGAATCTGAACATTAAAATTTTCCTACTGAGATTTTCTTAGTTTTAGCTTCTGTTTTACAAACCTGCCTTATTTTGAAGTAAATTTTTGCTATTCTGGTCTGCTTGTCTGAATGTTTTTTCTCTGTGTTCATCTGATTCATTCAATTTAACCAAAGTGATGAGTTACTCTGGCCTGACTTTATTGGGTAAAATGTTCAGCATGTAGCTCAGCTCTACCACACAGTAAACTCAAACATCCATTTGTCTTGTGTCCTGAGACCCCCAGTAGTTCAACAAGTGTAATGTAATTAATACTTCCTTTACCAGTCAACTATAAATGAATGTGACACATGGGCAAGGTCAATTTGAAGTAGCGAGGCATAAAAGGTACAAATTCAATTTTGCATCTCCCCCTCCTGGAAGCTTTTGTAATCTCCATGAGAGGAAATGGTCTGCAAGGGGAGTCCATTCCTCAACACGGGAATACTAAGAAAGGACACTGGAGAATAATGACAATGAGAACTGTGTCCCTTAAGAAGGTGGATGCAGACAAATGTGAAACGTAATTTAAGAATGAGAGTAATGAACAAATCTGCAAAGCTATTCTGAGGATGCGCTGAAAAAACAAACCTATAACTCCACTTGGAAAGTCTGGTCTCCACATAGTATTACTAATGTTAGGAAAATTAAAATGCTATTTTGAAAAATAGTGTTCTTTACTTTTGTAAATAGTGATATATTTCTAGAAAAATATAAGCATTATACAAATCTAATTGTACAATTTAAAGTGTCTTGAACAATATGGAGAATCAGATGTTGCGTGAGTTTATAAATGGTCTGCTAAATGCTTTTTTTGTCTGTCAAAAGAGAATATCTATCCTAAGAGATCAAAAGATTACCTAAGTGATTTAATGTTAATCACTAAATTAGGAGGGTAGTATAGATACAAGCCAAAGTTCCAAATAGTAACTTTGCAAGTAACTAGGTATATAGGTATACATCCACTAAAGAAAGAAAATTGTAATGTCAATGAATCAAAGGTTATTATACCTGCTTCATAATGATACTTAAAATAAAGAAAAACATAAACAAATGAACAAAACATAAATTAACAAAAAATTATATACAAAAGTAAAAACAAGAAAGTGCAAAGGAGAGAGTCTGATTTAGTCGTCCACTAAACTGTTTCTAGCCTGTGTTTCTGCAAGTCTGTTCAGTTCTTCTAACTCAGATTGCTTTAGACACCATCTTGTGGACAAAAGGAGGTATATCGCAGGTTCTCAACAGATGAGAAAGACTGCATAAAAGCTCAATCTTATTTAGTTCCTAAAGCATATTCATAAAAAATTATTGTATAAGCCAAACATCAGATGACAACCTTTGCAGACAACATATATTAAGGTAATCACTCTATAGAGTGACTAAAATTTTAAACTTTCAACAATGTCATGAAATATAGAAATAAGCACATGGGATGACTTTCAAGTCAGTAACTAAACTATGTTGATCACAAGGTGAAACATTTTTAATGTTAAGACTGGTTGGAAGAAGTGGTTAATATCAGTAGGAAAGAACAATTAACAAACTCATGAATCACTCATCCCTTTCCTTTAGATTCCAAAGTCCATACACATTAACTGAAGTCATATGTTGTTTGCATAGAAGGATTTCTAGCTGAAAGTGTTAATTGATCTGGTATTCAAACCTACCTACATTGGGCAAACATAGTTTTAATGATCAATTATCATCATGCTCTATAATTATTTTGCATTTAAACATTTATGTTTTCTGGAGTCCAAACAAGAGATAATTCAGGAAATTTGATAATTTTTTCCAGCTGTGAACATTACTGACATCTATGTGGAAGTAAACAAATGTTTTGGAATGGAATCAAATGATATAAGAGAGTTGGTAACCACCAACTTATCTAAGAGCGTATTTCCCAGCCTACTTTGAGGCCTTAATTACCCACTCCCTTTTTACTGAGGGAATTGGGCAACTGCCAAGTCTCCACTTTAATTGGTGTTGTATTAGATGAAACCAATCTTTTTGGTTGTTCTTTGTTGTCTATCGTGTGTACAGTGAGGCAGGAACTGTGCTGGAAGGTAAATAGCACAGTAGGGTGAGAGGCTTGTTCCTTGTGGACACGGTGCCATTACTCTAGTTTTGCTGATGGCAGATTTAGTCATATGTTTCAGTTATAGAAAATAAGCTTGAACCATGTGATAGCTTGACTTTGTAATACGCATCATACAACATTATATTTCCCCTCTTCCCTCCTCAAGTCATCTGAATAGATGAAGATTCTTGAAATAATAATAAACCAACCCAATGCAAATGGAATTTAGAAAAAGAAAGGTTCCTAAACAAACAGTAAGAAAGGATGCATAATATATCCTGTGGAATTAAAATGAGCAGAATTTATAAAAAAGAAAATGAATTGAGCCTTTTAGGTCATGAAAGGACTGACTCAAAGAGAATAAAGAGAATACATTTGATCACCATCAACAAAAAAAGTTCATGAAAACATTAAAATGCTAAAATAAATACTTCTGGATTAGCAAATATGGAACAATGATAGTCTCTTAATATGAAAAAATGTCTTTGAAAACATAAACTGTTTAGCTTTATGACAAATTCAAGTAAATTAATGAGTGTCAGATGAATGGCAGAATTTCCAAAAAGTCAACAAATTAAAGTTCCACAATTAAAAACTCAAAATATACACATAGCACCAGATTTTAGATATATGTACATTTTTTGGATAAATTATCATTTTACTAAGAAAATGCATATGTATATGCATTTGTGTAAGTCTACAACACAGCACCATCATAGGTATTGCACAAGAAAGAAAAAAGAAAACATCAATTTAAAGTTAAAAACACGTGAAATAAATAAAATAACATTGGAAAATAAAATAAATAAATGTGGAATTGAAATATACAGCACAATTCAATATAAATATTTAAAAGGTTGGATGTATGCACAGCCATGTAGACAGTACCTGACCAGCAGCTCATTCATCTATAATGAAAACCAGTTCAAACCATGGGTGCATTGGAACGAAGCCTGCCTTCCCTTAGGCACATTCCTAACACATCTCTGTTCACAGCTTTCCCCAATTTCAGCAGGCTTCTTTCTAAACTCATTTTTTAATTAACAGATAAAAGCAATCACCCTAGCCTGCCCTAGCCCAACTGGACTCTGCACTGCTCCAAGGTCACTGGTGGCATCTCTCAGCATTGGTGGAACACACTACTTAGATTTCAGCAACATTTTCATACCCCATGTGGTAGCAAATCAATTGTTTTCAACCAATAGTTTCGCAAAATAATGGAGAGCTAGGCCATAAAATACCACAGAGTAATTTCGATCGCTATAACTTTTGTTTCTTGTCGAAGGACATGGTGTCTGCAGTGCCCGGTTGTTTCCCCAGAAGTTAGAGTTAGCTCTGGTATGAGAGCTGGTTGGTTGCATATTCGGCCCCCTGGCTATCCTGTGCAGCTCTTGCTGCAGCTTCTGCAGAGTCATTCTCGGTAAGACCTTTTGGATTTCACCTTGTGGCTATGTGTCTGATGACACTACATATTTCTCTTCAAGGGCAGGGGGTGTCTTTTCCATTGGCTACAAAACCAGTACTTTGCTCTGATGGTTGGTTCTTGTCTTCAAGTCTGAGCATGATGAAGCCAGAAGGCTAATTGTACAGAGGCCCTAAGACCTTGTTAGGCCATTGATGCTTTGAGAGCGCCAAAGACAGCCTGGTGCCTTCACTGCCCAGCACCCTTAGGAAAAGCAGCTTTTGTTTCCCAGCTGAGAAACTCAGTGTTAGGTTTTTTGCAGAATTCCTTGTTCCTCTCTTTTCATGCAGTACATATTCATGCTAGGTGATTGCTCTGAATTGAGCTCATTAAACAGAATTAACAAAAGCATTTAAGTACTTGGCCATGGTGGGTTTTGAGTTTCCTGATAAAATAGTCTCCTGGTTTTGTTTTTCCCAAAATATAAGTTATAATGTGAAGTTCTTATTGCCTATCTATTTCTCTGCATAAGAAGATTGGATGCAGAATGGTATAAGAATTCTTCAGCTATAAAAAGTAGTCAAAAATATTCAGCAGGAGCAATGTATGATATCAAAAAACTGATGAAATTTTTAGTAATGATAGTAAATTAAAACACTAAGAAAATGTCAAGATAAGCCTGAAACTTTAAAATTCAGAAATTAAAGGAGAAATACAATTTGATGAGACTGCAAAATGTATATCACCATAAGTACTCAATTATAGGATGTAATTTCCTCTGGAAGAAGAACTAATGGTAAGATTTGCTTATATATTTCATACAAAACCCTGAATAAAAATCATTGTAATGGTGAAGCAAAACATATGGAATGAATTTGGAAAAATTCTAAAAATGCTGACATCACAATTATGATAGCACTAGGATTCAAATTGTGGCTTTTAAGGTTGGCCTAAACCATAAAAAGAAAGAAAGAAAGAAAAAGCAGCCCACATATGATGAGGGTTTAACAATATTAAGATAGCTCCAGTGGCAAGGAGACATCACCAGGACCCAGGTCTTCCTCAGGGGTGTTCATTTCCCACCTGTCCGTTGATGGGCATGAGACACAGGATAGAGGCAATCTTCTGGGTTACATCTTCCACTAGGTCCTGGGGGGCCCTGGGGACCTGGTGAGCCTGGCAAACCTGGAGCTGATAAAATAAATGATCCATCAGAATAAAGACCACATATGGCCCTTCCTCCCTTCTTCCAACTAACACGAATCATTTAGGTTCAGCTGCAGCAGGTATAAGGGCCATAGAAGAGAACTAGTTCCTGTTGGCAGAGGCTTGTGTTGTGAGATAGTATCATTATTACCTGAAGTCCCTGGAAGCCCTGGACTCCCTGGAAGCCCAATTCCTGGTTCTCCTCTTTCTCCTTTCTGTCCTCGATAACCTAAGGGAGAAATTAAAAATGAGGGAAACAAGTAAGATTGTTCTATGGAAAAGAGAACAGGAATGAATCAGTTTCTTGGTCTATGATGTTTATGGAATTCCTTCATTTAACATGAATAGTACATTAGCATTCTGTTTTGCCATAACCACATATTAAACTTAAATATCAAACAGATTAAATATGACAGGCAATGAGGATCTTAGAAATATGCAACTACTATAAAGAATCCCCATTAGCCAAACTCTTGATAATGAGATTTTGGGCCTTCAAAAGGGTTATTTAATGCTTAAAATTAATCACTCTTCTCTTCTGTCAAATAGCTATGACAGGTGTGTGAGCTCTCTTCCATAGCAATTCTGTCTGGAGACTAGGTATAGCCTAAATATAAGAAGTATACTGAAGGAATTCTGCTTATGTAAAAACAGGCAATATGACAAGAATTTGGACCTTATTGCAAGATTTAAAGGGAATGAGGGCCTCCCTGGTGGTGTAAGGGGTTAATTCACACAGCTACTGCAGCACGAGTTCAATCCCCAGCTGACCAGGGAGCTACCCACATGGCGCATCAGACCTCTCCTTTCTTGCCCACTGCTCCCCTCAACAGTGTATTTCAGTCAGTCTGCCTGTTCTGCTCCCCACTCTGTCTCCGGTGAATCCTCTCACCCCCCTGCACCTCTAGTTCTTAAATGCAAAAATGCAAAAATCCTCTCACCCCCCTACACCCCAGTTCTTAAATGCAAAAATAAATAAATCTTTAGGGCCTCCCTGGTTGCGCAGCGTTTGAGCACTGGGTTGCAAAGCTGCCCATAACCTCTGCAGCGCCGGTTCGATCCCCGGCCGCTGTCAAGGGTCCCATATGGTGCACAGACCTCTCCTGCCATCCGCTGCTCCCCTCAGCAGTGTACTTCGTCAGTCTGCCTGTTCTGTTCCCCACTCTGGCTCTGGTGAATTCTCTCACCCTCCCACGCTTCTGACTGTACCCAGTGCTTGTATAAATAAACAAATAAATCTTAAAAAATATTTATATATATATATACACCAATAAATAAATAAATAAATAAATCTTTAAAAAAAAGGGAATGAAAGAAACAGAAACTCATGAGTTTTATAATGATAGTAAGAATTTGAATATACAGAAATCCACCCATCTCAGCAGGAGACAGAGGAGGACAATCAAATCTTTGCTCAAATTACTATCACAACATTATATTCTTCCTAAATAAAGTTAACCCCCCGTTTCAACATGGCAGTTCATAACTCCAAAGTACCAGGAGATTCAGCAGTGCTAGAAAACAAAAGGCAATTGATGACTCCTTCTAACTCACTTCATTAACATAAGATGCTTTAATCAAAATGAGTTAGGTCCAAGAGCTGTACACTTTAAGATCAGTTCATTGTTATTCTTGACTATGCTTGTTGTCAACACCACTAGAGGGCGGAGAGCAATTTGTGTCTATGCAGACCCTTATCCCTGCTTTTTAAAAAGTATAGAACATCTTTATCTGCATTTTACATATTGGCATTCACATAAGATTTCACTTGAAGGAAAAGTTCTATAACTATGGAAGCTCCACAATGATTGCAAATAGTTTTGCTTAAAGATTGCTGCCAGTGGCAGAATCATGTAAACACACAGCAAGGATAATAAGTAGGAGAGGATCTCAGTAGGAAACAGTAGGCCTAAACTTTATTGTGCCTTTTTATTTAGATGAGTTACTACAGCACAGCATAATAGGAGAAGAAAATTGAATGTTGTCTATGAGCAGTATGTAAGACGTATTGCTTGGCTTGCATGTTGGCATTAGTCTTCAGACTATTGTTCTCAGTTTTGACTTGATCACACAGTGTACACATTACTATCTAAATAACTAGCAATCTAATCACCACTTATTTCTTGGCTTTGGAGATAAGTTCTGACCATTAATGTGAAAGTAGTGAGAAAAGAAGGATGTATATTCAAGGAATATTTTGAGGTGCATGTTGGAAATACATCTAGCAAGAAGTCATTACACATTTTTATCTGAAAATTATGTTGCATATACTCAATGTCATCCTAGATCCTACAGGGAATAGTGACTTGAACATAACACATGTTAAGTTGATCTAGGCTCAAAAACATTACCAAGATTTCTTTCATATACAATGACTTTCATTTAATGTATGTGAACTGGAAATGTTTGTACTTAAGGTCATTTGAAAGCACCCTTCAAAGTCCATTACTTAAACTTTTCTGTACTAAAATAACATTCATTACATGAAGTATATTTGACACTTGAACTCAAGTCCCACTATTATAGAAGGATTGTAACACTGACCCTCAAGATAGCTCAGTAAGTGCTTAAAATCATAGGCTCAAAAAAATGAGGAAGAAAAATGACAAATGGAATATGAATTTTTTATAAATAAGAGGATTAACAAGTCTGTAACACAATTCCAAATGAAGAACACATCTCCAGACACTTGCATATTTAAATTCAGTTCTAATATTTTAATATAGCACAAAAATATTCTACATGGATTTCAATGCATATGGTGTTACAAACAAAATCCTGGAATTTGTATATTTTTATAACAGGCTAATATTTACATATCTCTTGTCAGATGTAATAATTTATTAGTATTAATCTATTAGTTCATTAGGTGAACAACTATCTACTACTAATAGATGAAGCTGTTGAACTGCATAAGCACGCAGGAATTTTCTACCCGTACATTTCCTAAGATCCTAGCTCATTCCTTATGAAGGTTTCCATAGAGCCATAGGCTCTGATTTAATAATTACTTTACCACAATATTTTTAGACAGGAATGCTAATAATGTCAATAACAGCTTTTTAATTCCTAGGATTAAGCTTTTTGCTCTGGTATGTTAGGCTAAATAAAAGACTGGCCTATCTGCAAACAAACATGTACTTTCATGGATTGTAAGCATGCAGGATTTCAATCTAATATCACTGCAGCTCATGTAGGAAATCAAAAATAAAACATCAGGCGTGTCCTCATCTAAACCATCTAGTGGTGGTGATCAGTGAAGAATTCTGGTTCTTGCAGATTTTCAAGTGGTTGATTTTATTTCCAGCAGGGAGATTTATATTTCAACTCCAGGGATTTACTTTTGAAGTAATAAATCTGTGCATCTCTATACATAGTGAACAAATGAGACCAGAAAAAAAGAGTGTTACTGGCATTTTGGGAGGGATAATTCTTCAAGTGGGTCCTGCCTCATGCCTGATAAGTTATTCGGCCTCTTGGGTCTTGGCCCACTAATTGATTGGAGTGTGTTTCTGTCATTATGACACACAGATGCCTGTTTCCAAGGGCCTTATTGCCAAAAAATTTGAAAGATCAAATCTTTATCAGTAACATGAACTACCCTCTGGGCCACTGACTTACAAATTCAGAAATTTCCCTTAATTTTAAACCAATAATGGGCAAAGTTTAAAAGTTCAAAAATAAGAATAACTATTCCTAATATTGTCAAAGCTGACGGAGGGCACACGGAATGGCTGCATATGTAGCATTTGTCCTTCAGGTTTTTCTCAGAGGTGGAGAATCATCTGTGTTTGGAAAAAGTTTCTTTCTTTCTCATAAAACTTACCCAAGAGGATAAGGTCTGTTAGGAGAATTCACCTTTCTCATTTACATGTGGGGCCCCTGCTAGGTCGTGCTTCCTGGGGCTTCTTTAATCTTTTTAAATTTTTTTTTAATCATTGTTCATTTTTAACAATATTTGCTTCCTCCACCCCCAGGTGTAGTTCCCACAGAGATTCTTTCACCAATGCACCAGTGCACCATCACCTCAGTCCCCTGTGCTCCTCCCTCCTTCTCTCTGATGCCTCTCCCTCCTCCTCCCCTGCAGGATGTCTCTGGTTTATAATTGTTTTTGCTTTGTTGTGTTTTGTACTGTTATTATTTTTTTACACTGATGTCTTATTTGGTTCCCCTATATTTCACCTATAAATGAAACCATCCGATATTTTTATTTATCTTTAATCTTACTGCGCATATTCTTATTCATCCCTGGCAGCACCAGAGATCAGGCCCATGCTGCAGACTGGAGGTGGCAAAGATCACTAAGGAAAGTTCTCCTGTCTGTGCACAGCAGGAGGCAATAATCAGAAACACATAGGACAGTTAAAATCTAAAACTGTCTGGAAATGCTTTCCAATTCCTTCTCAAATTCAATTGTGCTGGGTTCAGAAAAGAATTCAGCCAACAGCAATTTTAAAAAGATGTCAACAGCTACTCCCAGGAGGAAACATGCAAGCCAGGTGACAGCATCAGAATCACAATGGCCTCCAGTCTCACTGTAAAAGAGGAGAGGGTTGAAAGAGGACTCCAAAAGGGTGTAACCATTATCAGAATCTTGGAGGCAGAAGTACTTCCGTTTCAACTTGGATGACATACTTCTAATAGTCCCACATCCATTTCCACTTTGCCTTATACAAGTCTCTTGCTTCTTAGGATACATACATATTTTCCTAGTATTACATATATATTGCATAATAGATATCTCTGTGTGTGCATATGTACACACACATACTTTGTTTACTGTGATTAGCATACTCTGAATACTGAGTTAGAAAACCAGTAAGCAAAAGCTGTACTTGAAGACTTACCTTGGGGTCCAGGGTCTCCTGGGGGGCCAGGTAATCCATCCTTTCCTGGTGGACCAGGCCTCCCATGAGCTTGTGCTGCCAACATAGCTGCTGGTAGCTTGAGCTGTGATAGGAACACAGCCATCCTCTCTTCATGTATGAAAGGAAAAATAATGCATGATGTTATGGAAATTTTTTTAATGTAAAACATTTTTTTAATCTGAAATTCAACAACCAAAAAACTAATTGGTTTTCAATTTAAGCACATTGTATCTACGAATTGGTCTGACTACTAAGAGAGTTTTTTGACTGGTCAGTTAAAATGGATTGCACAAAACTGATTATAGATGCTCACTACCCGTGTCTATCGGAGAGGCTGAGAATCTGCAATGCTTCAGAGATGGAGCAAGTCTAGTGGAGAGAACACTAACCTGGAATCTAACTAACCTCTGGTAATGACTTCTGGAGAGAATTTATGTTCATGTTAAAAAATATGGTTTTAAAAATGTCTTTAGTAATAAATTGAAGCCATTTTCCAGCAATGCTGTGAATGTATGTGTGGTAATTTGAAATATGTTCACAAATTCTTTGATACACCCTTTCAAAGGCAAAACTTTATTCCCCCATTCATCTGTGTGGGCTGGACTTACTTTTCATTTCCAATGATTAGAAAAAAGGTACAGAATTGTCAGTACGCAACTAGAGAAGCTAAGTCATAAAAGGTTCTCTCAGATGGTTCACTCTAGAAGAAGCCTTTAAGAATTGTTCTCAAAGAAAATTATCATTGCCATGCACCCTTTTGTTCATTCACCAAAACTCCTGGAGCCTAACACTGTTCCTCTGGGTCCAGAGGAAAGTATCCAGGGAAGAAAGTGATGCTGATTAAAGGTGCTTCCTCAGGTGAGCTCAGTCATTAGGCCAAGAGAGGCTTCACTGGTGGCATAGTGGCAAGTACTCAGACACTTATTCATGAGCCAACAACACTTTTGGATGAAGCTGAGTTATACAACATTGGTGTCTTAGTAACTTGTGAGATTTAAAGGATCTGATAAAGAGGAATTTTATGGTTATTCTCCCCTTTTTTTATTGACCAATAAATCAACACTATTAGCATTTTGACAGTGTAGGATTTCTCCCCTGAGGTGTGGTCACTATAGAACTCCCACCATCAAAGCACCCACAATCCTTTACTATAGTCCACCTCCCCCCACCCATCCTTAACCATATCCCTCCCCTCCCCATGCCTCAAATGAGGAGTTAAAAAAAAATAAGAATTTTTATCCTAAAACAAATTCCTAAACAAGTCATATTATTAACTGAATCAAACAGTCTCTGTAAGTAGCGCCCTCTATGGGCATTTTATACTTTCTGCACTAACTGCTCTTACTCAGGAATCAGTTTTCAATAAGAATTATTATCCAGGTGCATATAAGCTTCATCCACTATAAAGATTATCTCCTGGTAAGTTTTATTTTATTATTGGAAATCTGTTAAATAATGGTAAAACTTTCCATCTTTTTTGAATTATCACTTACTTTTTTGAATTATCAAACATTACTTTTTTGAATTATCACTTCAGGAAGATGGATTATTGAATTCTTGGTCATTGATACCACATAGGTCATTGTTCAGTTATATCTGACCTCAAAAGCATAGTCAATGTTTTACTACTCTAGAGATTACAACCTATCATTGGATTCTTTATGCAAATTTGCTTGGGTTGTTTATATTCTATATATGTCATATTTAACAAATATAATCTATGCATAACTAAATTTAAAATAGAAAACTGAAGTACATATCCTTGCCATGACAAAAAAAAAATCTAACCACATCATTTCTTTTTCTTTTCACATATTTCCCAAAAAGAAAATTCAAATAATTTCATTTTGAAAAGTAACTGACAAAACTTTTCAAGGACATATTTACTGCATAAGAAATGAGTAATATAAAAAATTCAGGATGGGTTCGGTGCAGATAAATCTTGCAGAAATGTTATTACTAGTCAATTCAGTGTTTACTTTGCATATAAGGACCAAATGACAGCAACATCCTAGAAACTATAGCTTCCAGTTAGAAAAAGCAAGGCCATAGTTTTCTCATCATTTGGTTTAGTAAATTTAGTTGAGCTTTAAAGGTATATTTGCTTAAACACATACATGTGTTTTATGATTTTTTTGATAAAGAGTAAATATCCCCTGAATGAGACCAATTTTTAGTTGGCTTTTAATAAAACATGTGTTTTAAAATAGTAGGTGTGTATTTGTATTTTGTGCATAAAAGATATATATATATATATAAACAGTACAATTTTTCTCAACTTGAGACTTTTTTGAATACCTTCAATGTGTAAATACCAATATTCACACACTAATTTTTACTCTTTGATGTATGAATTGAATTTACAAGTAACTTGCTTTGGGTGTTCTAAAACTATTTTAACAAAACAGAAAATTATTTCAATAATTACTTCTAGCCATAAATTATCTAGCTTTAAGATATACTCAGAAATAGTCATTTAGCATAAGGATAATCACTACTTCTAGGATAATCACTTCTTCTAGGATAATCACTTCAACCCTGCTCTAGTAATCTATAATTTAAAATAATATGTTCCTGAGCCTCTAAATAAACTGTAAAGACCTATATTCTTAATTACCTTTCTTCTGTTTCCAGGGATCTTTGTCAATTAAACTGTTTTGGTCATGCTTTCTAATGAGGCAGGAAATTGAAGAGTTCGGATAGGAGCTGCATAAACCAAGCACACATATTCTATCTGCCAAGGCAAACTCACAGCAGTCATCCTAACAAATGAGACCAATAGCTCGGCTTCCTTGGAGAACTGGGCTCATTAATAAAATGCCGACATTAATATTAATGTGATGATAAACTACATTATATGGAGAAGGAAAGGACATTCAAATGTCATCTGGCCTATTTCTACCTTCTGTTTCACGTTAGAATTTGTAAATACTTTCAGAGAAAGAAATTCATCCTTTTTGCCTGTTGTCCAATCAGATATTTCACTGTTTTTTAGCTACAACTTCAACTTATTATCTTTTGTTACCCCATATGGAAACACAGAAAGTATGTGTTGGTTAGTGAATATTTCCCTTGGGAAATCAGACATAGACTTTATAATATTGTTATCCTTTTACTCATAGGCTTGGTAATCTGTTTTGTAAATCACTTTTTGGTTCCATCTTCCAGGACTTTCCTATAAATCTCTTAAATTTTGACATCAACATTAGCTGCAGTTGTCTCCTAAGGGGCAAAAATACTGGAAGAACAATTTCCTTCATGTCTTAATAATTTTTTTACTTTTATGTTAACTTTTAATTCAAAATCATCATTTGGTGGATTCATATTTATTTTGTGGCTCACCATGACCAGGTTGTTATTGCTACATTTATTTCTGGCCCAATCCTTTGCCACCTTTGTAAGCATATTGCTTTGAAATGCTATTATCAGTAAAGATGGTGGATTGGATTGGCCAGATGAATCTGCTTTAACTCTTTCCTGGATCCCTGCAAAACCAATAATGAGATATTTTTATTTTTTTTATTTTTAAATTTTATTTATTTATTTAGTTTTTATTTTAAAATTTATCATTTTTTAAAATTTTTTAGACAATATTTGCTTCCCCCCACCCCCTCAGGTGGAGTCCCCATAGAATTTCCTTCCCCAAGGCACCCGTGCACCATCACCACAGTCCCCTGTGCTCCTCCCTCCCTCCCTCTCATCCCTCTCCCTCCTCCTCCCCTGCAGTAAGTCAATAATGAGATATTTTTAAAGGCATAAAACTACAAAAGTGGAGTTAAGAGTATCAAAGAGATAAAATGACAGAAACATTGGAAGCTGAGAACTAGATAGCTGAGTGACAAATGACTTAGCAGACTCAAGGAAGTCAAATCTTTACACTAGAAGTTGAGAAACAACTAGTTTTAAACCACAAAATCCTTAACAGCCTCAGGAAGTAGCAGCAGTACAAGTCACATCTGGAAGTGGGGGGAAGAGGGACACTAAAATAAGGAGAACTGGTTGAAAGTTGGTTTAGAAAAGACTGTCCTCTGCTCTATACAGTTGTAGTTGCCCCTTCCTTGCCCCCCATCCTAGCAAAAGACTGAGGGTTGATTATGCAAAAAGGGTAAAAAGGTTGTCTCTACTGAGGATGTGATTCCATTGAGACCGGGGTTTTCCCATAGAAAACAAGGAAATTAAACGAGCATTTGCGTGCTCTGTGCTGAAGCCTAGTCATATTCTCCTACTTCACTTCCCAAATACTGGCAACCACACAGGAAATGGAAGCGTTTTCCTTTGGGGAGTCTGATGCAAATAAAAGGAAAGATTTTAAAGCACTGACCTTGAGAGTCCCTCAGTTATAAAACCCAACTAGACTCCCCTACAGTGAAGGTCCTGGTTGGCACCACTCCCTCACAATTTTCACTTTTTTAGGACCCACTGTTTTGTATATGAACAGACAACTGGCACTGAAAAATTCCTAGAAGCTAAATTAGAGACCCCCCAAAAAAGAAACAGGAGCAAATTAGAAGAAATAGAAACTATGTGGTGGAAAATACTTTTTAAACTATATTTATACTGCCAATACGTATATTTCCATACAAATATGTATACACATGCACACACTAATACCTGCGAGAGGAAGAGATGATAAGACAATGCCAGAGAGAGCCCAAAAGAGAGCTTACAGATTCATTTGGGGCTTGGAGGCCTGCCAACCTCCCTGCCCCTTGGCCCCCCGGCCCTGCTACCTGACTGCCTTCACTACAATATATATATGAAACATATGTATTAAAAAAAGAGAAATACAGTAAAGAGTTTTTCCCTAATACTGGAAATCTGGCAGCAGAAATATAATTCAGGGACACTTAGTCCTAATCCTCCTTTTCTTTTTTTTTTTTTTAAATATTTATTTATTTATTTGTCTTATTTATTTATTTATTTATTTATTTTTTTTCTAATCTTCCTTTTCTCCAACAGTTTAAGGAATGGCCTATTGAATCCCAGATTGTCTCAAAAACCAAGGGAAGTTCTTGCGATATTTAAGAGATGCCAGATGTTTCTCCACATTCTTGCATAGGCTGCAAAATTGTTCCAGGATGATGATCTAAATCCCTAAGTAAAATAAGGTGATATCATAGCAAGAGTTATACCCTAATTTGTGTGGGCACATTATGGTCATCTGCAAAGCCCTCATAAAGCCAAAGGAAGCTAAACTGAAGCGCAGCGCTGCTGTCGCCACTCTCTGTGGCCACCTGGCTTTCAAAAGGATTTGACTTGTTGGTTAATCATACTGGGAATTTCATCTAACCTTAAATTGGGTGTATGTTTATGCATTGTGATCCACCAGCAACTCAAAGTTGGGATTGGTAGAAAAATCTATTTCTCTCTCATGGCTAGGCTGGGATGGGCATCAGTATGCTGAAGAAGGGCTTGATGATTTAGGGAACAGCCCACCCTCTGAGGTCTGAGGTACTTGTCTTAGCTGGTCACTTGGAAATCCCTAAAGGGAGCTGAAAAGCTCCATGAGGAGAACCCAATTTTTGTGTCCTGCTCTAGAATTTTACCAGAGCCTTATTTCTGGATACCTAGTATGAAAAAGTGGGGGATTCCCTTCTTTGCATACTGACAGTGTGTGACTTGCTAATCAGAGAATCATATGAAGCTGTAGATGTGCAGGGGGAAGTGGAGCAGGGATAAGCATTAGCTGTCATTGACACAGTTCTTGTGCAAGGGCTGAGAAAAAAAGAGGCCGGTGGATGTTGCTTAACTGCAGCACTTAACTAAAATTGTCTTAACATCTGAAAATTATTCTTTGAATTTATATAGAAAGCATTCTGAAAAGGAGACTTGTGACCTGGGAGCTCAATGGTTTATGAAAGTGGAGTTTTTCTTTTTTTGTAAATGGTATTCAGAAATCATAGAAAAGGTAGCTTCTAAGAGGAAAATTAAATGAGCTGAATTGGAATAATCTTGGAACACATTAACTAAAGTGCTAAATAACTAAATTCTGGGTTTTAGGTATACAGTTTTATTTGGGAGAAGACAGTTTTGCTGCACTAATGCTAACAGTGATAAAAGGAAATGGGCATCACACTGGCGGGGGCGGGGGTGGGTTTCTCAGAATCCAGTCTCAGGAAATGCTTTCCTTTTGGGCCACTTGAGAATATTGTCGAGAGGCCAAGACACCTGTGGCTTCTGAGGGAGCAGCGGCCACTTACTTGGACCTAACCAGGCCGGAGGAGTCTGAGAGAAATTGGAGGAGAGATGGGGGTGAAGCGAGAAGAGACATGGGGAAGAATGCCCACCCCTTAGCTTCACACCATGCAGGGTGTGACTGTGAGAGAGAAAGGGGGGCCAGAAAGGCAGAAGGACACTCCCAGAGTTAGAGGAGGACGTGCCAATAAAGTGCAAACCAGGTGAGCCTGCTTCAGCCCAACGGAAAATGAATCAATTGCCCAGATTTCCCTCCTCAGGGGCTGACAGTCCTTCGTGGGAGTAAGCAGAGAATGGACTTGCAAAATGAAGGCCTCCCCTATCTCAACATAATACATATTTCTGCTAGTGCTTGTGTATATTTTCTGACATTCCTAACCTGCCTATATAAAGTCTGACAAGATACTAAGCTATTTGACATGTTTTCATCTAGAGTTTAAGAACTTGAACTTTGACACTAAAGCTGCCTGTGGTAAAACATAATGACATGGAACACATGAACTCGCGGACCCTGACCCCAAGGAAATTGAGCTAAAACAAATTCAAAAAGGTGAATTTGCTGGTATTTTCCTTTTCAAAATCATGGTCTACTAAAGGCATGGCCACCACCTGAGACCTTAGGAATGTCCAGGCTCTGCTCTACAGACATGCTACCTGTGCAGTCACGCTGGGCTCCACACTCACAAAGTATAATCCTCTGCTGTGGCTGCTTGTAATTCTTAATATTTTTTGAACAATGTCACCTATATTTTCACTTTGCATTGACTCCTGCGACTTAGCTGCTCTGGTGATGTTATATTTCTCAGTGTTTGCCTGGAAAGCTTGGAATGTCCTTCTCTTTTTCAGACAGGTGATGCTTGAGGGTTGCTTGTTGAGGGGTGATGTTTGGGATGTAAACATATTCAATATGAGGAGCATATTCAATGATGGAGCATATTCAATGATGCATAATTCAAAAAGAAAAGATTTCTAAATATAAGGACAATATTAAAATTACAAGAGAAAAACTGGTAGACATCCCCCCCCCAAAAAAAGTGAATAACTATAATAATAAATTATCATGTCAGAGCAAGGTAAAGATATTTAGTAGAGATGAGGGAAATTGAAATCAACACTACAAGTTCATGACCTTTAAAAACCATTTTTTCCTATTGTGTCTCTGGAGCAGATAAAAGTTCCAGTGTTCCGCTCTATCTCAAGTGTGCATGTAAAGTAAGTTAATGTGCACTCAAGCACTGAGATTTTAGTCTCTAATAGCAATGAATGCTTAAAACAATCAGAGCTTCTTGGAGAGCAGTTAATTCCATGTTTGCAATAGAAAGACTTAAGATGAACTTGGAGCTGGCCTCCCCTGGTGGCGCAGCGGTTGAGTGCTGGGCTGCGAAGCTACTCGCAGCCTTTGTAGCTCCAGTTTAATCCCCAGTCGCCAGCACCCTCAATCCCCGGCCACCGGGGAGGGTCCCACATGGGGCGCAGACCTCTCCTGCCACCCGCTGCTCCCCTCAGCAGTGTACTTCAGTCTGCCTGCTCTGCTCCCCGCTCTGGCTCTGGTGAATCCTCTCACCCTCCCGCATTCTGACTGTACCTAGTGCTTGTATAAATAAATAAATAAATCTTAAAAAAAAAAGATGAACTTGGAGCATCTTGTAATCTTATTTCTTGCAAAATTCATGAATGTATTTGTGACCTAAGGATGCTCCCTTAGCAAAGGAAGCAGGAACCACGAGAAAAGATGTGGATTTATTTCCTAGAGACAAATAATTTGCACTTTATTAAGGTCAAAATTGAGGGGAATGATTCTGATTTTTAGCAGATCATTTGATAAAAATCATGTGATATCCTTGTGAGTGGAAAAGAAACACAGAGTGATTTTAGGGCAGCTCTGTGATGCAGTGCTCATAAAACAACAGACTGACAGATGATTTGAGTGGGCAGGAGAAATGCAATGGCATTTAGAAAGGTCTACTCCTTGATTCTTAACTATTTTTTATTAAAAATTTCTGTCAATTCGAATGATGACTTTTTATAAAATTTAGAGATGACACAAAATTCTGAGGGTCAGCCAAATTGCCCTACAATGATATAGATATCTTCCAGCTGGACAATGTAAGAACAAGAATCACTTAAAATTTAATAAGAAAAAAATCACTTAGATTTTTAAAATGGACACTGTGCATAATGAGGAATACTTAATTTCTAAAAGGTTTGTATAAGGAAGACCCAGAATTGTTGGTTAATTGAAAACTCAAAATCAATCAACACTGTGGTATGGATGATTGTTTTAAAGAACGCTATCTTGGGCCGCGTTATTGAGGTGTCTATATCAGGGATCAGAAAACTTCCCCAGGTAAGGAGCTTATAGCAAATATTTAAGGTTTTACCTGCTATATGGTCCCTGTCACTGCTACTCAAGTCTGCTGCTGAGCAAGAAAGCAGTCAGAGAAAATGCATAAAGGAGTGAGACTGTGCTCCAATAACACTATATTTATGGACACAGATTTGAATTTCAAATCATTTTCAAATGTCATAAAATATTCTGTAGGTTTCAAAAAAAAATTAGAAAGTGTTTAACCATCCCTCTCTAATGTCCCCCACTGCCCCCACCCCCCCCAAAAAAAACCCTCAAAAAAACAAAAAAAAAAGATATTCTTAGCTTGAGGACCATATAAGCACAGGTGGAGGTTGGACTGCTGGGCTATAGTTTGTTGTCTTTGGTCTAAATCAAAAGACTCTGTGCTCTGCCCAGGTCAAAACACTCCTGAGTGAATGAAGGTGATTTACATTCAAGCATTTCTCAAGGGTGATGATCAGGGGCTGGATACATTTAATACACCGTGAAAGAGGAAGTTGAGGAGCAGCTTGAAAACTAAGGGACTGAGAAATACTCACAGGGCTGACATGTGAATAAGGGAGCTACTTTACCTGTACATGGGCGAGATCAGGAATAGTGAGAGGAAGTTATAGGGAGGAAAATTTAACTTACTGTCAGAAAGAATTTCCTATCAAACAGAGCTACTCCATTATGAAGCGGACTGACTGGTAAAGCTGTTGAACAGCCATGTTTTGAGAATGTGGCTGAAGTGATTTCCCACATTAAATGGAGGAGGGGAAATGAGTAAAAATTCAGAAATGTTTGTTAAGGAAATCTAACCTTCGAAAATCCTTAGAACCTCCTGATTAATATACTTCTTTATTTCTTCAAATGAAACTGCATCAGCCTGGAAGAAGAAGGAAAAATATGTTAAAATAGCATATAGGGCATCCCTGGTGGTGCAAGGGGTTAAGCACCACGCCACGGAAGCAATCCGCAGCCTCTGCAGCAGGAGGTTGATCCCCGCCCAGGGAAGTGACCCACATGGTGCAGCAGACCTCTCCTGTCTTGCCCACTGCTCCCCTCAGCAGTGTATTTCAGTCAGCCTGCCTGTTCTGTTCCCCTCTCTGCCTCTGGTGGATCCTCTCACCCCCTACCCCCACATCTCTGGCCTGTACCCCAGCTCTTATAAGCATAAATAAATAAATCTTAAAAAAAATAGAGCATAGCACCAATGAATAAAGAATAGAAATATGGGTTGAAGTTCATACTTGAAAGTTTTGTAGTGATATATTGCTCAAGCAAAATGTTTTTGGCAATTGACTATCAGGCAATAAATATTTTTTGTTTTGATAAAATGAGAGGAAAGAATTGAAGTGCATAATCGCTTTAAGTGTAGGTGGACTCAGCCAGAGATATGACTATTTCCTATTAAATGGAAAGGCATGGCTTCACACAATTAGGAAAGACACTTTCTATTACTTCATTTTTCTGAAGTTATAGAATTTGAAAAGTGGTTTTATAATGTTAGAATCTCAGACCCAACTTATAACCAATTCTTGGATACTGGTAAAATTAATATCTAACTGATGTTATGTATCTTCAAAGGAAGAATACTCAAAGTTATGCTGGATTATTCTTTATGATGTTTTATCAGTGGGATAAATTTACTAAGTTTTATCTATTTTATGTTCAAGTTTATTCCTTAAAGAAAAGTCGGTAAACAATGTCAGCTGAACTTTTAAACTCCTTTATAAAGAAATTCACATAAATTTGATGAAGACTGTAACATTTAAAATAGTAATGTTTTATTATACTACCTAGATATTTTTAAGAGGGAACCATTATTTTTCATAATGGTTAGGATTTCAAGAGTATTTCATTACTTTTCTTTGTACTTTGTGGTTATTATTCAAGGGTATATGCATGGTATTAAAGGGAATGTGATGGGTTTATAAAGTGATTTCTGTAGATCAGAATAATTCTAGGGGTGCCCTATTCCACTGCTTTATTTTCATAGCTTATGGGACAAATGTACTTAAATTAATGCAACTAATATCAATTACTGACATAGTGCTGAGAGTTCATTTTAAGGCTTTATCCAAGTACTGTTTAGGAAGATTGGGTAAAAATAAAGATATTTGAATATTGTGGAAATGCCTAATTTTGCCCTATATCTGGTATCAGCTGATTATCTGAGTTAAGCATGTTCTAAACTTCCTGACCTGACTCCAGAACCTACCTTTCTTTCTGGCAAGGGTATCTGCAGGGAAAGTTCCTCTGTGGACTGGATACCCACCAGGCCTCCTGAGGATACTGACAGAGATATAAGTTTCCTAATTAAACACTTTCTTGGCTGCCTTTGGTTCCACTGCAAAATACTACTCCAGGCAGATTTGTTCCTCTGATAGTTTACAAAGTGGAATTTTATAGGAAACAGACATGTGTTTTTTTTATGTTGTACAAGAGATGTTATAGACAGTATTTAAGAATGAAGAATCCATCTGACCAATCAAATAAGTTATGATCTTGGACAAGTGAACTCTCAGTTTTTGCATGTGTGAATGTGGGGTGGAAAGGATACCTCTGTTCCCAGATAAGTTGTAAGAATCCACTGATGTCATATATAGTAAGTCCTTAGAAGAGGATCCAGTATATAATTTAAAATAAATGATACCTCTTGCCACTCTCATGGTGACCAGATTAGGCTCATTTTATGTATGTACGTATGTGGTTCATCTGTTATTTATATGACTGCTTTCATTATGACCAGGATGCCTGGTCAATACAAGCCATGAACTCCTGGGACTCTTGGCACTACTCACCGGAGTTCCTGGGATGCCTGGGTTGCCTGGAGGGCCTTGGTGGCCAGGAGATCCCACAGAGCCTTTGCTTCCTGGTGGTCCCACAGGACCTATGGACCCTTTCGTGCCTGGAAGGCCTGGTTTTCCCCGTTCACCTTGTGGTCCTCTATCTCCTGGAATGCCCTGATCACCCTATTGAAGAAAATATTAAGATAATGATTTCTTCTAGAACTGCATGTGGCCAAGAGTAAAGGTTCTGGATTCATATTGGCACCACTAACTGTGAGGCCTTAGATAAGTGATTTAAATTCTCTGTGCCTTAACTTGTTTTCCCATAAAATGGGAATATTAAAAATCTCCACTAAGTAGGGTGATGCTGAGAAATAAATGCGTTAACTCAAGGAAAGTGCTTAGAACATACCTAGCATGTTGAAAGCAGGCAAGAAAAAATTAGTTACAATGTTTATTGTATTTGATTGCCAGAACCAAATACATCTAGAATGATGACACTTTTGAAAGTCAATAGCAACTGTCATTTCAAGCTTAGGTTTTCTTTGAAATGACAGGAAGACTGATTACCAAGCGAATCTCATCACTGTGATTTTTCACTCAAAAAAATTTTAGGGGGTCTCCGTGGTGGCACAAGGGGTTAAGACACAACCAATGAAGCTAACAGCAGCCACTGCAGCAAGAGTTCGATTCTCGGCCAGGGAGCAACCCACATGGCGCAGCAGACCCCTCCTGACTCACCCGCTGCTCCCCTTAGCAGTGTATTTCAATCAATCTGCCTGTTCTGTTCCCCACTCTGTCTCTGGTGAATCCTCTCACCGCCCACACCTCTGGCATGTACCCCATTCTTGTATGCATAAATAAATTGTAAAAAAATTTTTTAGGACATTCAAAATCTCTCCTAAATCCTGTGATTTTTTTTTCTAATTTCCCCTGTATATATGGTCTTTATTAGACTCTGGCTTTATCTTTTGTACTTATCTATCTATCTATCTATCTATCTATCTATCTATCTATATATATATATATAGTGTGTGTGTGTGTGTGTGACTTGCATGTACTAGTGCTGTGTTCTAAATTTACACAATTTAGGAAGATTAGAAAGGAAAGCTTTTGGAAAGTTTAGAAGCAGGGGGTTGCGGTGGACCACTGTCACTGAGATTATTTACTCAATAGCGTAAATCAATTGTAAGAGAATTTGTAGAGTAAGATGCCATAATAAATTAGTAATAAGATTATATTAGATGTGCCTGCATCTGATAAGAAGCTTTTTTAATGCTGGCTTTTGTTCTGCATGTGTCAGGTACTGTATGTGTTTGTGAATAAGAGGGTATTTGTGTGTGTGTGAGAGAGAAGTGGGGAGAAATGACGAGAGAGAGTCAGTGAGAGAGAGAGAGAAAGAGAGAGATATCACTATCATGACAGGTTTTTCAGTTATAGGTATTTGAATATTCAGTTCCAAACTCCAGAACACAAATATGTATTGATATTGCCCCGTATTTTATATTATTCTTTTACTTATGACTACTCTGCAAAAGACCAAACTCTTTCTCAAGGTATAAAAAAAATGAAAACAAATGAATAATTAGATCTATTTGATTATGGAATGAACAGATGGAGAAAGAAGACATGGAGTAAGAAGTAAAGACAGATTAACCTAATACCAATGCTAATTATAAAAACAATCTGATACAGATATATCAACCCAATTCATATTTAGAGAAATATCTGAAATGGCAAAAATTTAACAAAAGAAATACTAGTACATTTTAATACTCTGATCATATACAATATAATCTCCACATATTAAAACTTATATCATTTAGACACAAGGATGTTCAACATAGAAATGTTTCTTATTATGAATAACCTACATACTTACAAAAAGGGGGCTAGGTGAATAAAATAAGGCATATCCAAACAGTGGAATAACATGTAACTATTGAAAGGGGAAATAATATAGATGTAAATATAGATCTACAGTAAATATAGATGAAAAGACATGAAAAGACATGGTCATTACATATTGTTAGATGAAAAAGAAGTAATTTACAAAACAGTATGAACCAATTTTTTGAAAAGTGTATATTTACTTATATTGATACTTTAAGTGTAATTGTATATTAAGTCCAACAAGTGAGAGAGATGGGAATACATCCCAAATATCAATAGGGCTTATGTTTGTTGTGGAATAAGGTAGGTTTTTTTTTCTTTTTTACTTATCTCTATTTTCATATTTCCTTTAATTTTCCCAGATCATCTACATAATAAGTGAAGACTAGTATACTAGACATCAGCATGCATACACATCACACGCAAGTGCACATGCTAACACCACCAGCTGCCCGTACTAGCATTCTACTGAGGAACGATGTCTGAGTAACTTGCTGCAGTGGGCTAACTCCCATTCTACCAGAAAAACGTTCTCATATTTTATTCATTAAAGAAAATAAAGCAAAGTTGCAATGATGACATCAACAACCAAAACTATTCAAATAAAAGCAGACCACAAAATCGGCATTACGGATGACTTTATACATTCACTGCTCCTTTCCGTTTTGCTTCACACTACCCCCTTTATTCAGCTTGGAATAAAGTCATCCATAATGCCTAATTCCATTAGGTCACTGGTTCTCAACTAGTGGAGACAGTTTTGGTTATCACCATGGAGACCGTTTTGGTTATCACCACTGTAGGGAGGGTGGCGCTAATGAGTATAGCAATAGAGGCCAAGGATGCTGTTGAATGTCTCACAATGCCCAGGACAGGCACCTACAACAAAGAATTTACTTGTTGTAAATACCAACAGTGCTGAGGTAGAGAACTCCTACTCTAGGTAAAAAGAATGTGGGTGATGGTTATAGTAGGAAATGTGTCTCAGAGCGGAGGATGATAACATCTTCCAAACTGGAATAGAAAGCCAGACTGAGCTTGTACAAAAGGCCAGTCATGTAGGCCTACCTGACACATGACCTGCTTTTGGGTCCTTTGTTATTTTGTACACCTAGCACAGATCTTGGATCATATATATCCTGGGCTTTTCATACTGGAATATTTGTCTACATACATAATTGTGTAAGTCAACGATGGGACAGCTGTAATGGAGACTGAAACAATGACCATAATTGTAATATACATACACGTTCTCCTTTAGGGCCTCTATCTCCAGGTTTACCCATGATGCCCTGAAAAACAGACATCAACACTAAAAATCACCATTTGCCAATATTTTCCATCAATCAGCTCGATCAGGTATTCTGCATGTAGTTTTGCATTAGGACATTTATTTTAATTGGTGTTTTCCATACCTGAGCACCTGGTAATCCATCCTTTCCATTCATTCCCTATAAAGAAAAAAATGATGACTATTCAAATTCTGCCATGAGACATAAACACAACAAAGGGGTAAAGTTTTAAGGACTTAATCATGTTTCTAGTGAGCTTTTTTGTGAGATAGTATGTGAAGTGGAAAACCAAATGTATAGAATCAGATAGCCCTGAGTTGGAATTCTCACTCTGTCACTTACAAGTCCCATTACTCCAGGCAATTTGTTTACCCTTAACAGCACTGGCTTCTTATAAATTGAGGGTAAAATAATGACCTTAAAACTAAGAATTTAGTGCAATAACAGAAAGTGCCTAGTTCACTGTTAATAGTCAACAGGATTTTTTTCCTTACTTATTCTATTAGGCACATTCTGAGAAAAAAGAAGCCGTCCCATGGCGCGGGTGGCTTGTGTGCAGCATTTATTGTTACTTATAAAATCTTTCCCAGCAGAGAGAATCATTCTTTGTAAATGGTCTCAGTTGCTGCTGGGGAAATTTCATAACACGGCCAGAGCATGATCCTCCTATGAAATGAACTGTCAGCCAGAGAACAATTGTTATTTTTCGGTTGGAAAATATGAAAGGAAATAAGAAAATATGAAAGGAAAATATGAAAGGAAATCATGGTTTTTGAGAGTATTAAATAGTGGCTTTTTATTAGAAAACTAGAAGTTTCCTAAACTTCAGAAGACAGTTCAGGAGGTGGTAATAAAGCTCAGTCCTGCTTGGAGAGTTATAAGACTAGGAGAACTGTTGGCTGGGAGATGTAAGAAGGAAAAACACTTGGGGTCAAATCAAATACCTAGAGTCCAGCAGCAGATGTGTTTTTGAGATTTGATTTGAAGAGGGAGATCAAGGTAAGGAAAATGATTGCCAGCAGGCAATTGCATGGAATGCTCCTCTGAAAAGCCAAGGAGACTTTTATTGTGCTGGAATGGATTCTATGAGGATGGAACTGCAGACAACTACATGTTTTCACTGCTGTAAATTACACTAAAATCTGTCACAGTTGATAACCCAAAGTCTCCCAAACTCTCTGAAGCATCTTGGGAATTATCTGGAGCACTTTAACTAAGAACATGTTACCTGAAGTGAATGGTTCAAAGAATTTATTACATCCAGAAACACAAGCAATAAAGATAGAGCTGATTAAGGAGAGGATATGAAAGAACTTTCTGTCACTTGAATAAAAGAAGATAAATCTAGTATAAAAAAGTAATTCATGTTTTTGGTAACAATATAAGAAAAGAAATAATCCTGTAACCTTTTTTTTTTTTTTTTGTCTCTTCTAATTCATCAAATCCTGTCATGTGTGCTCTGCTCTTTGTATAGGAAGGTGTTACTAACTTGCTTTCCATAGGACAGTCCTGCTTTCAGAGCTTGTGACAGTAATCTCTCCCCTCATCTTCCTTATCTGGAAGAACCACATTCCTGGGTGTAACTAACTGTGTCTACTGTGTGTCTGCCTCTGAGTGCCTGACTGTGGTTGATGAAAAACACATCTCCTGGCTCACCTATTCTAATCTCCCTGCACATCAGCAGAGGGAGAGCAGTCCCTGTGCACAGCCAGATCCTCCTTCCCTGTTACCTGATTTGACTCCTTTCCTTCTCTCCAAAAGTATGTTTTCCCACATTTTCCTGTCTCTCCCAACCTCCAGCATCACCACCCCACGCCTCATGCTCAGGTGATGACCTCGATTCTTTCACTGTGAAAATAAACAGAAGCGAAGCACCTTCCTTCCTCTCCCCTGACCCACCAACTCCCCTGCATTTGTACTCCAGTGTAAGGCCCCTTTCCTTCCCAGTAGCTTCATCTCTTCTTTCCCACAGGTTTTTGATCAAATGGCACACCCTTTTCAACCACCCCATTAAAATGACACTCTAGCATCTTACTCTGCAGGAGTGTGTGTGTGTGTGTGTGTGTGTGTGTGTGTTGTCTGTGTTCCCAGACTGTAATGCCCCCCTGCTCCCTGATAAGTTGTTGGCACTCAAAACAGTGCTAGTATGTAGTAGATACTCAAGGAATATTTTTTGAATGAACAAATTTCTTTCTGTATAATTCCCTGGAAGCATAATGATCTAAGCATCTACATGATGGCTTACAGGGAGTGGGGAGTTGGTAAGAGAAGGTAAAGGGAGAGGCAGGGAAGGAAACAAATATTTACTAAGCACCCCCCATGACCAGGCATGAAAATCTTACCATCCAGCAGGTTACTAAAGTGACTGAAAAAACCCTATACATCATACATAATTCAAAACCAAATCATCCTGACACTAATTGCACGTGCTTCCCGTTTTTCATGTTGTCTTCTCTGGGGAGAGAGTGTCCAGGGATTGCGCCTATGCTGAAGGTTTCACAAAGACACTGAGCCAACTTCCTGAGCTCTGTGCTGCTCCCCTACCTTCATCTCCCCTCTGCTAATTGCATCGCTTCCCCTATAGATGATGGCAAATAAACAAGCAAAGGGAGCAGGACCTTCCTTGAAGGAAAAAACCTGACAGTGGGGTATGTCCTATTCATTATTCATGTTTCTATCTTCCCCCTCTGGGCCCAGCACATCCTTAGCAAATAGCAGGGACTAGATGGATATAGGTCAAATTGAATTGAGTTGAATTAGTAGGTCTGACTCTTATAGTGCCATCAATATTATATATCAGTAGCTGAGAGCTCTTGTAGGACACAAGATGATGATATATTTGCCAGCTGTGATTTATGAAGATGTAAGAACAAGGCCCATAGATACAGGAAGGAATCTGGGAAAATAGCTTCTACTTTAGTCTTTAGCTTAACGTGCAGGTATTACAGTGGTGAGTCTTCTGTTTATCTTTTAGGATGTGACAGGTCATTTTATTTCTTAACTCCACTGAGAACAGCAGACTTAAAAAATAATGAGTCTAATTTTCTGACCCTTAAGACAAAACTCTCACCTTTCTCACCATTGTTTCAGACATAAAGACCTCGCAGAGAGCGAGGACACTCAGAGAGAACCACTCTCCAAAACATCGATTTGCAGGACTTGCTCTTAATTCCTTGGAAACTACTTATTCAAATCTCAGATATTCTGAGGAGATAGAAGAGGAGGCGATGCTTAGAATATTTGTCAAACTGCAAACATTTAATGGAAAATGTCTTACTGGCTTTCCTGAGGGCCCTTCTGGTCCAGGGAAGCCTATGTCGCCCACAGGTCCTCTCTCACCCTGCGGGGATATGCACAGAAAAGAAACTGTCAAGAGAAACTAAAGCAGCACAGGGGTGCAAGTTTTCAGTATACAAATGGCAACTCACCGGTTCCCCTGGAAATCCCTGAGGTCCTGGGGCTCCAGGTTTCCCCTGGGAAATCAAATCAAAAAGGAGTCAGATGATGAGAGGTGCCATGTTCTTCCCTCCCTATCTGTGAGCTTGATGTGCTACAAGAGCTGTGACTCTGCGCTAAATGGTTTTCCTAACACACAGAGTCCAGGGGCCACATGCTTGACTCTGCAGGCTCTAAGTACAGGCTGAGCACAGTTTTCTCATGCATGTATATGTGTATTATGGAAAGACACAGGAAGAGTATAAGGATAATATTTTTGAAACTATTAAGCCAATATATCCTTATTACTGAAAATCCCACTTGTGCATTTTTGAATGGCAGCTCTTCTTTACGTTAGGGGTTAAAAGGCACAAAGTGGTCAGAGAAATCTTTCTTAGATTTTTGAGTTTCATAAGTGGGCTTTTACATTCATAGTAAGATAGCCTGGAAAACAGCTTGCTTGACTTGAAAAACCACATTTGATTTAAAGAGAGAGGAAAGGTTAATTTGCTCTAACACAACGTGGCTTGGAGGACTGACAACAGAGACCAAAAGGAGAGATAGACCTGGGGTAGAGAGACCACAAGGAGAGATAAGAAGAGAAAGATGAGTTAGCAGAGACAGGAAGCAGAGAAGAGTCAGTGTCCAGACTTGGTTTAAAAATACTGCCTTTGAGGCAGCAGACCTCACCTGTCTCGCCCGCTGCTCCCCTCAGTGGTGTGTTTCGGTTAGTCTGCCTCTTCTGTTCCCCTCTCTGTCTCTGGTGAATCCTCTCATCCCCCACACCTCTGGCCTTTAACCCAGCTCTTGTATGCATAAATAAATAAATCTTTAAAAAAATGCTGCCTTTGAGAAGGAACCTCCTCCTATCTTTTGAACCTAATGTGGCAAAAAATGTCAGCATATAGGTTTGAGGCCAAGGTCATAGAAACCCCAGGAGGTTGCAAGGGAAGGGCTTTTTCCCACTTGCTCTTGAGAGCTCTGGAACAGATCCCCTCACAGGTTCAGGTGTGGCTGAGAATGAAGTGAGGCAGGCATGGAGTCTGAGAGTGCATCCCTGGCTCCTCACACCTCATGTGCTCAAGCAGGATCTCCCGAAGCTCCTGTGGGCCCGAGTTGGGGGATGCATTAGAGTCGAGGTTAGTGTCAAAAGGTCTTGGTATGGATACAGGGGATGAAGAGTATTCAGGTCTTGAGATCTGACACAAAGGGATCGGGGCAGTGATAGGAGGCAGCAGCAATTTTGCAGGTCATGTAGAACTCAGAGAGTCTAGGAGAAGGAATGTAAAGCAATTCCTCCTGTATACTCATTGCCCATTATAAGGAAAGGTGAGCAAAAAGGCCTGGAGAGATTAGTGGATGGGGCTGAATATAATAGAAAGGGATAAGTAGGCTGGTTCTAGGAAGAGTAGGATTGTGTCTGCTTGGTTCTCTACAGAGAGATCACGGCATGTCTGAACAGGTAACCAGAAAAATCACCTTAAAATTATTTTACTGTGATAAAATATATATAAAATGAAAGTGACTATTTTAAGTGTACAATTCAGTGGCATTAAGTACATTCACACTGTTGTGTAAACTTCACTACTATTTGCAGAATTTTGTGACTATTTTCTGAGTCACAGGCAGGTCCAGTTATAAAAAAAACTAGGTTGCATTTTTCATTACACAGTTGTATATCTACAGTGTGGAAAATTTTCACCTCTTTCTCCTTTATGTAATTGTCAGTTGATCCTCTTAACTAGGAAATAGGAAAATTGTCTTTTAAAGTAAACAGATCAGCTTGCAGATACACAAGTGGCAGGTGAGTCCCTTATTTCCATTATGCTGCATCCTTTACAATATCTTTGGAATTCTTTTTTGGGTTTCCCTTTCAGTCTGTCAATGAAGGGGGGGAGCTTATAAGGGGATCTGGAGCAGTGATGAAATAGACTTCCAGGTATGTTGCTAGGTATGGTCATGGAGGAGGGAGTACGAAGAATGGGATTAAGTATGAGCCAGTCTTCAAGAATACTTTCTTGTGAAAAAATCTCTGAAGAACTTGCTAAAGAAAATATTTTCATGTTACTTTTATGGCATACTAATATTTAACTTTCTCTGGAATAGCTAAAAGGGGATGTCATCTCCTCATATGGTTTTCTGTGGATTATGGATGGGATTTATTTTTTTTGTCAGATTAGCAACTAAATGGTATGAAGTAGAGTGACTGCTGGTGCTGGTGATGGTGATGGTTGGTGGGTGGTGGATGATGGGCGGTGGGAAGCTCTGTGTGATGTTGGACATCAGGAGATGTCAGTGGGAGGTGGCTGTAGACCCGTCCTCATCTTTCTCATGTCTTTATGATTCAAGCACAAGGTTTCCTTCCACTTCCCTATGCTAGATATACCCTGCAGGGGCACCTAGCAAGAGGATAAATAGCCTCTTATTCATAAAGCATGACCACAAAATTTTAATTAGAGCACCATGAATGAAGATCAGAATGATCCCTAGGGCTCAGAGAAATGATTTCAACCTTTCCTGAAGCACTTCCTATTCATTTGAAAAGACCTTGATGAGATTAAAGCGTTTGACGCCAGAGAGCAACAAAAATGATTGAGAGGATTGAAGGGCTAGTTTACGAGGAAACATTAGCTGCACTAAAGCTCTGCTGTTACACTGGGCTGAGGGAAAACTCAGGCAGATTGCAGTTTAATACAAGGAACTTGAAGTACATGCATAAGGATGAGAATTTTGTCTTTTGAGGATCAAGAAAGCTTGAAATAGGACAAGAGCAGAGAAACAAAGCAAGCTTCTCAAAGTATGTCTTTGTATTGTCAATTAATGTAGAGACCTAACTATATAAAAACACATTATACGTATATTATTGTATTGTCATTTGTAACTGAGTTTCCCTCTCTGCTCCCCAAGATTAAAGTGAAAATAAAGAGATCAAAACTTTTTTCAGGTGTGAGAAGGGCAGGAGGAGGCTTTATATCTTAAACTGGAGGTTTCATGAAACTAATGCTTTAGCGGTTACCACGTACTCCCTAACTCTTCTTTATCTCCAGCTGTAGGCCTGTTAAGGAGACAGAACTGTTTGTGAAAATAATGTGAGATAATCTGGACTCACCGATATTCCAGCTATTCCTGGAGGACCTGCAGGGCCTCGATCTCCCTGTTGGGTTAAAAAAAAAATGCTATTTATAATGATATCTATAAAATCTTTAGCTATAGAACTAATATTGAAAAAATAATTTGGATTTAGTAAAGCTTTTCTTTGGAATCAATAAACATTACCAGTATCAGCTGATGTGATGCCGTATGGTAGATGGGAAATTAACAACAATGAAGTTAAAGCTTTCTTTTGGTCATAATAGCAAAGCTACTAATAATTTTAATGAAAATAAGCAATTATGTTATCATTTCTTTACCTATTTTTAATGGGTGCCATTTATACTTAGTTAATATTTACATTCCACATATGCAAAAAGCATTCTTTATTGTTAGTTAAAAAATAAGTGCATTGAATGTCTTTTAAAAGCTTTTGCTAACTTGTCTCATTGGATGTAATGTTCATATAAAGATATTTAGAACTAGGAAATTTGTAGTTCTCCTCATTAAAGAATCAGAAGATCCCTTCAGCTGCTCTGAATATTAGCATCTCAACCTCTTTTTCCAAAGGCAATGTAGTATTTTAGATAAAGCTGACAATGTTAAAAATACTAATGATTATATATGGGATGATAAAATAGTAATTTTTGTTGAGCAGAACCTACATTTAAAAACTTCATAACTTAACCAAGGGAAATAAAATAAGACTTGATTAAATGGAGAGGTATGTTTGTTCTTGGAGGGCAAGACAATGTTGTAAAGTGTCATTGTTATCCAAACTAATTTATAAGTGTAATGCAATTCTTACAAAATTGCAGTTTGATCAAATGATATTAAAGTTCACCTGGAATAATAAATAAATGAGGGTATAAAAGGAAAAGTCAAAAGAAGCATAAAAAAGAGATTAGCAATACCATTATTTAAACATACAATAAAGCTATAATTGAAATAGTAGAATAGTGGCATAAGATTAAGCAATACATAATATAACATAAGAGAAACTTTAGAAATAGACCCACATTTATAATGTGAGTTTAGTAAAGAAAGCATATATTATTCAACAAATAGTGGTAACAATTGAATACATTTTTTTGAAAAGAATTAATTTCTTCTCTTTATATTATATTCCATTTAAATTTCATTTACATTATGTAAAATATAAAATAATATGAACTATAAACAAACTACAAGAAAATATAAGACAGTTGAGTTTGGTTGAAAATGAAAATAAAACTCATTCAGGGTATAAAAGCAACCAGAAATCATAAAAGAAAATAGTTTCAGATTTGACTACATTAAAGTTATATTTATATATAAATATCATTAGACAAAAGCATTAAAGGCAAATACCAAAGGATAAATGTTCTCATTAAAAAACAGTATAATATATAAAATATAGGGATAGTAAAAAAGAAAAGTAAGTAATAGAAAAATGGGCAAATGATATTGTCAATTTAATTCTGCTCCTTTTAAATGATGAATTTTTATCCTTCAAGTGAATATACTGATGCTTTCATCCAATGGAAACATCTGCATATCAGATAAAGATTAATGTGAAGAGGGTCTTTCTCTCTGACAAGACGGTCCTTCCAACATTTGATCTCTCAGTTCTTTGAATCACTCTCTTCTAATGATTTAGTCTCTCATTTCAACTATTATACCTGAGACCTTGTCACTAACAATAACTGCATCCCCTCCACACTCTCAATTTCATGCAATGTAGCCTTGGATCACTCTCCTATTGTTCTAATTCCCTTGAGTAACCTGAATCCCCAAAATTTTTGATGCCACTGAGACTCCTAATCCATTAAGGTACACATTTTTCATCATTCTTCACTTCTTGGATGACACTATCCTATTTATTTAGTTATCCCTGGTCACTTGTTATAATCACTCACTTATGTATATCACTGACTCTTGCCCCATTCTTGCTTCTAGCACTAACCTTCAAAACTGGAATCTGTTTACATACAATTCACCTACTACTCTGTGACTTTAATTGAGTATCTATCCCTGGCTAGAGGAAGCACACATAAACTTGCTGATTAGTTTCACTTCAGTTCCTGATGATAAACCTCAGGGCAGCAGGGGTGATGGTAGTATGGGGGCTTTTGGGCAGCCCAGCCATTATACCCTGTGATCCTTCAACTCTTCCCTCTCTCCTAGAAGAACTCCTTAAATCTCCAATGTCTTTTTCCTACCTCACTCTCACATGATGACCTTACTTTCTTCATTTATGAGAAAATTTAAGCAGTCAGAAAAGAACTTTTATTTATCTCTCCACATATCAGCATCTGAAACCCCCTATCCTGTTTTCTGCCTATTACCATAGATGAACTATCCAGGTTCCTCTCTGAAGGCAAATGTTACATTGATGCACTAAATCCCCTTTCTTCTTAGTTATTTAAGGACATTCTTCCATCAATTCTTCCATCTTCTATCACTACTCTCTCTTTTTACTGGCTCATTTTTTCAGCATACAAATGTCCTGGTATTTCCATGGTCTTAAAATCCATTTTATAAAACTTTGCCTTACTTCCTCCAGGAGCTTCTGGCCATATCTTTGCTTTCCTTTGTAGCAAAACTCCTTGAGCAAATACAAGCAATACAAGCAAAACTCCTTTGCTTGTATTTTCTGTTTCTAATTCTTTACTTCCTATTCTCTCTTAAACCCATTCAGGTTCAGCAGCTGCTCCTACCAATATAGTGGAATAGTACTAATTCCTCTGACAGTACTAATTCCTCTATTGTTGAGTCCAATGGTCACTACTTGAACATCTTACTTGTCTTATCCCCATCATACTTGACCTAATTGTCAGATTTGAGATAGGTGATCACTCCCTTCTCCTTGATAGATTTTCTTTTGTTTTGCACTTAAAAATGTATTGTTAACAACATTGTATATGATTCAGAGGTATAGGTTCATACAGGTTCATGTGTATTTTACATCACACCCAACACTTAGGCACCCATAGTCCCCCACCACAGGCCACCAAATTCCCCTCTTTTACTTTGCTTCTCTTCATTTTTTTATCCACCATCACTATCCACTTCTTGCAGCCACAATTCTATGTCAGATTTCTAGGCTTGTTTTGGTTTGGCTTTGTATATTCTTTTGTTTTGTTTCTCTATATTCCATGAGTTCAATCACAAGTATTTATCTCTCTCCTACTGAATTATCCCCTCCATTTCCACCCATGTTATCATAAGTGACAAGATTTCACCTTTTTATAGCTGAATATTCCATTGTGTACATATACCTCATCTTTTTAATCCACTCATCTGGCACCTAGGTAGTTTCTGTAACTTGGTTATTATAAATAGTGTAGCAATCAACACAGGAGTGCACACATCCCTTTGAGTTAGTGTTTTTGCATTATTTGAGTAGATACCTAGGAGTGAGATTTCTGCATCATATGGTAGATCTATTTTTAATATTTTGAGAAATGTTGGTACTTTTCCATAGGCATGGGACCTACAGTGAACAAGGGTTTCTTCTTTCCCACATACTTGCCAATATTTATTTCTGATCTTTATTGAGATGGGTCATTTTTACAGGTGTGAGATAGTATCTCACTGTGGTTTGGATTTTCATTTCCCTGATGATAAGTGACATTGAGCATTTTGTCATGTGCCTGTTGGCCATCTGTATGTCTTCTTTGGAGAAGTACTATCTGCCCATTTTTTGACTGGGTTATTGTTTTCTTTTGTTAAGTTGTATGAGTTCTTTGTAGAGCTTAGAAATTAGCCCTCTGTTAAATGCATGATGTGTAAATATTTTTTCCCACTTGGTTGGGTATCTTTTCATTTTAATGACAGTTTCTTTCAATGGGCAGAAGCTTTTTAGTTTGATGTAGTCCCACTTAATTTATTTTTGCTTTTGTTTCCCTTACAATTGGAGTTGAATCTCCAAAGACATCCCTGGAGCCACTATCAGAGCATCTTGTCAATGTTTTCCTCTATGTATTTTATGACTTGAGGTATTACCTCCAAGCATTTAATCCTTTTTGAGTTAATCTTTGTGTATTATGTGTATGACAGCATATGGATGCACAGTTTTCCCAGCACCATTGGTTGAGACTTTCCTTTTCCCACTGTATACTCTTGGTTCCTTTTTCATAGATTAACTGTCCATATAAGTATGGGTTTATTTCTGTGTTCTCAATTCTATTCCATTGGTCTAGGTGCTTTTCTTTGAAAAACATACTGTCTTGATGGCAATCATTTTGCAGTATAATTTGAAGACTGTAATCAATTTTTCACATCTCCATTATTTCATGTAGTTGGTTTTTATTTTTTTGTAGTTAGAGTGCTTAGCAAAATTCAACTATACAGAACAGAACTGTTACCTCCGATCACCGTTATATATTAGATTTTCAAAACTTATTCACCTTGCTTGGAATGTTCTTCTGTCAAACTTGAGGGGGCTTGGCCAATTCCCTTCACCTCTTTCAAGTCTTTTCTTAGATGTTGCATTCTCAGACCATTCTATCTACAATCACCGCCTTGTCCTTCAGCAATTCTCATGCCCCTCTACCAGGGTTGCTTTTCCTGTCTTTCAATAGCACTTGCCAACAGTATTATTTTGTTATCTGTGTTTAGTTATTCTAGTTTCTGTACCCCCTTCTTGAATATAAATTCCAAGAGGGAAGACATTTTTGTCTGTCTTGTTACCTTAATATCGCAAAACCTAAAATCTTTCCTGTTCTAACATTATATATTTAGTAAACATCTTTGAATATTGAATGAGTGAATGCATTTCTAACCTTTGTACTTACCTTCAAACCTGGAAATCCCTCTAGTCCTGGCAACCCCATCGCACCAGGTTCTCCCTGTTAAATATGAATATATGAAATTCAGGAAAAATGATCAAAAAAAGGTTTGAAGCATTGGAATCAAAAGCAAAGATACTTTTTGCTTAAAAAATATCTCCTCAAACACTGTAAAAGAGTAAGTTGTATGCTTTATTTTCAAGTATCTGTATCCTTGGATTTAGTGTTTGAAAATAAGAATAAAGCTGTTTTTTGGAGAAGTTTTCTATTTAGTATTTTTTTATTCTGATTAAGAATCTAATCAAAATAAATCCCTCTAGTTAGTGATAACTCCAATTTCAATTAAGAATAGGAGAAAGGTTGAACTTTAATAAAGTTTGCCAATTTGTGACATTCCTATGACTTCTAGATAAGCAGACTAAACTCTTTAAAAGTAGATGCAGATGGATTTCTGAAAGCAAAGTTAATCATACATCAATATTCTCTGGAGCTGGACATGAATTAGGTTTTCTTTGGAGGTTGGCTATAGCAGAAAAAATCTCCAATGATTCTAAAAATTATTGCTCAAATTGATGGCTCACTAAGAAGACAGGTATTTCCATTTAAAAAAAAAAAAAACTTTGACATATTCTGATCTTTAGTTCCAGGTAAACCGGAGCCTGTACATACTCAAGGAACACAATGAGACAAGTTGTGGTGAAGGAAGCAGCTAACTTTGAACAAATAAACATTGGACTTTTAAATCAAGATAAATTGAGTAGTTGTTTGGTATTTCCTTGTTAATGAGATAATATTATCTGCAAATATTTTCTTAGGACACGTAATCACATAGAAAAGGGAGCTCCAAATATAGTTCTCTGTAAATGAGTTTTTACATGCATAATTCTAATCCACTTCAAAAAATATCACCAAGGCTTGAAATGCCATTATTATTTATGCTATTGTCCTTATTACAGAAATACTTAATCAGTGGTTATGACTTGATACTTTTTATGCTTTAGAAATCTTTTTAAATGTTCACTAATACATAACCTGTCGATAAAAAAAAACTATTTAGATTCTATTCTGATTAAAGTTCTGTAACAGAGGTCCTGGGTTATTAACATAGGAAATAAGTTCTATGTTTCTTTTTTTTTATATTCTCAATACTTAGAACAGAGGAAGATAATCAACTAATACATATTTTGTGCAGCTAAGAAATTTGAAGCTTAATTTCTTAAATTCTACCAAATCTGTCCATATTTTTATTACCCAGTGTCCAATCTAATTGAATTTAAATCTTATTTTAATGCTTTAAAAAAAACATCATCTTAACCTACAAGTTATTAATGAAAAACCTGAAGGTATTCCAGAAAAATCAGTGAGAAGCTAAAGTGCTTCTAAGTGATCTAGGGGGGCTGTTTTATGTATGTGAATATGAAAGGAAAAGAACAGGAGGAATTTTTTTATCAATAAGAGGAAAGAAAACTAAAATTAGAATGAGATATATGGCTGGTGAAAACACTGAAATGCTTACAGATAAAGAAAGAGCAGCATGAATAGTAAAACAAAAGGAACTTAGAAATTACATAATAGGGATTCAGAAAATGGTACTAACCAGTTGAAATGAAACTTTCAGGGGAAAACAAATTGACTTTTAATACATACTGATTGTTCAGTAACAGAAAGTAAGCTCTTTAATGTATTACCTTTGAGAAAATATTTAGATGTGAAAAGATTACTTTTTATGACTTGTACTTTTCTCATTTAAAATTTATTCATCTAGCTTTATCAAACTCAACTGTAATGATAGCGCCTTACTTTTTTTTTTTTAAATTTATTTATTTATTTATACAAGCACTGGGTACAGTCAGAAGCGCAGGAGGGTGAGAGAATTCACCAGAGCCAGAGGGGAGAGCAGAGCAGGCAGAATGACGAAATACACTGCTGAAGGGAGCAGCGGGCAGCAGGAGAGGTCTGCGCGCCACGTGGGACCCTCACCCAGCAGCTGGGGATTGAACGGGTGCTGCAGAGGCTGTGGGCAGCTTTGCAACCCAGTACTCAATGGCTATGCCACAGGGGAGGCCCTGGCCTTACATTTTTTCACATGGCATATAAAGTGGTTTGAAAGTTTATTTCAGCTCAGGTACATCTGAGTTTCAAGTATCTACCCACAGGTTAAAAGAATATACAAATGAAATATGAAGGATGAAGCATATGCTTGAAAAGGACATGATAGGAAAAGTTGCCAAGGAATTAAGGGAGCCTAATTGAACCTGGCAGAAATTTCACAATAAAGCTCCATGGCTGAGAAGGATGCTTGAGAACAATTTTCCTCCTTTGGGTGGCTGGAGGACATGATCTCATTCCATGCTGAGCATGTTATCCTCCTGATACATTATTCTTAATAAGCAAGTTTATGACAGCACACCACATCTCCTACAGAGTAATTGCATAAGACATTCAAAGCAAATAAACAGCTTCTTTCTTTCTGTCAAGGAGATAGCTGACATATTAAGGAATTTCTGTCCAGTAGGTATTTTTCTTCTCCAATCTACTTAGCACTGAATCAATCATCAAAATAGTGCTATTAGAAGGAAATGTCCCATTTATCAGCTTTACACATGCTTTCCTCCATCACACAGTGATTTTTAAAACATACTTATGAAAGAGATGAAGGTCAAGGACATGGAAAACATTAGAACTGATGCATCTTAAAAATGAAGGACACACTTCTGGCATATCTCTGGTAGCCTGCCTGTTGCCTCCAACATGCAATCAGGTGAACAGCTAAGGCAGGCCATCTTTGTCTGACATTTTCCTTTCAAACTTTATTGAGGGCTTATTTTCCAAATGTCTTAAAACAGGGAATATACATACCACTGGACCAGTATCACCTTTTGGGCCCTACAAGAAAACATAGAAAGACATATTAGAAATAACAACTGAAGCAAAATCATAAAGTATGAAGCATTTTCCCTCAATTTTCTTTAATATACATAATATTGTTTGCATCTTTTTTTTTTTTTTTTTTTTTTTACATTTTTAGCCACTGCCTGCACTTGAAAACTAACATGCTGGAGCTCCCAGGACAGCGATAGCTTAGGCACTGACTTAGTTCTTAGTTTTACAATAAAAAAAGTGATACCACTATGCACAATGCTCTCCTTTATTTTGGTGGCGAACATTTCCTCAATTTTATTACAAATTTCCAATGTATTTTTTACTAACTTAGGAGTTTTTAATTTTATTGTGCCTGTTCAGCTAAAGTGATAAAAAAAAAAAAAAACAACTATACTCACAGGGGGGCCTGGAGGGCCTGGATAACTGGGGACAGTCACACCTCCCTTCAAAAAAATAAAAGAAAATGGTGATAAGACTTTATAGTAATCCACAGCTGGAAAATGATTTTGCATAATTATAAAAACAAATACCTGGATTTTATATAAACTGCTCATTCCATTTCCTTCATTGAATGGCATACCCTTAGGAAAGAAGTGAGATAATTATTCTTTTAGGTTAATAGTTAGCATCTCCACTTTTTATTTCTTTTTACCAAACCTATTTATTTTGGAAAATGGTTAATACTATAAGTAAAATAATCCAATGTTTCCATTTGGGCTTATAAACAACAAATGTAGGGAAAAATGACAAGGAATGTGAGCTGTATCTGGAGTACACAGACACTTTCAGTGGGGGTGTGATTCATGTCCAGGTTTGACAGATGAGACACTAATGCATTCAGAGGAAAATATTATTTGCTCATTAAAATTCAGTTTCTGAATTGCCAATTTATGCTAACTGTTTACAGCCTGCTGACCTGCAGGCTGTAACGTGGTCGTGCTGATGAAGATGTGACTAGGGAACAATTTGGTTACTGAAAAGCAATTTTTTTCCATAGTCTCTTCATACCAAGTAGAAAATGAACATAAATGGGGGAGATGATGTACTAGCAACCCTGTTTTCATGTTTCCACAAAAATGTGTTCTTTAGAACAACAGAGAACAAGAACTTCCTAATAAAACTGACCTTTGAATGGAAAGTTCTAGAGTAACACTTAGAAAAACTAATTTGAGTCTTTAGAAATCATACATTTTGACATTCAGGAAAAAACTGTATATGAAAATTTAGGTAGGATGTTTCATCCTTAAAAAATTGTTGTTGAATCAATAATCAAATGTGCATTTTCCTTTCTGTGATTTCCATATTTCAGTTGCAAAATTGAAGAGGCCATCAATCATTTCATTGTTTTTAGACAATGGTGGCGACTGTGCTCAATGAACATGTTTGGAACGCATCTCTAAAATATTAGTAATGGAAGAAAAATATTGCATCATTTATTCCTTTATGATTTCATTCATTCATTTGACAGTTTCTGAATGTCAATTTTAGTGTGTTAGGTCCTGGAGAGATGACACTGTTTGTCTGAGGTTTTTCAAAGAAGACAACATTTAATCCATGTCTTGAAGAAGATACAGTTTCAGAGTATTCAGGGGTCAGAGAGGAAGATTTCATAAGTTCACTATAAAATATAGGTCCCTTTTCTAAGTTCATGTTCTGAACTTGCTGCTCTGTCCACTTGGGAGGGAGTGCATTTTAGGGTTTGAGCCCCCAAAGCTTTCTCTTCTGCTTCCTTGTGTGGAAAGGGAGGTGGCAAATAAAGATGAAGAATAAGTTTGGGAAAATAGAATGCAAATCTCTTCATTTAATAGTGCAAAACACACAACCTCATACAGACTGATAATATATCTTTGTTGTCTTCAGAAAGTCACAGCTGAATTCTGCCCCCTTCACCAGTCAGTTTGGCTCCTTAAACTATTCCTAAGTTAAGCTGGAAAATCAAGTTTAATTTGAACCAAAGCTCTGCTGTGATTTGAGCAAGGCTCCACATGAGGGCACACTTGCTACAGAGAGAGGCACCTCTTGTCTAAGATGTCTCCAATAAGTGCACCTGTCTCGATCATGAACAGAAAAGCACGATGGCACTTGCATTTCACTAGGTGAGAGAGAAATGGAATTTTCTGTGTCTCAGACATCATAGATAGTAATGAACACATATAGAATAATACCAAATTTTCTACCAGCTTGAATTTTTGCATGGGATTTCTCTCTTTTCCCCCTAGTAGTTCCTCTCTTTTCTGTAATGAGGCTCATTGAGATTAAATGACTTCCCCAGGGTCCCCCAGGCAGGAAGTGGAGAGTCAAGTCTGGGTACACACACAGGTGTCCTGACTCCATATCTGGGTACAAATGTGAGGCTGATCTAAATGGGAATGGGGGGAAGGAAAGGAAACCAGATAACCTCAAAGTTGCACTATCATTTATATTTACACATAAAATTCAGAAGATTTTTACCCTTGAGAATATCTAAATGAAGTGTGACCTCTGAGTTAATAGTCTTAAGTAGACACATGAATACAAGTTTTAAACCTGCAGCAACTCACAGGTGGTCCGGGTGGTCCAGGTTGCCCAGGAGGCCCTTCGCTGCCCTGCAAAGGATATACAGATCAAAATCAATGGCCTAGATATTTCTTCTCCAGGTTTATGAACCAGATTGTGCTTGCTCAGAGAGCCATATTCTGAAATCAATAAGACATCACTTTATTTCAGTTTTGCAAAGTCTTATTCAGCTTGGCTCTCTCCATCACCTGGGGAAATATATTTTTAGACCACAGGCACAGTGAATGCTTTTCCACACCCATTCAGATTTTCATCGTGTGAGCCTCAGGTATGAAGCCTATTTTTAGATGGAGTCAGACAACCCGGGTGATCTGGTCTTGAACTTCAAATGCAGCTGGGGGAATGCTCCCTATGTGGAGGTGCAGAGTGGAGTTCTTGCCAACAGGGGCAGCCTCTGAGTAGGGCTGTCTGGGTTAGCCCTCATTTAAAAAAATAATATTTTTTTAATTTTTTGCATCATTGTTCATTTTTAAACAATATTTGCTTCCCCCCATCCCCTCAGGTGTAGTCCCCATAGAATCTCCTTCCCCAAGGCACCTGTGCACCATCACCACAGTCCCCTGTGCTCCTCCCTCCCTCCCTCTCACCCCTCTCCCTTCTCCTCCCCTGCAGGATGTCTCTGATTCATAATTGTCTGTTTTTGCTTTGTTGTGTTTTGTATGGTTATTATTTTTTTACACTAATGTCTTGTGTTTCCCCTATATATAACTTCACCTTCATCACCAGAGGACGGTTCCAAAGAACTAGACCAAAGAATAAAACCAAAACTTGTGTTGTATTTTCAGGAAGAGAAATTTCTTTACTTCTTAAGTTAATATTAGACTCTATAATAAAATCAGGCACATCCACTGAATGAAAGTGACAGTGTACAACACTGTTTAAGGGAAATGTTCTATATAATTTAAACAACTTCAGACATTCTGCTTATATAAGAAACAGTCTGAAAATGGAATTTGTGAAAAATGAATTTGAGTTGAGACTTGAAAACTGAATTTCACTCTTCTTTTTCTAAAACATAGACTGTTTATAGGTCCACAATAAGCAGAGGTAGTATTGGCTTTTGGTGCCTTTAGCCAGTACTTTCTGTAAATGTGTATATCTTTTTTAATAACAGCCTTGTAAAATCATTTTAGTTCTTCAATATCAGGAGCAATGGCAAGAAATGGTTAATTAAAAAAAAGCAAGAGAGAGTAAAATTCCTATTTATGACACTCAGGAATTTTGAGGGATTTCAGTTCATTTCCATATATTTGATAAAGGATTTCATTCCAATCTTGCATTTTTTCAGCATCATAGAAATCTTTTGCTTTTATCTTTATCAATAAAACTGTTAAGTTTTTCTTGCTATGTGTCTGCCTGAGAATGAGTGACAATGAGTACATTGTATCTTTTCCTAAAATGCTCTCATAGGGGGTCATTCTCCAAGACATTCGTATCATGCTGACTGCAGCCGTGTCCTTGAGAGAATTATGTCATAGTTCTCATGAACGAATAAACAAGGAAAAATATGTGCCTGTTGAAAAGACTTTTCTCCCCCTGGCACAATTAAAAGTCATGTTTTCATCCTTGATAGTGCCCCAAAGCTCATCACAGTGTGGAATTCACATTAACTTCAAAAGGCAAATCTCTGACTGAATAATTTCCGTAGAAACAGAGGAAAAAGGCTGGTAGGGTTTGGCAGGCTCCTCGGGATACTATTAGAAAAATATATGAGACTATCTAGAATAAGCACATTGTTTCCTTGCAAACTTGAGGGGATTCCTTTCTCCTTTATGCCATTATGTCCCACTTTGTCAGTTCAGGCTGGAAGCCACTTGAGCAGCTCATGTAGACCTTGATTCATTTCCCTAATTTGAACAGCTTGTTTTATTTCACTTGCTAACTCTGTCTGCACTTAAAGGGTCAATTTGGGTGCTAGATTGGGTAAACAGATGAAGTCCTGTGTTTTTCCTGTCTCATTATTGCCTTGCTGCTCCTCCCTTCTGACAATAACAATTCTTTTGTCCAATAAACTGAACTCCCCAGAAAACAGCTGTGGTTCCTTAGTGAATTGCCCCTATGGCCCTCAAAGGACAGAACTTCTAGATTTTCCCAAAAGCCCTTGGGTTACTGGAATCTTGGTCCTGATAGACCATATGCTATCTGGAGTCATAGCATCTTTAGCTGGAACTCCCTGATATAATACCTTACCTGCATCTCTTCAAGAAGTGTCTTTTGACTCCATCTTTCCAGTAGCATGAGTATTTTATTCATCCTTGCTCCTAGGAACATATCTCTTGTATTCAGAACAATTTCTGGACCTATGTCCTTCTAATACCACTAGAAGAACGGTTGTTCTCAGGCAGTACCCCTACTCCAACTTCCGGACTTAGCATGATTTTATGGCTCTCTCTATAAGTGGTGTCACCCAAACCCCAATTCTGACTCTATACCTTGTCACCTTTTGCTCCAGAGGGACCGGGATGTCCAGTTCTTCCCAACAAACCCTGTGAAACACAAAACTAAGCTTATTAAGGAAATAACTAAATGACCAAAGGGTATTGGAAGTTGGTTGTTAAAATGGATAGTTTTGAAGGTCATTTGATCCTAATTAAATCAGTTCTAGAAGCTTACATTTCTTCAGGCTGATACAGCAGCTGTATCCTGCTGATAAGCCCTTGCAAGGGTAAAATTTGTATTTGTGGTCGCTTTTTCACCTTGGCCGACCACATTTAATGACCTTAATTGGAACCTTTTGATACATTTAAGAATTTAGCCTTGCTGTTTAAAGGGCAATTTACATAACATTATGCCTTCCTAAATGAGCTATAATTTTGGTAGTGATCAACATTTTAAATACTTTAAGACAGGGCAGAATTAACAATGTGCATATTGAGTTATGTGATCTGCATTTTACCAGAGGAAAATAAAATTTAATTTAAAATCTTCTTTAGAATAGCATTAGCTATACTTTCCGTGGTTCTTTTCATGACTCTTTCTCTTTTTAGTGTACAATTTAAAGACAGGTTTGCTCTATAACAGGTGAAAATATAAATGATAAAATTACAGTGAATTTTAATTACAGTGAATCCATAATTCAAAACTTTAAGGAACATGATTACATTCTATTTGTGTGGTAAATATTATTTGCATGGGAACTCTAAGAAGAGGAGAGTTGGAGAAACTGAGACTTGAGTAGGCTTGCTAGATTTAGCAAATAAAAATACAATGTTTGGGACAAGCATATGCTACAAAATTATTTGTTTATATAAAATTCAAATTTAGCTGCATGTCCTGTATTATAACTGGTAACTCTAGATTTGAGCTCCATTTGAATAAGAGAGAGGGTTTAGCAGATCGGAAAGGAAGTGATTCTGATTTATGAAAACATGATAACCAAGGACACAAAGACCAGTATGTTGTGTTTGAGGGATAGTGCAAAAAATGTGCTGACTAAAGTAGAATGTGTTTTAATTCATACACAGGAATAAAAAGACATCAAATCTGATAATCCTTTATCCATTTTTCTCCTCTGGAAAATAAATTCTCAGTTTATGATACTTATGAAAAAGTGAGAGCATAACATACACACACATATATATACGTATATATACGTATATATATGTGTATAACTAAAAAAAAAAAAAAAAAACCAGAATGCTTTTTTACATCAAACTTCTATTCAAGTAAACTAGCTTAATCACAGATAGCTTTTTGTTCTGGGAGAACTCTGATGACAAGTTGCCAAGACCCTGGGCAGCCTTATGCAATTGCAAACGAAAATCTAAAATGTTGAATGACGGCCCATTTCTAGGCAATAGCTGAATAATTGACATAGAGACAGAAAACAAAAAGCATCAAGGAATACTAGTTCCCCTTGCCTCATCCCAAGGGTATTAACAGGTATGAACTGTGAGTGGAACACATTCCCAAATACTTACTGGGGGCCAGATGGGCCTGGTGCACCTGGAAAACCTGGAATTCCTTGAAGACCCTAGAAGAGAAAGTCTACCATAAAGCTCCTCTATCATTGGAAATAAAGCATTTCAGTTAATTAAATATCTTCACTACTGAAAATTAAACCTATTTTGGTTAATTGAAAAACACGGTATAGTCCTTATACAAATCTCCATTTTCAAAGACTGAGGATGGTGAGCTAAAATGCCATGACATGGAATCTGTAACAAACAAATGTATTGTGTTTGGTGACTCATAGAACATTTCTGATCTCATACAGACACACAACAACAATAGCATCATTGAGAATTCAGCTCTGCTAAAGCAGAGAAATACAAATTTCAGATTGGCAGAATGCCATCAAAGAAATATGTGATTACACTGATGCTTC